ACATTCCACAAGTACATGTCTTAATAATCTATGTAGAATGTGTATTTACTCGTGTTATGCATGAGACGAGGTGAAGTGAGGTGAAATTGGGTTTAACGTCGTGCTTGAGAATATTTCGCTCATATGACGACGTGCATGCGCGTGTATGTGTATGTGCGGCTGCTTGTACTAGCCTAGACTTAAGTTGGGTTTATAGAGCTAGATCACTGAGATACCATGCCGCAGTTTAGCGTGAATACCCCACTCAGACACATTATACGGACTCCGAGCCGACCAATCCTTGTTGTACCCATTAATGCCGAGCGCCAGGCAGGGACCAACAAGTACAATTTTAACGTCTTTTGGTATGACGCGGTCGGGGATCGAACCCGCGACCTTCCGCTCTGGGCAGCGTGAGACGACAAAACACGACACAGAGCAGGCAGGGGCAAAGGGGTAGTTTTGTCAAGGGAGTAGCTACCATTATAAAGAAAAGCCCGGGCTTACACATGATTATTGCTGAAAAGGTTGGGCAAGCCCTAAATAATATCTAATTATATAGCTTTGCATCCTATCGGGCTTACACGAAAAAAAACCATTGGTTTGCTACGCGCCTGCTTGTAGTTGCTCGCCTCGCAAACTGTAGACGTTCACGCCGATAACGTGGGGTGAGGATAGGTCCACGGTAAGGTCTACGACAATGGAGGTTCCCGCTGTTAAGACGTCGGCGTACTGTATCAGTACGGAATTGTCTTCCGTGTTTTCCCACTGTCTGGCGTGCATGCTGTTTCGGATGCCTGCATGAAGGGATTCTGTACATGCTGTCGCATTACATGGCGGTCTTGCCGTCTTGTGGTCACCCTTGGTCTTCCAGTACGGGGGTGATCATTTGTGGTGTTGGTAGCCCAGAAACGTTGCTGCAGCCTGTAGATGGTCCGAACGTTGACCTGGAAGTGATTGGCAACGGCTTGTGCAGTGTGGCCAGCTTCAAGTCTTCCTAGCGCCTGGTTCCTCTGAGCTGTCCTTAGAAGGGGCATCCTGCTGACGTTGTAATGTGAATGTTTCAACCAGGTTTGGGGTTGCATTTTATAGGGCTGGTCCTTGTGAACAGCACGTGCAGCACGAGTTGCATGAAAAACATGGAGAACACCGTACCATCTCCGAGATCAGGTTGCGTTTCTGAGACCATATCCTGGGTTCCATTCTGAGTTTAGGAAGGAATATCTTTGCTCTGGTAAAGTAAGATGTTGTCAAAAATATACACTCAAAACATGAAATGAGTTCACAGTTATCGGTTTCTTCGAAGGAAAATTCCAAACTGACGTTTCTTTTGCTGCTTAGTATATATGAATTTCAAAGATCGCGGTGAAACAAGAAACTTTAAATATCCTTGAATGTAACAAAAGTGAAACAATGGTTTCAGGAAATATACAAATATTGCTCGACGGTTTACAACAAATGATTATAAGCTGGATGTGTTGTATATCCTTAAAACGTATTTGCGTTGTAAAATTCCAGTTGTTAAGTTTCTCCAGGAGGCAGTGACCGACAACAATACTATCTCTAGGGATAAGCCAGGACCCAGGAAATATCAGATACCGTATGTCCTCCATTAAACGTCACAATTTTCAAATCAACCCGGGGTCTCATTTAAGAGCCTCGTATTTTTTGCCCATTCTCCCCATTAATCGTTTGGTCATTACACGCATCGGGTGAGAGATGTTTGAAAGAAATATACGCGTTTAATTCAGGAAATACGGTAGTCCGAACCCAAGTGCTCGATGTGTGTGTGAGACTCTGCCATACAGGGCTGAGGGGAGGTAAGGCAATGGGATAAACCGATCAACTATTGCTGAGTGCTGTATGTAGTTGTTTGTGAGATACTTTAGAGAAAAATAACTCTTATCTACATTGTGATACACTGAAAGCACTGTAAACCATATTTAAGTATTCATTTAGAGATGGTCCGTCACCATAGATACAGACGCTGCTCCAGGTCCCCAGCAGTCGCCTTATAGAAGACTTTACAACGCGTTTTACTCAACGTTGTTGTTCGCGGCATGCACAACCACTCTACATCTACAACAAAATTTGAATTAATGTGTTCAAGTTCAACGGGGAAAAAAATTCTCAGATGCAAGTCCCTGATGTTGAGAAGTAAATTTGCCGATATTTTTTCGCGGTTGGCTGTGTAGAAAAGAGTATGGGAGTTTTGATGCCTGACTTTGAACCGTACCCAAGAGAAGAATGAAGCCTATCGAACCACATACATGTTTCATTGCCTTTATTCCTTTTTTTCATCTGACGTTTGCCAATGAAACCAAGCACAGGAACAGTGATAACTAACCTAGAAACTAGAGGGAACGGGATTCGAACCCTCAATCATCCATGACTGTGGGATGCCTAAGGGTTGCAAATCTGTGCAGTGAGTGAGTGAGTTTAGTTTACGCTGCTTGTAGCAATACACCAGATACCCTTATGAGGAATCGAACCCGGGGCTACGGCGTGACGAGCGAACGCTTTAACCACGAGGCTACCCTACGCCTTAGACTAACAACTAGTCTCTGAAATGAACATATTTTACTGAAAACAGTTCATAGTAAAAACAAATATATATAATGAAAAGGAGCCCTGAGACTTTCTTCATGAGGAAATCTAGACTTGCAACATTTTCTAGACTGGTGTGGGCTTTCTTGGACATATTTGCTTCAGGGTCTGTACGAGAGACTACCTACGCCTCAACTGAGGTAATTAAGCAGGGGTTAAAAAAATAATTAAAAAGCCATGCACTTGCCACAGAAAGAAAGTAACTTGTCCTGACTAATTTTCCACTTGCCCTGATTTTATGACATAATTATGATGATGTAATTATGAAAGAAGAAATCAACATGGTATTTGATGTTAATGTTTACTGGACTATTGATTGAAAAGTGATAAATAGCAAAGAAAGATAACTCTACTTTATTATCATTGCGAAATGTAATAGCTACATTTTTAGCAGATATGAAATTAAATCCAAGTTTATTTGCGGTTTGAAACCATAAGTGAGAATTATCTAGTAGCCCAAGGACAAGTAAGATACCATTATTTGATTGCCCGAAATGAAAACTGACTTGTCCCGGACGTCGGCCGATGGGATTTTTGAACCCCTGTTAAGGGTTTCTGTCCTAGGGTTCATATATACTACCCATCAAACGTTTAGACTCACGAGTGTAAATGTAGCCACTTACTTCAGTCAACTTTTTTAAATTAGATTTTGCAAAATATTCTATAGGCTATTGTGGTTAAAGGTACTATTTACACATGAATGAGTGATCATATAGTAGTGCGTGCTTTAGTCTGTCATACAGACCCTGAAACAAATACATCAAAGAAAGCCCACGCAAGTCTAGAGAATGGGGCAAGTCTAGATTTCCACAGCTTCAGGAAAATGAAGAAAGTCTCAGAGCTCCGTTTTATTACATCTTATTTTTCACTATGAGCTTTTTTCTGTAAAATATGTTCATTTCAGACTAGTTGTTTGTCTATGAGTGTTTATAAGTGAGTCTAAACTTTTGATGGGTAGTTTCATGGGCGGATCCAGGAATTTTGAAAGGGAGGGATTCAGGGGGTTTGGATTCCCTGAATCACCCCCACCCCACCCCTGGCTCCGCCAACGCAAATAATATCTTCAATGTGGTCTTAAGTCATTTTCAAAGGGTGGGTGGGTGGGGTGTCGAACCCTGACACCCCCCAACCCCTCTCTGGATCCGCCAATGACTTTATAAACCCGCGTTTTAAACGAAAGCTTCGCTCTCAGGGTCAAGAGTTCATCTGTTGCTGTCTTCAAGTGTAGCTCCATTACGTAAGAGCAATGTCACGGCGGCCTAAAGATCTAAGCCGTGGGATATACCAGCCTGCTTATCAGCGATCTGAAGGTCACTTCTACTCACTCAATGCATTTTCCTGTAACACAGGTTAACTGTCGTTGGTCGGTATTATTAATCTTCTATAGCACTCGATCCCGTCACAATACCTGTTCATAAACCACCAGACCACATTCACAAAAATCTTCCAATATTCTTTACATACAGCAGACCTTGACGCTGACAGCTGGTGATAGTGTTCAGTTTACCGGGTTTATCATAAACCATGTGCTTTCCACTTGAGTTGTACTGTCTGTATTTATTAAAACTTGTTTTTGAATGCCGTGTATCAGAGACCATATAATATGGTCTCTGCGTGTGTGTATATATATATATATACAACAACACATACAGCCATCTGTCAGTCGAGCCATATTTGAAAAAAAATGTGTTTGTTTTGATTTCATACAGCGCATGCAGCCATTTTTACGCAAATACAAAACGTGCAGTTCATTATGACGCATGGAAACGAGCTTAGAGGCCCGATGAAGGTGAATGTAATTTCGTTCGAATAGGTCAAACATATATAGTATATTTAAATATGGTAATTTGGTTGGAGTTAACATCGGACTGTTGTTATGAAAATGTACCGCAAACGTTTTGCTTTTTTTTTTAGATTTCTTTTTTTATCAGTCAAAAAACATATATACGAGCAGAGACCATATAATAGATCTATTATATGGTCTCTGATACGAGTGTTACTGTCTCCATACTTTTTATACTACAAGCCAAAATACTTGCTGAACTATTGACATTTTTATTTGAATAATATACACCTTGTTCATAAAACATCATCGTAGAGAATGATCTCATATTCCATTTTCAACATTTTGTATGTGGGGTACAATAATTTGGACGGGGCAGAACGTCCCAGATACCATTCAGACGTTGGCCCAACGTCCGAATGCTATCTGGGGTTTTCAAAACTTTTTGTACATCCACGTTTCATTTCTTGTTTAGGTCAAAACATGTCGTGTCTTTAGAAGAAGGTAAAGGTCATGCTAAATGCATTGATGTTGTCATGAAGTGAATTAGGAATAAGTATTAGATTCAAATACTATATTGAACCTCAATAGGGCCTCAGCGTCCTAGAAATGACTCTTCAGTTTTGAAGTTACAAACAGGATGAACTAACAAAATGGCAGAGAGCTTCCAGGAGTTTTGTGGAGATTCTGTTATTTTTGTAAGTATAACTTATAGCCAGACTGTCATTTCTTCAAAATGTGTGGATAATAAGGCAATTGACCTACCTAACACAACACAAACGTATCACAAGAACGCTATGTTAATTTCAGCAAATGGACGCGGAGTCCGGAGAGTCCCTGAAATGTTCTTCTGTTTACAACCGTAGCCCGTACTTCGCCTCACAGCTGATCAGTGTTGACGTATAGTAAGAGCTGCGGGTCGTCATACTTATGTTGATTTTGATTTATCATTCGCAGTTTTTGTGCAAAGATAAGTTTTTCTTTCTTTTTGACGAAACTTTCATTCATTCACTGTTCATATTTTAACTTGGAAGTAGGTTATCAGCAACCTCAAGGTCTAGAGGCCGTTATTCACTTTCATGTTTGCAGCAATTGTTTCCAAACAAATCTCAAATGGAATGTGTACAGTTTCATCTTTTGACAAAACACCATTTTGTATTAACCTGTTAAGAGCGCTCAACTTTGAATCATTGATAAGTCCCAGGTGGTTGTATAACATCATCAGTCAACATGGGCTAGCATGGCAGTTGTTATCTAACACATTATATAACAAATTGCATTGTTGTAACCCGAAACACTAAACCTATAGCTGGCTTGATGTGGGACACGAATCTAAGTAAAGAGCTCCCAACTTAGGTGTCGTGTATGTTAAGTGTTTGTGAGAGAGGGCACTAGTACTAGGACAGAGACAGCGATGTTAGGCGCATGAGTTTATTCAGGGAGACTCGCATACAAAGGGAAGTAACTCTGCCCAAATGATTACAGGACAACCGATAAGCATAGCAGGCACCTAACAGTGTATTGCCATTGTAATTAGTGCTGTACTAAGTAGAGGCCACTACATAGTACCAACTAGCTAGAGCCCTGAAGTAGATGATGATGTAAGCACAGATCATACTCAGCCAGGGATTTACAGGACGCAAATTCCTGTGTCCTATACGCAAAAAAAATTGTCAATGGACGCAACAAAATTTATAAGCGCATCCGCAGGGATGCAGAAAATGTCCAAATACTTTTTGTAAAAATTCCAATCAAGTAACAATAAGTTATCACTGAGTTTGCTTCTAGCTGAGTTATGGTACCATTGGCAATATGATTACTGTAACAATGTGATGATCATGATACACAATACAATAACAGTATTAATATTAATGTTTAAGTGTCTGGGACCCCCAATTTGTTGTCCAGGACCCCTGAAAATTAAGAGTACGAGTCCCAGGGACCCTCAAATACAGGACTCCAGGTAAATCCCTCCTCAGCCATGATGAGAATAAACTGTTGACCCTGTCAATGACTAGCGTTTCTCGAGACGGAGAAAGTTCCCAATCTGTAACGTCACTGGGATTACCTGTCTCTAATGAAATGAGGTAGTAAACCTCCTTGCCAAGCCAACAGACGTACATGTTAAATCATTTGCACATTTTGTTCACTGCTCCTTTTGTTGTTAAATTAAGACTTACTCACACTGTTTTTTTAATTGTCAGTCCTAACCGTTTCTGTAGTTTGCCTTCAAAGCATGTGAAAATGAAACTCCATTTTCTCCAAGTGTAAGAAATATAACTTTAACTGCTAACATTTGTAAACAATAACTAGTCCCTTCACTGTTGAATGGCAGCTGCCATCTAACTTCACATCATCAGTATATATGTCAACTACACTATATAATTCATGTAAAACTAACCATATATCATGCTGTTCTACATGTACGTAGTCTGGTTCCTGGCTCAGTGTGTGATGTGGCAAGCTCCCACCTTACCCTGTTTCACCTGCTTTAAGAAGAAATATCGTTTACTACTGAGAACTTTTAAGTGGCACATATTTGGCACTGATTCTTAGTTTCAAACAGCTTTGTATCCCAATGGCTTAGATTGATGCTCATAAGGTAAATCACCAGCCCAGACTCGCTTAGTTTTTAGACTGCAGTCATATAGTTGGAATATTGCTGAGTGTAGTGTTTATCAACAACCAAACAATTGCAGTCAGTCTTTACCATGTCATGGATTCTCTGGGTCATTCCTGGTGTTGGAATCTTGATTGGTCCTCCAGGAAGTGTCCGTCTCCAAGGATACATTTGTACACTGCTGTCCACCTGTGTATCGTGGCACAGGGAGGTCATCTTCCCCTGGTGTTGTCACCGTTATTGGCCCTCCAGGAAGTGTCTGTCTCCAAGGCGATATTTGTACACTGCTGTACACTTATACAGACAAACTTTATGGATAAACAACTTCTTTATTCGGTAGATGCGACGTTTCGATACAGATTCTTGTATCGTTGTCAAGCTAGTATGATACTTGAATCTGTATCGAAACGTCGCATCTACCGAAAAAAGAAGTTGTTTTCCCTTTAAGTTTGTTTGTATATTACTCTCCAACTTCTAAACAATGCCACTCAAAGAAGTAATCTGCTGTCCACCTGTGTATCGTGGCACAGGGAGGTCATCTTTCCTGGTGTTGGCGTCATGACTGGTCCTCCACAATGGGTCCGTCTCCAAGGCGATATTTATACATTGCAGTCCACATGTGTATCGTGGCACAGGGGAGGTCATCTGTCCTGATGTTGTCATCGTTATTGGTCCTCCAGGAAGTGTCAGTCTCCAAGGCGACATTTCTACACTGTCCACCTGTGTATCATGGCACAGGGCGGTTACTTTTCTGATGTTGGCGTCAGGATTGGTCCTCCAGGAAGTGTCCGTCTCCAAGGCGGCACTTATACACTGCTGTCCACCTGTGTATCGTGGAGGTCACCTATCCATGTAGTGTTGTTGGTGAACAGTAGGTTACACAAACGGCATGTTATCAACTGTGCCAGATTCTGTTGTTCACAGACCACATTGAAAAGACTTTCGACCTCTGCACAAAACAATATCAGCCATCTCTTTTGTCTGTTTAAGATTGCAATTGTCTAGTTCTAATACTAATATGCATGCCGAAGTGTTAAACAACAAACATCAGTTATGATGCATGTCATCGCCATGACAACTGGAGATATTAAACACTGCACCACTCTCTAGACTTTCAGGCCGAGTCTGAGTCCGTGTCTACATGTTGTTATGGGCTTGTGCCACACCAGGATATTGGCGATGTGTCACACATTTAGTTCGCTGGCTCTTGATATAGATCACCAAGATCGATAATCGTCAACTAAATATCCATTGATTATCAGTATATATCTGAGAGGTAACTTTAAGCAAAAATGCCAAAAATATTTAAAAGCAGGCCATTAATCAGTGTACGAAATAAGCCAAAAATGCAACCAGACATCAGGGCTGGTAACTTCAAAATGTTACCAGCCCTAAATGGATTTAACCAGACTAAATATGGTGAATTTACTCAGACTTATGGAACATCTGATATTTTTACCAGACCATCAGGCTGGCTAGCTGTAAATCTAGACCGTCCGTCAGTAATCTAGACCGTCTCGGGCGGTCGGACAGGCCTTATTTCATACACTGCATTAATACAGTAATAAAATTGCATATTATGAGAGAAAATTAGACCCTTTTTCTTTCACAAAAGTTATAATCGATAACACAATTTTCATATCGATACTTATTAATACCTTTTTGTATTGACAATATTTCCAATTATTGATCATTTTGCCAGCCCTGGTATCTTGTACTCCATACTGCGAGATTCATATATAATCGTAACTTTTAGGCAACAATGAGGTTCATCAGTGACTAAAATGAAATCGTTACGAATGCCAACTGACATGAGGAGTCTCCCTTTAAGATGTTCCTCATGATGTTCCTCATGTTGTAGCTCACCTCCTTTAAGTATCCAGCATTTCCATCTTGTACAACTGTTTTCTTGTTATTTCAGAATGAGAGTTTACTTATAAACAACTGGTGGCCAGAATTCACGCCATGTTTCCAGAACACTCTCCTTGTCTGGGTACCATGTGGGTGGCTGTGGCTGACCTTGCCCTTCTATCTCGGCTACATGTGCAAGGTCAAGGACTCCACACCTATCCGTGTCAACACGCTCAACACGCTAAAGACGGTAAGCCAATCACAGTCAGTTACAGGCAACATTGATGTCTCCAAGCTGGTATCAGCTGGCCACTGGCCTATATAACTTACCAGTGAAGATCCAGGTTAGAATTGGTCTTCAGTAACCCATGTTGCCATATAGCTGAAATATTGCTGAGTTCGGCGTTAAACAACTAAACAAAAGTAACCCATGCTTGTCGTGTAGAGGCGACTAACAGAATTGGGTGGTCAGACTCGCTGACTTGGTTGACGCATGTCATCGTATCCCAATTACGTAGATTGATGCTTATGCTGTTGATCACTGGATTTTCTGTCTAGTCCAGACTCAGTTATTTACAGACTGCCGCGAATATTGCTGCGTGCGACGTTAAACATCAAACAACAGCCCATCTCACATGAGCAGACTTGTTGACTATAAGATTGAGATGACTACATGGGTACAAAGTTATGTTCGAAACCAGATAGTCTGCACCCCAATTCTGTCAACTGTTGATTGTTAAGAAGAGCAGAGAACTAGACTGTGTGTATGTTTTTTTTGTCTTTGACTCTCAAAAGTATATACAATAATGTGCCGAGTTTGTGCCAGTCAGTAAATTATTGCAAGAAACCAGTGAAGCTGGCTCTTTGCCAGAATACTCCTGAGAGGAAAATGGATAACATAGCCCTGCATGAATGTTGTGGGAATAAAACAACTAGATTGTAAACTGACCTTTTATATCATTAGAAATTTTACACACTTTGGAAAATATTGAACAAAATTCTTTATCATTCAAGATTTAAATATTCATTTTCAATAGATGCCATATGTTTCATATGTTGTCATTACCATAGGTAAACCACTTTCATTTTCAAAAATATTCTTATTCATTATCAAGTATTCATATCATGTATTGTATTTACCTGATAGAGGATTCATTTCAGCCCAACTCATTGCTGTAACATGCAGAAACACTGCTAGTGTTTCAGTAATAATCTAGAAGTGTTATGTTTAACCAAACTTTTTGTATGGAACGATTGATATGTGATTTCAGTAGCTACAATGATTTAGTGGTGTTTCTGTTGTTTGTGTTGCAATAGTGTCTGTGGATACCATGCTGTTATGTGCTCAGGACAATACATGCGAGTCAACACACTGTCTTTTGGCTAGTCCCACATGGGTTCAATCAGTGTATGAATTAAGGCCTGTCCGACCGCCCTGAGACGGTCTAGATTTCTGATGGACGGTCTTAATTTACAGCTTGTCAGCCTGATGGGCTGGTAAAAAGTTTAGATGTTCCATACATCTGAGTAAATTCGCCATATTGGGTTTGGTTAAATCCATTTTTGGCTGGTAACATTTTTAAATTACCAGCCCTAATGTTGGCTGGAATTTTGGCTTATTTCATACACTGGTTGAATCTGCGAAGTCAATTTTTGGTGTCCTCCGCCATTATATTACTGGGATATTGCTAAATTAAAAGCGGCATAAAACTAACTCACTCACTCATTCTATTGGCTAGGACTGGATGGTATAACCAGTATATGACAATATGCTTATTTTCAAATGCTACATATTACAATACTTTACTTTGAACAGGTATATTGGGTAAAAGATATGTGATGTTATATGATTACCTCATCACTTTCAAGGCTCTTTCTATCATGTATTCAGTACTAAATGATGAAAACTCCCCAACATGTTACATAAATATGTACCAACCTACAAGAGCTTTAAGATCAGTTAAACTACTTCAAGTTCCAAAAGCTAACACAAAGATGGGTGAAGTGGCCCTATGCTTTGCAGCTCCAAAACTTTGGAATGCTCTACCACTGGTAATCAGAAATTGTCCAACGAAAGACTCTTTTCTAACTCATCTGAAGACTTCTCTTTTCTGCTCACTTCAACAAGCGCCATTGGGCAGTCATGTTTTATTCTGGAAACCAGCCCCTATACCCACAAAGTTTCATTCATACCTCTATGGTTTGATTTAAAATCTACACAGACTTTCATTCACAACTGATGTGTCCCATCATTATTCATTGATAAACCTGAATTCTGTACATGCTATAAATTATATAGAAAGAAAAAGGAAAACCCTAACTGCCCAACCAATTTTGAAATTGCTGTTTTCAGAACGATTATATATATTTTCAGGGCCTTAGTAGCATCTTCATGTACAATCTGTGCCACTCACTGTCAGACTGTTTAGCTGTCAATGCGTATTGCAATACAGGTACCTGAATCACAGTAATTACAATACACTGTATTTGCTAATACAAAGCTCTGCTTTTGGCTTCAGTTTCAAGGTTTGACCCTGTGTTCAATATTGTCATAAACTTAGTGAGCATCAATGGCAGAGATTTGTTTTGTTGAAAATAAAAAAAAGTTTTCAGTTAATAGTGAAAATGAATAGTTTTTTAATTGGAGCCCTGCCTGGACCAACCACTCCTTCACATCAAAGAGACTCTCTACGAAAATATGGTAGCATTAGACAGCTTTGAGAATAGGGCACCTGCTAAGTTATTGGCATCATGAACTTCGATCTACGCTTGGTTTTTTAGAATATTGATTGGACATTCTTCTGTATATGCTCCAGATATTTTGTTAATAAAGAATAGAATAGAGCACCTGCTATGTGATTGGTGTCATAAACATCGATCTATGCCTGCTTTTTAGAATATTGATTGGACATTCTTCTATACTGACAATATTGTGTTAATATACCGTAAATAAGGGCGATATGGTATCCCGCCTTCAGTTTGGTGTACCCTATTGCAATCCCAAAATTTGTTATTTACGGTTTTCATACCGTCATTTTACAAACCTTTTAAAATCTTTTCTAAAATGTTTAGAAATTGAGTAGACGTGTACCTCAATGTTTGCTGTGTGCAACACACCACGTTACAGTGTGTAAACACCGCCATGTAGTATGTTGGAAACGCATAATAAAACGATCTTCCTCGATTTCATTTTATTTGATTAACTTTAATCCCATTTTCATTCATTAAAGCTGTTCACAGTAGCATTGGAGAAAATGTGTGTGGAATTGCATCACCTCATTCTATACGCGTACCACTTCCACTTACCATGTTCGTGAGGGTCTGCTTTTCTCACCTATTGCGATATCACAGATTTCACATTATTCTCAGCAATCACGAACTGATTACTGCCTCATCATCCATGGACCCCTTGACCCGCGTTATTGATTCATTGAAGTCCTATTTCACGATTAACTGCTAACATTATTTATAATTAAGGTGGCAAGTACCACAGAAAATCAACCGTGACTTGTAAAACTGTCTCATTGGTAAAATGTATCCAGCGACGTACCCCAAAGTGCTGATGTGTCAGCCTGGATCTCTGGGTCTGTTGCGCTTGCGCTAACGCTCAGACACTGACCCAGCCAACCACTGCCGAATGGCGGCCTTCACTGCAGGGAGATGCGCCATACATTTACTATAGGAAAATCCGAGAACGGGTGGTTGGAATTTTTTCATAGCCTTTTCATCGATACTATGGGAAAATATACGTCACCAGAACAACGGCCATCGTTACTTTCAGTGTACGAACACGTTATTTAAGCAGTTTTGAGACCATCTGGGGCCTGATATGACTGGAATATTGTACAATCATTCGTCACATTCCAATTCTAATTCAGTGTGCCATTTTCAGTTTTTTCAGCATATTTCTCAGTTTCATCTCCATCGTCGATGTCTTGAAGGCTGTGAGTGATGGAGAGAAGGAGGATGTCGTCACTGCTGTTTACGTCTCCAAAGGCTTGCAAGCCGGTACATTTGTAAGTCAGCTTGGATGGTTTATCCATGTTAAAGCTTCCCAAAATAATTCCTTGAAAATATTTTGAAATGTGTATAGACATGAGCACGAAAAATTTAATCAGAATCATACCAAATGTCCAGGATAATGTGTGCTGCTTCATATTTGAAATAGGGCGGTGGGATAGCTTAGTGGTTAAAGCATAAGCTCGTCACACTGAAGACCCGGGTTAGATTCCCCACGTGAGTACAATGTGTGAGGCCCAGTGAGGACAATTTCTGGTGTCCCCCGGCGTGATATTGCTGGAATATTGCTAAAAGCCGTGTACAACGGCGTCATACCAAAAGACGTTAAAACATGGTACTTGTTGGTCCCTGCCTGGCGCTCAACATTAATGGGTACAACAAAGACTGGTCGGCTCAGAGTAAGTATACTGCTTCACTGCGGCATGGTATCTCAGTGGGCTAGCACTATAAAACCAGCTTAAGTCTGGGCTAGTACAAGCAGCCACACATACACACAAACGCGCATGCACGTCGTCATATGAGCGAAATATTCTCAAGCACGACGTTAAATCCAATTTCAACTCACTCACTCACTCACTCACTCACTCACTCACTCACTCACACTCACTCACTCACTCACTCACTCACTCACTCACTCACTCACTCACTCACTCACTCACTCACTCACTCACCAGTGAGCTACAACTGACATTTCTGTTGAACAAATTATGATTTCTACATGTTCCACAATGCCCATCTTGTCTTCAGTTGCTGGCGGCCATTTTGGTTCAGCTGGAACGCAAGCTTGGGTTCATCACGTCCGGAGTTCAGTTCATGTTTTGGTTGATGACTTCACTTGCAGGAGTGGTGCCATTCTACAGTAGGATAATACAACAGGTAGGTATATATGTCAGTCTACAGAATTAAACAACAGGTAGGTATATATGTCAGTCCACTGTAGGATAATACAACAGGTAGGTATATATGTCAGTTTACAGTAGGATTATACAACAGGTAGTTATATATGTCAGTCTACAGTAGGATAATACAACAGGTAGGTATATATGTCAGTCTACAGGATAATACAACAGGTAGGTATATATGTCAGTCTACAGGATAATACAACAGGTGGGTATATATGTCAGTCCACTGTAGGATAATACAACAGGTAGGTATATATGTCAGTCTACTGTAGGATAATACAGCAGATAGGTATATATATCAGTCCACTGTAGGATAATACAACAGGTAGGTATATATGTCAGTCTACAGTTGGATAATACAACAGGTGGGTATATATGTCAGTCTACTGTAGGATAATACAACAGGTAGGTATATATGTCAGTCTACAGTAGGGTAATACAACAGGTGGGTATCTATATCAGTCTACAGTAGGATAATACAACAGGTAGCTATATATGTCAGTCTACAGTAGGATAATACAACAGGTAGCTATATATGTCAGTCTACAGGGTAATACAGCAGTTAGGGATATATGTCAGTCTACAGTAGGATAATACAACAGGTAGGTATATATGTCAGTCTACAGGATAATACAACAGGTAGGTATATATGTCAGTCTACAGGATAATACAACAGGTAGGTATATATGTCAGTCTACAGTAGGATAATACAACAGGTGGGTGTATATGTCAGTCTACTGTAGGATAATACAACAGGTAGATATATATCTCAGTCTACAGTAGGATAATACAACAGGTGGGTGTATATGTCAGTCTACAGTAGGATAATACAACAGGTAGGTATATATGTCAGTCTACAGGATAATACAGCAGGTGTGGCTGTGTGTCAGTGAGTATTCGGCGATGAGTTGAGCATGGATATTTGAGTACACAATAAACTTCAGTGATAACATCTTAGAACTGTGCTCCTTTAGGACAGACTCGGTATTACCTGAGCAAAACCAGACACATGCTTGCTAACTAATACTGCTTGTTTCTAGAATTTTAAAGTTCTATCTCTTGTTGACCTGACATTATTCAATGACATCATCGACAGTCTTGAAGTTATAGAGTGAGAATGAAACATGCAACTTTATGGATGACAACTTCTTGTTTATTGCATAGAGGGACGTTTCGATGTAGATTCTTACATCATTATCAAGCAGCTTTTATATTTTTGTACATTCTGATTTGTACTTGAAATTACATTGTCCTGTTCAAAGTCAAGTTGATGTTATTGGGGTTTGCACTAATCTACATTTCTGTTTTTGTAACATTTCAGGAGTACAACGATAATCTATTCCGGTTCGCGCTGTTCTACGTGTACTATGGGTTTGTGCTGATTACTCTGCTACTCCACTGTTTCGCCGACAACCCAACACGACAAGGCTACTACCACATGGGCAGCGTAAGTCAGATACTGCTTCAACAATAAACTTGTATGTTGTAGTGGATGAAAATTGTAGAAGCTGATTTTATATATGTAGATAAAAGACAGTTCAAACATACATAGAAATGTCAGGATAGGTCTCAGAATTGCTCATGCTTACATTGTTAATATAGAACAGAAAGTGTTTCCTATTCATTTATTCTGGCCATACTTACTGACTTGATCAAGTGTATGCTTGTCTGATACTTCTTGGGGCGGTGGGGTAGCCAAATGGTTAAAGCGTTAGCTCGTCACGCTGAAGACCCGGGTTCGGTTCCCCACATGGGTACAATGTGTTAAACCAATTTCTGGTGTCCCCCGCCGTGATATTGCTGGAATATTGCTAAAAGCGGCGTAAAACCAAACACACTCACTCACTCACTCAAATGTTATATCTTCACACTGAGCATGACCTTCCAGCCAGTCCTGTTTTCTTCCTAGGTTCTGTCTCCTGAGACCAGGGCTTCCTTCCCCAGTAGAGTGACCTTCAACTGGATCAACTCGTGAGTATCTGGATTTGTCATAGGAAGTGGCTGGATTAGATTTGATGGTCAGACTTGGCAACCGTTACAGACCTCTGTCTCCTGTTACAGACTGCTGTCATCTGTTACAGACCGGTGTCATCTGTTACAGCATGCTGTCATCTGTTACAGACTGCTGTCATCTGTTACAGCATGCTGTCATCTGTTACAGACTGCTGTCATCTGTTACAGACTGTTTTCATCTGTTACAGACTGCTGTCATCTGTTACTGACTGCTCTCTTCCCTGTTAAAGACCATTGGCCCAAAGACTGTTGTCTGACTGTCTGTGACTGATATCTTTTCTTTTTCAGATTGTTGTTCAAAGGGTATCGTAAATCCTTGGAGGAGGAGGATCTGTTTGAGCTACACCCGAGGGACAAAAGTGAGAGGGTTCTACCCGAGTTCTGGAAGGCGTGGATGACAGAAGTGAGGAAAGCACAGAGGAAAAACCAGAAAAAGTAAGCATGTTCTTAACAGCTCCTCTCCATGTGTCTTGAGTTTGGGGGCGGTGGGGTAGCCTAGTGGTTAAAGTGTTGGCTCGTCACGCCGACCACCACGCCGAACACCCGGGTCATCTGACTCCATGACCTAGTACACTCACAGTGTGGATCACTTGTCCAGATTAAAGTATTATTTACAGGCCATCACATAGCTGAAATATTACTGTCCAGTGTTTAACAAACAGGAAAGCAAATGATTAGGTCCCATCATGGGTCTGGTACAGAATCAACACGTATCCATGGTGATCATGATATTTCAGAGGCAGGTATGCTGCATCCACCCTCCACCACAACCTGATGCAGGGCGGGGGGGCACATGCCTCGGAGAAAACCCCCTTGCTGCAAGCAGCTCACAGCAGCAACAGTGACGTGTCCTTCAAGGTCAAGGACAAGGACAAACCTCAACTGGCGCAGCCGTCCTTGTTCAAAGTATTGGTGAAGACGTATGGGTTCACACTTCTCATTTCCCATGTGTGGAAGGCTGTCTATGACTTGCTGTCCTTTGTCAACCCATTGCTCACAAAGTAAGTAGAACGTCATCCCCTCCTTGATCTCAGTCAATAGAAGTATGTTAAGATATGTAAATCTCTGCACATTGTGTGGAGCTGAACTGTTACGGAACCGTGGACATTTTACTTTGGTGGAAATGATGGGAAAGCACTCACCTGGACATGTTTACCTGCTGAATTTTTAATTTAAGTCTATTAGAATGTATTTACCGTCTTCCTAATGTGCTGAGGCATTCCATTGATGACATCGTGTTGTCATTATCTGATAGGGTTTGTGTGTTGGGTATGTAACGGTTTATCAAACAACTGATGACATTGTGTTGTCATTATCTGATAGGGTTTGTGTGTTGGGTATGTAACGGTTTATCAAACAACTGATGACATTGTGTTGTCATTATCTGATAGGGTTTGTGTGTTGGGTATGTAACGGTTTATCAAACAACTGATGACATTGTGTTGTCATTATCTGATAGGTTTTGTGTGGTGGGTATATAACGGTTTATCAAACAACTGATGACATTGTGTTGTCATTTTCTGATAGGTTTTGTGTGTTGGGTATGTAACGGTTTATCAAACAACTGATGAATTACAGTCAGAAATTTCAAACCAAATGATTCAGGGTTGTGATTCACCTGCAGATATGCATCGTATTGCGGCCTCACTCTAATCACACTACTACTGGAATAGTATAGGGTAGCGTCACAATGCAGCAACACCGTGAACTTTGCCCTACAGTCACCTCTGTCTAGGGGATGAGGACACAGGTTGTCTTGGGGAAACAAATTGCACTGGAGGGTTTGTCCTATGCCTGGACTTGTTTGGTTGTCACTTCTGTGTTTCAGTGCCTTGATTGCCTTCATTGACAACCGAGCCAACGAGCAGGAGTGGAAGGGCTACGTGTACGCCTGCTCCTTCTTCCTGGTGGCTGTCACTCAGTCGTGTTTCTACCACCAGCACTTCCACATCAGCATGACGCTGGGGATGAGGATCAAGTCCGCCGTCATATCAGCCGTCTACAAGAAGGTCAGGCTCATTTAGTAAACGTGTCTTACTCTCTGTCTTACACACCTTACACCGTCTCCGAGGTGTAGTGGTTAGAGCGTCCGCCCAGAGAGACCGGCCGGCCACGTCATACCAAAAGATATTAAATTATGGTACTTGTTGGTCCCTGCCTGGCCCTCGGCATTCATGGGTACAACCAGGACTGGTCGGCTCAGAGTCAGTATAATGCACGGAATCTGTAATTCCATGAATTAATATAAATATAACTCAATTTAATCAACTCACAAAATAACAGTTGAGGTGGTGTAGCTGGGTGGTCATCTTTTGCTTGTCATTCCGAAGGTCCAAGTTTGATTGTCTGAATCTGTTCTTGGTGTTGCACATCGTGATATTGCATGCAATGTCTTCCTCAATGTGGGTACTAGTGGGGATTTGGGTTGTTGAATCACTGGTTAGAGGTGGCGAAAGATTTTTCTTTGTGACAAACATTGATGTTAAATCTGTGTTAAATCTGTAAAATTGTTTTAAGTAGGATAGAATTTCAAAGTTGTGCATGATCTGAAAGTAGCACATCAACTTAAAGTAGAACATGATCTAATCAGTGATGGTAGTGTGTGGGGTCGGGATTGTTCAAAGGTGTGGGAGGGGCTCAGAATGAATTTGAAACAAAAAGTCATGGACGTCCACTCCAAGTTCTGTCTGCAACAGTGCTTAAAGGCGTATAAAATCTTATCTAATCATGTGACTAGTTGCAACTGATGTTTCACGTCGTCAACAGGCTCTGACTATCAGCAGCGATGCCCGGAAGGAATCCACAGTGGGGGAGATCGTCAACCTGATGTCCGTGGACTGCCAGCGTCTCCAGGATGTCACAGGGTACTTGTATGTGGTCTGGTCCTCACCGCTGCTGATCGCTATTGCACTATACATGTTGTGGGGCCTTCTGGGACCATCCGTGATGGCAGGACTTGGAGTGATGATACTTCTGTTCCCGATCAACGGCATCATGGCCGGGAAGCTGCGGAAGTACCAGCTCCAGCAGATGAAGTTGAAGGATGCCAGGATCAAACTGATGAGTGAAGTCCTCAATGGTATCAAGGTGGGTCATGTTGTATTGTTTATTTCCCTTGTTACAAGCCTTTAGTTGACATTTCTTCTTGTCGTAAGGTCCTGTATTGTATCTTTCTTAAAATATATTTCTCAGGTTCTGAAGCTGTACGCCTGGGAGCTGTCCTTCCAGGAGAAGGTGCTCGTCATCCGACGCCAGGAGCTGGCCTTGCTGAAGAAAGTTGCCTACTTCAACGCTGTCATGTCTTTCTTCTGGACGTGTGCCCCTTATCTTGTAAGTTGCTTAACTAAAGTCATGTGCCCCTGATCTTGTAAGTTGTTGAACTAGATACATGTGCCCCTCATCTTGTAAGTTGCTGAACTTAAGACCTGTACCCCTTATCTTGTAAGTTGCTGAACTTGAGATATATGCCCCTTATCTTGTAAGTTGCTGAACTTGAGTCATGTGCCCCTTATCTTGTAAGTTGCTGAACTTGAGACATGTGCCCTTTATCTTGTAAGTTGCTGAACTTGAGACATGCGCCCCTTATCTTGTAAGTTGCTTGACTTGAGTCATGTGCCCCTGATATTGTAATTTGCTTGACTTGAGACATGCGCCCCTTATCTTGTAAGTTGCTGAACTTGAGATATGTGCCCCTTATCTTGTAAGTTGCTGAACTTTAGACGTGTGCCCCTTATCTTGTAAGTTGCTGAACTTGAGACATGTGCCCGCTATCTTGTAAGTTGCTGAACTTGAGACATGTGCCCCTTATCTTGTAAGTTGCTGAACTTGAGACATGTGCCCCTTATCTTGTAATTTGCTTGACTTGTGACATGTGCCCCTTATCTTGTAAGTTGCTTGACTTGAGACATGTGCCCCTTATCTTGTAAGTTGCTGAACTTGAGACATGTGCCCCTTATCTTCTAAGTTGCTTGACTTGAGACATGTGCCCCTTATCTTGTAAGTTGCTGAACTTGAGATATATGCCCCTTATCTTGTAAGTTGCTGAACTTGAGTCATGTGCCCCTTATCTTGTAAGTTGCTGAACTTGAGACATGTGCCCCTTATCTTGTAAGTTGCTTGACTTGAGTCATGTGCCCCTGATATTGAAATTTGCTCGACTTGAGACATGTGCCCCTTATCTTGTAAGTTGCTTGACTTGAGTCATGTGCCCCCTTATGCCCCTTATCTTGTAATTTGCTTGACTTGAGACATGTGCCCCTTATCTTGTAAGTTGCTGAACTTGAGACATGTGCCCCTTATCTTGTAAGTTGCTGAACTTGTGACATTTGCCCCTTATCTTGTAAGTTGCTGAACTTGAGACGTGTGCCCGTTATCTTGTAAGTTGTTTGACTTGAGACATGTGCCCCTTATCTTGTAATTTGCTTGACTTTAGACATGTGCCCCTTATGTTGTAATTTACTTGACTTGAGACATTTGCCCCTTATCTTGTAAGTTGCTGAACTTGAGACATGTGCCCCTTATCTTGTAAGTTGCTGAACTTGAGACATGTGCCCCTTATCTTGTAATTGCTTGACTTGTGACATTTGCCCGTTATGTTGTAAGTTGCGGAACTTGAGACATGTGCCCCTTGTCTTGAAAGTTGCTTGACTTAGACATGTGCCCCTTATGTTGTAATTTGCTTGACTTGAGTCATGTGCCCCTTATCTTGTAAGTTGCTGAACTTGAAACATGTGCTCCTTATCTTGTAATTTGCTTGACTTGTGACATGTGCCCCTTATCTTGTAAGTTGCTTGACTTAAGACATGTGCCCCTTATCTTGTAATTTGCTCGACTTGAGTCATGTGCCCCTTATCTTGTAAGTTGCTGAACTTGAGACATGTGCCCCTTATCTAGTTATTTGTTCGACTTAAGACCTGTGGCCCTTATCTTGTAAGTTACTTACCTTGAGATATATGCCCGTTATGTTGTAAGTTGCTGAACTTGAGACATGTGCCCCTTATCTTGTAAGTTGCTGAACTTTAGAAATGTGCCCCTTATCTTGTAAGATGCTGAACTTTAGAAATGTGCCCCTTATCTTGTGAGATGCTGAACTTGAGACATGTGCCCCTTATCTTGTAAGTTGTTGGACTTGAGACATGTGCCCCTTATCTTGTAAGTTGCTTGACTTGAGTCATGTGCCCCTTATCTTGTAAGTTGCTGAACTTGAGTCATGTGCCCCTTATCTTGTAAGTTGTTTGACTTGAGACATGTGCCCCTTATCTTGTAATTTGCTTGACTGGTGACATTTGCCCCTTATCTTGTATGTTGCTTGACTTGAGTCATGTGCCCCTTATCCTGTAAGTTGCTTGACTTGAGTCATGTGCCCCTTATCTTGTAAGTTGCTGAACTTGAGTCATGTGCCCCTTATCTTGTAAGTTGCTGAACTTGAGTCATGTGCCCCCTGTTTTATAAGTTGCTGGTTTTAAGATGTGTTATTAACCTTGAAACATGTGCCCCCTCTCATGTAAGTTATCTATCTTGAGACATGTGCCCCCTTTCACCTCCTGCATTATTGCTGAGAGTCTCCTAATAACAGGCCCAGGTATCTCCCAGGTGTAGGAGACCATTCCCCTCCACTCCGACAGATTGCTGTGTCACAAAGCGTTGTTGTTGCAGGTGACACTGGCGACATTTGCTGCCTACATCTTGTCCTCCACTGACAACGTGCTGGACGCACAGAAAGCCTTTGTGTCGCTGTCTCTGTTCAACATTCTCCGTATGCCTATCAACGCCCTGCCAATGATCATCCCGTACTATATTCAGGTTGGTTCCATGTACAGAGGTGTAGCGATATGGCGGTACACCATCGCTGGACGGCACTCACTATACATTGATTATCCCATATCACAGCACATACAATTCATTACATTACAGTTTATACTGAGGTAAAACATGTGAATAATATCAGAAACTGTTCAAGAACCAGCTTATGCAGATTGTGTATTATCTTCTGATTGAATCTGCTTAGTGAACCTTCCATGTCTCACCTGCAGAAGGAGATATGAACTTATGAAATATAAATACTGTATCGGGATATGAACCGTACCACACCCTTATTATATCACAGCCTTACTGTATTGTTACATCTATAATGTTCTAGCCAATCATGGTGGGTTTGCTGTGCATATTCACACACTTACTCAACACTATATATGTGCTGTATTCCCATTCAGTCAATCCAGTCTTGCTTCATGTGATGTCATCAGTTTGTCACATAATTCTGTTCACAGTCTGAGTTACCATGGATAGCCCACTGTCAATCACTTGGCAAACCAGATATTTTCATTCAACATCTTTCACAAAAAATTCCTAAAATCTGTTTCATACACAATATCTTGAGAAGTTATGATCCTGTTGTGAGGAAACTTTCTGCATATGATCTCAAGGCTGAAAGCTTAGTTTGAAGGTCGTCATTAACTCAGAAATGCTTTGTTAACATGGGGGTGGTGGGGTAGCCTAGTGGTTAAACCGTTAGCTCATCACGCCAAAGACCTGGGTTTGATTTTCTAAATGGATACAATGTGTGAAGCCCATTTCCAATGACACAGCCTCGATATTGCTGGAATATTGCTAAAATTGCGTAAAACCACACTCAGTCATTCACTGTTGTTAACATGAATAGCTAGCTAGAAGCATCCTCAGAATTACAACTCATCGTCATTGTCCTCGTCCTCCTCCTTCACACCCATTCTAAACATCCAGCACATTTCCTCCACAGGGCTGGGTGTCCGTCACTCGTGTGTCCAAGTTTCTGCGAGCCAAGGACCTGGATGACTCCAACGTCCAGGGGGGATCCACACAGTGGTCAGTTCAGATTAACAATACTTTAGTTTCAAGAGATAATACGCTTCCACACAAGCGAGTGAGTGAGTTTAGTTTTATGCCACACTCAGCAATATTCCAGCTATATGGCGGCGGTCTGTAAATAATCGAGTCTGGACCAGATCAACACCATGAGCATCAATCTGCGCAATTCGGAACCGATGACCTTGTCTTATGACAAGCATGGGTTATTGAAAGTTCATTCTAGCCCGGATCTTCACGGGTCCTTCCACACAAGTGACAGGGTCATGTTAACAAAGGAACTCATTCACATGTCCATGAACGTCTGCTTGTGAAGTCTTTTGTTACAAGGTGCCTGTCAGTAAGGGAGTACTGATACTGGGAGACATCATTGTAGATTGTTAAATGACAGATCTCGACACTTGAAAGCAATGCAGCCATAACGTAGTCTTTTTTGTGTAAATACTTTGTGTTCATGATAATAGTTGTACTTGTTACAAACCTGAATAAAGATGGACCAATACTGAAAAAGATATATATTTCCAAATGTATTTTATTAGTGTATGGACCAAAACTTAGAGACAAAAACAACATTCTTTTTCCAATTGTATTTTTATGTTTCCAAGAATGGTGTACCTCTAAAACAGCTCTAGTCTATGAAGGAAATCCAAGTTCTATGGATAGTCAACTTCTTTATTGCAATGGGTGCGACGTTTCGGTGTAGGTACAAACACCGTTATCAAGCAAGTGATACATAGAGTTGTAACATGGAGAATATATACATAGCTGCATAGTGTGTATATACAATTGACAAGGTTGATATACATTGTATTGCTAATTAGTGATTTGAGCAGAGTAGGTTGATGTACAGAGTGATAGTGATTAAAACAATATGCAGAATGAGTTTAGACAATAGATGAGTTGATGTACACTGAGATGGTAATGTGAGTTGGAGAGCGTAGATTGATGTACACATTGATTGGTTGTGATTACAATACACAAAAGAGGGGCATAGAAGCCAGTTGGACGAGGTATGGGTGGATTACTGGTGATATTTAATTAGGTTGTGATAGGCTGAAGAGATAAAATAACCTTGATCCGGGTTTGTGGTGGGGTTGAAGCGTTGGATTTTATGGCTTTATCCATAGTTGTCTATCCATAGAACTTGGTTTTCCTTCATCTATCCAACTTCTAAAATGCCTCTCAAAGAAGCTCTAGTCTATGTTTTTGTGTATCATTTTCAAGTGGTGGTTTTGAAGTATACTGATGGAGTTTTGTTACAAAGGAACCCTGTATAAAACTCACATATAGATTGCCATGGTTGATTCGGGATTTCGTCTGTGTTTCAGACGCGGCTATAAAGATTGAGCGTGGGAATTTCACTTGGGACAAGGAGCTGCCCAAACCTACACTGAGGAAGTGAGTCAGGCAGTGTCTTCCTGAAAGGGGGACTTTAATAATAACAATAATAATAATTGTGGACATTTATACAGCCCCTGTGTCCACACACTAGTGCTTGCTCAAAGCTCCAAATCATTATTACTCTGTTAACCTTAGCTGTCTGTGTAAGGCTCAAGAAGGTTAACAGTCGTATGACTTATCCCACCTGGTACCCATTCACTGCTGGGGGAAGGGGAAATTTTGAACAAACTCATTTGCCTAGGGTTAGACCAATGTGTTACTTTTCTTCTGGCCCTTTGGCTTGTGGACAGTAGAAACATTAGAATATATAACTGAAGATCAGAGTTTAACTTCAGATATCACTCACATAAGAAGCTCCCTTGCTGTGTTGTAACTTCAGATATCACTCACACAAGAAGCTCCCTTGCTGTGTTGTAACTTCAGATATCACTCACACAAGAAGCTCCCTTGCTGTGTTGTAACTTCAGATATCACTCACACAGGAAGCTCCCTAGCTGTGTTGTAACTTCTGATATCACTCACACAAGAAGCTCCCTTGCTGTGTTGTAACTTCAGATATCACTCACACAAGAAGCTCCCTAGCTGTGTTGTAACTTCAGATATCACTCACACAAGAAGCTCCCTTGCTGTGTTGTAACTTCAGATATCACTCACACAAGAAGCTCCCTTGCTGTGTTGTAACTTCAGATATCACTCACACAAGAAGCTCCCTTGCTGTGTTGTAATTATGAGCAAGAGACCCTGTTAAACCGTCACGCTACGTTATGAGCATTGTGATGTAATTTTTAAATGTTTACCAGTTTGGTGAAGCCTTGAACTGGTGTAGGGCACTTCCTGGCAAGGAGCGTAATGGATGGGTATCTTGGTTGTGAACAATGTCCATGGGCCTATGGTCTGTGTATCTCATACTCATACATTTAGCTGAAGGCTTGTGCTAGGTGACCTACTGATGTGTGTTTCTGACTTCCCCAGAATTGACCTGAAGATCCCTGAGGGTAAGCTGGTGGCGGTGGTGGGCCAGGTGGGGGCGGGGAAGTCCTCCCTCATCTCCGCCATGCTGGGGGAGATGGAGAAACTCACCGGCAGCGTCACGGTCAAGGTAAACACCAAGCCTCTCCAAGATACACATCTCTAGCAACACCCTCTACACACAGCAACATCCCCATTAACACCCTCCTTACACACAGCAACATCCCTAGCAACACCCTCTACACACAGCAACATCCCCAGCAACACCCTCCTTACACACAGCAACATCCCCAGCAACACCCTCCTTACACACAGCAACATTCCCAGCAACACCCTCCTTACACACAGCAACATCTCAAGCAACACCCTCCTTACACACAGCAACATCCCCATCAACACCCTCCTTACACACAGCAACATCCCCATCAACACCCTCCTTACACACAGCAACATCTCAAGCAACACCCTCCTTACACACAGCAACATCCCATCAACACCCTCCTTACACACAGCAATATCCCCAGCAACACCCTCCTTACACACAGCAACATCCCCAGCAACTCCCTCCTTACACACAGCAACAACCTCCTTACACACAGCAACATCCCCATCAACACCTTCCTTATACACAGCAGCATCCCCAGCAACACCCTCCTTACACACAGCAGCATCCCCAGCAACACCCTCCTTACACACAGCAACATCCCCAGCTACACCCATCTACACACACCAACATCCCCAGCAAAACCCCTTCCACACAAAACAACAATCCCCAGCAACACCCTCTCTACATACAGCATCATCCCCAGCAAAACCCTCTCTACACACAGCAACATCCCCAGCAACACCCTCACCACACAAAGCAACATCCCCATCAATACTCTGGCCACATGAAAGCAAGACCCTCTCAACACACAGCTAGACCCTCTTCTGCAAAACATCATGATTAATACCCAGGTTTGAGTAGGTCACCAGTAGAAAATTGATTGTGAATGTGACAAATCTTGCACTGGAAAAATCAGGCTTTGACAACTGACTTCAGTCCGTCTCAGAATTACCTTGAAACTGTTTGATTCCTAATAGACTGTTTTGAAAACTTTCAGAGCTCCCTTGCATACGTGCCCCAGGAGGCGTGGATCCAGAATGCCACTCTGAGAGACAACATCACATTTGGGCAGGATCACAGTGAGAAGAAGTACAAGCAGATTATTGAAGCCTGTGCCTTGACCTCTGACCTGGAGATATTACCTGGAAAAGATATGACAGAAATAGGAGAGAAAGTAGGTTGAATGTGTTTTATTTACAGTTCTTCTTCTCCTCCTTTTTGCTTGACCTTCTCTTGTTCTCCAACGTGTTCTCATTGTTCTTCTTCCTGCTCTTCCTCTTGTTCTACTTTTTTTTGTTCGCCTACTTGATCTTTGTTCGTCATTTTCTTGGTCTTCCTCCTCTTGTTCTTCTTTCTCTTCCACCTGTTCTCCTACTTGTTGTTTGTTGTCCTACTTGTTGTTTGTTGTCCTACTTGTTGTTTGTTCTCCTACTTGTTGTTTGTTGTCCTACTTGTTGTTTGTTCTCCTACTTGTTGTTTGTTGTCCTACTTGTTGTTGGTTCTCCTACTTGTTGTTTGTTGTCCTACTTGTTGGTTCTCCTACTTGTTGTTTGTTGTCCTACTTGTTGTTTGTTCTCCTACTTGTTGTTTGTTGTCCTACTTGTTGTTGGTTCTCCTACTTGTTGTTTGTTGTCCTACTTGTTGGTTCTCCTACTTGTTCTTCCTGCTTCTCTTTGTTGTCCCCTGCCGCAACGCGGAACGGGGGACTATGTATTCAGCGGCGTTCGTCTGTACGTCCCGATTCTTGTTAACGCGATATCTGATGAACTGTTGTACCCAATGTCTTCAAATTTGGTGACAGCCTACATTGAGAGACTACGCAGACACCAGTCGATTTGGGTGACCTTGACCTTATTTTCAAGGTCCCCACAACACTGACCACTGTTCAAACTGTTGTTAACGTGATATCTCATGCACTGTTGGACCCTGGTCTTCAAATTTGGTTACAGCATACATTGGGGGATTAGGCAGACACCAGTTTATTTTGGTGACCTTGACCTTATCTTCAAGGTCACCATGACACTTTGCACTCTTTTAACTCTTGTTAACGCGATATTTCATGGACTGTTGTACCCAAGTCTTCAAATTTGGTGACAGCCTACATTGGGGTATTACACAGACACCAGTTTTTTTCGGGTGACCTTGACCTTATCTTCAAGGTCACCACGATACTTTGACCGCTTTTTAAAGGCGATATCTCATAAACTATTGCACCCAATGTTTTCAAGTATGTTGACAGCCTACATTGGGTGATTATGCAGACACCAGTCATTTCAGGCATCTTGTATGTGACCAAAAAATAAAAAGTTGTAAATATAGATATTCCATTCTTTAGCGGAGGGGGACATTGCCATATCAGTGGCAAACGCTTGTTCTTGTTGTTTTTCATCCTCCTTTTTTTTTCCTTTTTCTTTTTCTTACTACTTCTGTTCTATGTGTCCCCTGCCGTGATATTGCTGGAATATTTCTAAAAACGGTGTAGAACCATACTCACTCACTCACTCTCTGTGTTCTTGTTACCTCTTCCTCCTGCTCTATCTCCTCTTGTTCTCCTACTTGTTCTTCTTCCTGCTCCATTTTCTCCTGTTCTCTGACTTCTTCTTCTTCTCCTTCCTCTTCTGGTATTTGCAAGCATCCAGTCCCAAGAGGTGACTAATTTTATAACCTGTGGGGACTTTGTGTTAGAAATGGTCCTGAGCAACTGTATAAGATGTCTGAATGGATGGAGGGTCAGACTGTGTGACTTGGCCAGTGTAAATGAACAACGTGGATTGTCATATCAGCAGTCTGATTGTGTGATTGTAAGTTGAGTATTTTTATGTGCCATCCTACAGCTGGAATAATGGTGAGGGTGGCGTTAACACTGTCGCACTCTCTTGCACTCTGACAATGAAACAAAGTATGAATGTTTTAGTTCGTCTGTTAAGATGTACAGTGGAAACTGTCTAAACCGGCACTCGTCGGGACTGAAGAAATATTCCGGCTTAGACAGCGTGCCGGATTGTAGAGTTGACACTAGAACTGAGCTCATATTTAGGGCTCCTTTGCCTTTAGGCAGGAGACCTATTGTAATCGTTCGTGTTTTTATTATTATTATTATTTATTCTTCCGCCGTATTTTGTAACAGAGCTACAGAGAGCACCGCTGGACAGAATGCCTTGACAAAAATCACCCAGATGCCCACCGAGGTGTAGATATCGAGCTTTAAAATCTCTAGGCTGTAGGCCCAATAGCAAAGGGCAGATAATTCAAAATTAATTCAAAAATTTCAATTTCAAATTCAAATATCTCCAAAACTAATGCTCCAATGTGTGCCAAAGTTCTTGAGCAGATGCGCAATCAAAATGCCTACAATTTCGCCTGGACGGCTCAAGTCGCTAAAATGCACCGTTTGGGCTATTTGGGATTGAAGTTTTGTTGATGTTTTTCAGCAAAATCCTGACTGCATACCTCCCAAAATGTGCTGCACTAAAACTACAAGGGCTACGGTTTTCAAAGCGTTACATACTTTGTGTCTATCCATGTTTCTACACAGTAGCATCGTCAAATGTGCCTATGTTTATATGATGGCGCCATATTGGGACGCTACTTTTGGGCAAAGTTGTCTTCAAAAACTTTCACGGGCTACTTTGCTATTTTGTGCCAAATGAAACTTACCACATACAACACTTTAAAGCGGCTTGTTCTAAAGTTGCCTTTGGTTGTTGAACATTTTCTGTTCTTGGTCCTATGTCAAAGACCCTGCAAGCCGCCACGGCTTTCAAACTTTGAAGAGCCATAAAATTTACTGATCAAAAACATCTGTTCAACATTATCCATGTGGATAAAACATATGGGAGCTAAAAGGGAAAAAACTGTTTGAGGCGTGCCCCAAATGAAAGAAAAGAGTGCCAAACAAACTGACTCACAACTCCAGGCAGAACACGCGAAATATCACGCAAAAAGTCTTCCAACAACGTACCAGTGATCATTAATAATGCTTACATTCAAAAACCCAAAGTTTGGACAGATTTAACAAAATAAGGACTTCTTTTTATCACCGACGGCCCAGGGATACATTGCCGAATGTGTCATAAGTTTCATCGACATTTACAGCACGGCAGATTACCCGTGCAAAGCATGCGACAGTCTGAAGGAAAGCGCCAAAGGCGATGTCTCCTATAAAGAGATTACCACTGCAAAGCGTGGTCCACGTGCATATATGGGAGGCGATGTCAATTTCAATTGACAATGGCGAGAGCTGTCCAGCGTGAGCGGGTTAAACACAAGCTAAACGATACTGAAGTAACAAATAGTATGTCTAAGTGTATTTTCAAAGACAACAGAGGGACAAGTGAAATTCTATTTTCCTCACTGTATAGTTTCTATCTTTATTGGTTCTCTAGAGAGCACAATGAAAATTTGCAGTATGTATCTCAAACGTTTGCTGATCATTTTCTGTTCATGATGAGAGCATAAACATGTGATTCTTTCCGTCGAATGGCACAGGTGTTATGTGCCAAAAACCCAGAGCGTTACACAAAGTTAAAATACAGTGCAGTAGAGGTGTTATATCTTCATTGAAATTCAGTCTTTTGCAAGGGGTATGTCTTTAGGCAGCTTTTAAAGATTGCCAATGAATGGCGTTCGGGTCATGGTAAAGTTGTAGCTGTGGTCTAAGGGGGTAACTCTGGTCTAGCTGAAGGAAGGGCTAGTAAAATCGTTCAACACTGCTCACTTTCGCCCGGCTTTGCAATTCGAAGAGTAATGCGCTTTGCCAATCAGTTCTGTCTTGTGGAGCTTGCATGGATGTAAAACTTCATATGTGACCTTTATCGAGCTGTTAGGTGTATTTCCAGTATATATACCTGCTCTCGATTCACTATTCATTTGCAACAGCCCGAGTGTAATAGTGTAATGGATACTAATACAAACTACTGAAGTACCTTCATTGCTGTGAAATTACAAGTTCACTTGCATCAGCGTGAGAGTGAGTGAGTGAGTGTAGTTTTACGCCGGAGTCAGCAATATTCAAGCTATATGGCAGTACTTTACATCACCGACGGCCCAGGGATACATTGCCGAATGTTTCAAAAGTTTCTCACACATTTACGACACACGGCACATTACCCGTGCAAAACATGCGACAGTCTGAAGAAAGCGCGAGGGCGATTATAGCCGCTCCTTCAAACGCTGTTTGTAATCGATTCCACACAAGCGCGAGACAAGTTGTGCACGTTTATTCACCGTGTCAGCATGGATAGCACTTGAAAAGTAATAGGTAAGTATGCAGTCATAACATCTACATCTATATCTACATATCAACATGTGCATGGGATACCTTGGCGACTGTTTGTCGGCTTAATTTCCCCCTCATGATATGTCCTATAAAGAGACTACCACTGCAAAGCGTGGTTCACGATGCAGATATGGGAGGCGAGAGAAAGTGTGTATGGTTCGCGAAAGCTATGTAAGTGTGCAAATGCCGCGCTCCTATCGATCTGCCCTTTCCAAGTTTAGATCGGTTCTGCACCTCTAAAGTTGGAAACAGGCAGATATTCAAATATGCATGTAAATGAAAGAGTGTGTTTTCAATGTAGTGATAAGATTTAAGTCGAGCGTCATGTACTGTTGGCATGTCCGCTGCACGATGATCAGCGTGAAAGTTTATATGGCCATATGTGGTTCAGCTATCCCAACTTCCTAGATTTATGTTATAATGAAGAAATGATTTTACTATTTAAAGAACATGTTTATTTTGCAGCCAAAACCTGCGTTCTTCAAAGAAGAAAACTTAGTGTACCTTTATCATATATGCCACTTCTATGTAATAGTCTCTCATAACCCCTTAAGTGTGGCTCATTTTATGTATATGTCTGTATATATCTGTACTTTTACATGAGGTGAGACTTAAGTAAAATATTTGTCTGTCTTCTCAGGGCGTGGACAGGCGGTTTTCCTTTGATGTCGTCTGTTTTTAAGTAAGGGATTAACTGGTTGGGAAGTGTTAAAATCCTAACTGTTACCGAATTGTGAAGGTTTCGTGAGTCTGTTCACTCTGGTAGTTCACTCTGGTAAGCGTGGTTAGCATGTGACTATGATAGGTGAGTGAGTTCACTCAGAAATCGCTTGCAGTGTTGACTGATTTCATAAAATGTGTTCCTCCGATAAGTGTACACGCTAGGTGAGTAATAATCACTGTCAGGAAATTGTTGCTACAGTTAGATTACAAATACTTCTGACATTTCGGTAGGAAGATATTTCTGCGTGAATTGACACACATCACGGAATCCTGAAGAGAAGAAGAAATGACTGGTGTTCGTGGCATCAAGTGTTGTAAATCAACTGTATCTACAGGTAACGACATCCTCACACAACCACCCCGCTGATCCAAATGAAACTGAGATTTGTCAATGTTTAATAACCTTGGGAACATTAGCGTCATTGCCGACACAGTGTATTATAATTTTATTAAAACTGTAAATAAACCCTTGTTTCGTTTCCTTATAATTACGCAGTCTAGTATTGCCTGAAGTCTTGCAATCACAAACTCAGTCTATTGTCTGGCGTTAATTAGCTTAGTAACCCAAAGTGGACACATTTTTCTAGACTTTGCTTTTACACGACTTAGGATGTCCACGTCCCGAGAATACCCCTACTGGAGTGCGTTAGTTGCTGTAAAACCACATGTTCACTTGTGTCAGCGTGGGAGGAACAGTGTTATGGATATTGATAAACGCTACCGAAATACAGAGCACGAGTGCTTCGTGGTCGACATGTCTTTTGGTTGCTGTTGATATTTAGATGGAAATGGTGTCTACCAACAGTGCAGAAAAATCCGCGCTTAACTCGCCAGGTACCTCTATCAGTAGGCAATGCACCATAATGAAGAGCATGAAAATGTCATTCTTTCCGTAAAATGGCACATGAGTTGTGTTTACTGACCGTTAAATGTGAATCGCGACTTGTCAGCTACATGTGACGTACATTTAAATTCACATAATGTCAGTCACAGTGAACCTTTCAAATTATTTAGTTCAGGCCACAAAATGTTCTGTTTCTCTGACTGTTTGAACAAAGGGTTCTTCTGTTTTGATATTCATTGTACCTAAGTGATATTATTTAATCTACGAAAATAGTTTTTTTGATGAGTTTATCGAAACTTAATGATCTCCCAGTACTTCCAGTCGAAGAGCATTCGACTAGCAGTGATATGATTCATATTAACTAATACCATTACTACATTCATGAGATATGTGAGAGATGCAAAAGGCTCCAAAGAAGTAAAGCCAAGGAGCCCTACATCGCTGCTCGCAGCTATATTCACTTTTATTTCACTTAATAACATAAACATGATAAATCAACACATTTGATAAAAATCAAACTTTTTGGTTTGTTTCTTCTCAATTGATGATTCAAGAGCGATTTTCTCGGCGACACTTTCCAAGCTCTATTTAACATTCCTCATGAGTGAAACATGTCAACTCACTAATTGCATGTACAAGTATACCCTTACTAAACTAAGATTAAATTATTTTTGTCGACAACTATGTACATTTGTAGTTACTTAACGTGTGATGCCGCACGCTCATAATCCCGTGTTATTTCAACGCAGTGTTAATACACATCCGGCTGACTCCTCACCTTGCGCAAGATTAGACAGAGCTTATTACTGTATAACATATTCGGGCGGCTCATTTCATGCCGAGATCCGGAACTGACAGCTGCCGGATTGCAAGAGCTTTTAAATGATGATAAATGTACTAGCCACAGACGGGACTGAGTTTTTATGCCGATGTTGACAACTTGCAGGATTGGACAGCTGCCGGTTTTGACAGCTTCCACTGTTTATCACTTTCTCTTAGTCAAAAAAGGTTCAGTCTTTACCTAAAACAGGTATCACATTTGGTGGTTTCAGTTTTGTTTGAACCGTATATCATGTCTTCTTCCCAGGGCATCAACCTCAGTGGGGGACAGAAGCAGCGTGTGTCTCTGGCTCGGGCCGTCTACAGTGATGCTGACATCTACCTCTTCGACGACCCACTCAGCGCCGTGGACTCACACGTCGGGAAGCACATCTTCCAGGAGGTGGTCGGCCAGAAAGGCATTCTCAGACACAAGGTGAGACCTGACCTTTACATGTTTAAACTTTTCGTGTTTGAAAGCATGTTTGTTTTCTGTTTCTACAATTCATGATGGTTTTTAAATATTAGTGTGCTGTGTTGCAGACTCGCCTGTTGGTGACCCATGGCGTCCACTGGCTGCCGATGACAGACGTGATCGTGGTGCTGGTGGACGGTGAGATCACGGAGATGGGGACATACGACGAGCTCCTGAGTCACGACGGAGCCTTCGCCCAGTTCCTGAAGACCTACCTCACACAGGAGGCCGACACCGAAGAGGAAGACGACCCAGAGAGTCAGTCATACGAAGTGTCTAGCAGAAAATACATATTTTTCCTTATCCTGACTCATGCTCTTTTTGCTTGTCTTCTTCTTCTTGCGAACATAGTGGAACACTTGTATCTCCCTAATTGAAGCTCCCTTCAATGTAAAATCACTAATTAGTACTCACCACGAGTTACCTCCCTTCCACAAGAGCGGGAACGAGGGCGCCACCTCCACCCATGTGCCTCACTCTCTCCTTCTTCGCCCAGTGAGCTGGACGTGAGAGCGCCTGTGTCTCCCGACACACTATATCCTTTGATTATATTTAGTTAGTTACCTCGTATAGACATCTATAGAGGTTTAGCTAGTATCCTTCAACAATTATATATTGATATTTAGTCGTGTTTCTACTGTTTATTCACGGGACACCGTGTTGTTTCAGTGGATTACGTTGATAAAAATTCTGTACTGTTGCACATTACGTTTTTTATTCTGCTGCTGATCCGTATTTAATATGCCCTAGCTGTACTGCGCCATGTTTCATTTTATTCACGTTGCAGTTGCGGTACTAATTTATCCAATTCTGCCTTTAATGAATAATTACTTTGCGTTTGAGACGCGCAGCAGATAGGTCGCGTATGCAGAGTCTAACCATGACTGATACACCTGAACCCCTCGCCAGTCTACTGCTGTTGGTCGACCCCCCTCCCGTCTGGTGTTCCGCTAGAGTGGTGGAGAGGTGTGGGACATAGTCCGCCGCCTCCAAGAAGCGTCCTGCTTCCCCAGACATCCCATCGTCGCAGCCGAAGACTAGAGGGTTTCGACTGCATCTCAACGCGACCTCTGAGGGGAAATCAACGAAGTCTACTTGAACTTTCTCAGCCGAGATTGTTCCCGTCGCAGATTTGGGCCTGTATGATGATCAGCCGATCATCATACCTGATGTACATTAAAAGAATGACCGATGTCGGCAACAGTGATGTCAGCGCAGATCAACATGCAGCCTGATGTACCAACGCTGATATTCTATGATCTTCCTGAGGGTCCCGTCGCTACCAACACTCAACGCAGACTTCGCACCCCCAGGGCAGCGTCGACCTCTAAGGGGAAATCAACGAAGTCTACTAGGACTTTCTCAACCGAGATTTTTCCAGCAGCTGAACTGGGCCTCTACGATGATCAGCCGATCATCATCCCCGACGTACGCCACAAGAAGCGACCCGGAGACAGCTACAGTGACATCAGCAGAGATCGCCATGCAGCCTGATGTCTCTACACTGACGTCAGACGACTTCCCTGAGGGCCCCGCCGCTAACATCGCAGAGAGGGCACCGACTACTTCGTCGCAGACCATCCCAGATGAACTGTTGCGGCAAATCATGATCATGATGGAGGGCCACTACAGACTGGAGAAGCAGCCAGCCCAAGGCCTGAGCCTTCGCGAAGGTTCCAACGCAGACGACACCCCAGAGGCACCCCCGTCAGCGTAGCAGCCACGACGAAGCCACCTTCGCGAAGGAAGTCGCAGACCACCTCGACGAAGGACCCAGATGTACAACCTTAGCGAAGGCGGGATAGATCATCACCTTCCTCGGCTTCATCCTTAGATGCGGACTCAGACCACCAGACCTCACGGAAGCCTTCGCGAAGGTCAAGTCGCCGTTCCCCAGGACCGGACGCAGAGGAAGCTTCGCGAAGGCCTTCGCGAAGGACACCTGACTACACAAGAGCTTCGCGAAGCTATCAACATTCTCCTCACAGGTCTCCGAGAAGGTCAACCCATAGACGCAGATCACCAAGACGATCTCCTCGCCGTTCACCGCGCCGATCTCCTCGTACATCACCACGTCGATCGCCTCACAGGTCACCACACAAGTCTGCACACAAGTCTACAGTCAGGTCTCCCCGAGCGTCACCCGACATAGAGATAGAAATACACAGTCCACCATCAGAAGAGCATCAACCTCTCATCAGCGATGCTGGGATAGAAGATGATGGAGGCATCATTTTCTCAGACGCTGAGATACGATATTGGATGGTAAACAACCTAGATCTCTCTTCACCTTCCAAGAGTGGCAACTCGGCGCAGACATACCTGATAAAGGAAGACGATGCAGACGCCATCACCTTACCTCCGATCGACTCGATTGCTGCGGTGCCACAGAATGTGGACACAGCCTACCATAAAGCCATTAAAATTCAAACGCCAGAGGCGTATGTTCTTGGCCTTAATAGATCTAGAACGATCAATGAGATTCTTATCACCAGATTTCGTGACACGACTTCTGAAGATGATAGGATGATCTACTCGGCTCTACTTATGAAGAACCACACCCTGTATGAAGCTAATGCTCATATATTGATCGGACTCTAGACACTTCGCTAAGGAAGTCCCAGGCCACCTCCGCGAAGGAGCTAGAGCCTCACCAGTTACAAGGGACGTCGCGGAGGAGTAGCTTCACCGACCCCACATATTGCTGAGTCGTGAAAACTAAACTCACTCACTCACTCCTCCTGTTGAACAGAGGTGGATTCATGAAGCAAGCTCATATATATATATACTGATGGGGCTCTGATTTCGATACCTTCGCGAAGGTCGCGCGAAGGCTAAGTGGCTACAAGTCTACTTCACACAGAAAATCTAGAATGGATACTTCGAGAGCTTCGCGAAGTCTCCGGCGTCCACCGAGGAAATCTCCTCCAAGGTCTCCATATATTAGCCACTCGTCATATATAGCTACTCGTCAGTCCGTTCAAGACATCGCATAAGTTGTCTATCAACTGTATGCCATATGCCGTCTATAAGCCTACGCGAAGACAATTGCACAGGCTATTTACAACACAGAACGTCGCTGTATTAATTAGTCAACGACGTTTCATAGATCTTCACAGGAATCAACCTTTCCGTATAGATTGCTAGAATATGCAATCCCGGACTACGATACGATTATCTACATGCGTGACCATTACGCACATCTGCAGACAATTCAATATCGAAATTGAACAGCAGCCTTGTTACAGCGAGTATAACTCATAATCGTCAAAGTTTCTGAGAAGAAATATGTACAACAAGTTCAGCTTTAATTCTACAATTATGACGATACATTCATGTATACAGTCTACAAGCTGACAACTTGCAAATTTATTGTACCTTTATATAAGGAAGTCGGAATTATATTCAAAACTGAAGTTACTTTCACGACAGCCAGGAAAATAACCTACCCAGCTTTAATATTACAGAGCGAGGTATTTGGCGCCCGGAGGTTTCGTAGCGTTTACCTTTAACCCTCGAAACGCGTGGTCACTCGGGTAACTTCGGGAAGCTACGGTGAAGACCGGCGATTATGCTAATATCAACGACAGCAAGATTTTATACAAGGTTTTTCCTGCTACACCGGTGACATCACAGCTGGTATTCTACAGAATCAAAATGCCTTGTTCTGATTGGACGCGATGGACAACGACCTCGCTAGAGAGGTCGATCTTAGTTCACAGTTCAAGACTTACGTTACAAGTGACAACTATATATCAGTGAACGAGCAAGCCTCTTTACAGTCCAGTTAATCTGAACCTTCATGATTGGGCTGCTTTCTTCAGGTTAGAGACCTCCCCTGTCAAGTTAGGACGAGGGCACAGCAGTCAGGCGATTTTACATAAAGTTCAACGAGGACAGACACACCTGGTTGTGCACCTACATCGTCAAGGACTTCGCAGCGGAATTACCTAGACGACGGGATACAAGTGGATCTAAATCCACAGCGTCTCAGACTACAGCTGAATTTCATCATCAAGCTACTAACACAACTAGATGGTTAGTAAACCTACTTAAGCTTTCTGATTGGAGAATTAAAACGGAAGTTTCACGCTCCAACTTGGGGATCTGAATATAGTGCTCCAACACCTCACAAGTGAGGTTTATGAACACGCCTGGATGACATACTTGGACTCCATGATACGATGATTCTATCACGATGGCCAGCAAGAGCACTGTAAATTTATCTCCACCGAACCAAACAGGAAGGAAAAATGCAACAGATTATTTCCTCTATCATCAACTTACGCAGAATGAAGTCTCACGTACTATATCTCCGTTTGGATCAGAGCTGTCATACTACGTGCATACAAGACGGATGGACCCAATCCGACCCTCCATGAGCTTTAATACTCATGATATTAGAGCGCTAACATCTACAATTGATCTACACAAATGTTATTTGAAATAATGGAGGGTTTATTTCTGGAGATCCGATATGGTGGTTGCCAACCATTATCTGAGAGATATCACCACCGAGGACGTCTCAGGTATCCACCAATTCGATCCCATGGTCCTCGCACAACAGTTGACAGTTCCTCAGAGAAGATAAGTCAATCTTACAGATTTCTACTTATCTTATAACAGTACTTAATAGCTACATGCTATATATAATTTGCTTATGTGACCTTTAAGTTCCTTTTATCATCACAGTACCATGATTATTACATCATACTATATATAAGTTAACAACTCTACAGAGTTTGTTATTATATATTTACCTTAAGTTAATCATATCTTAAGAGTAGTACTATGGTTACATGATAAATGCATTAGCTAAACAAACTCTACAGAGTTTTTGGCTATTATATACGTAGCTTAAGTTAATTATATCTAAAGCATAGTACTATACTCATATTGTAAAAATATATTAGCTAACAAACTCTACAGAGCTTTGCTATTATATAGGTAGCTTAAGCTTATTCATATCTTAAGCTCAGTTCTATGTTTATATCATATAAGTATATTAGCTAACAAACTCTAAAGAGTTTTTTGCTATTTGGCTTAAGTGTCATCATATCTTAAGCAATATGGTTACATTATAACATGTATTAGCTAACAAACTCTACGGAGTTTTTGCTATTATATATGTAACTTAAGCTTATTCATATCTTAAGAGCAGTACTATGTTTATATCATATAGGTATATTAACTATCAAAAATCTAAAAGAGGTTTTTGCTATTATATATTTGGCTTAAGTTTCATCATATTTTAAGCTTTATGGTTACATTATAACATGTATTAGCTAACAAACTCTACGGAGTTTTTGCTATTATATATGTAGCTTAAGGTTTCCTTCATAAGCTCAATACTAGGTTTATATCATATAAGTATTTTAGCTAACAAACTCTAAAGGTTTTTTTGCTATTATACAATTAGCTTAAGTTTTCATCATATCTTAAGCAGTATGGTTACATTATAAAATGTATTAGCTAACAAAACTCTACGGAGTTTTGCTATTATATATATAGCTTAAGTTTAATCATATCTTAAGTTCAGTACTATGTTTATAACATAAAAGTATATTAGTTAATAAACTCTAAGGAGTTTTTTGCTATATACATTTAGCTTAAGTCTAATCTTATCTTAAGCTTAGTACTATGGTTACATTATAAATCTATTAGCTAATAAACTCTACAGAGTTTTTGGCTATTGTATATGTAGCTTAAGTTAATTATATCTTAAGCACAGTACTATACTCATATTGTAAAAATATATTAGCTAACAAACTCTACAGAGTTTTGCTATTATATATGTAGCTAAAGCTTATTCATATCTTAAGCTCAGCATTATATCTATATCATATAAGTATATTAACTAACAAACTCTACAGAGTTTTGCTATTATATAATTAGCTTAAGTTTAATCATATCTTAAGCTTAGTACTATGTTTATATCTTAAAGTATTTTAGCTAACAAACTCTAAGGAGTTTATACTAGCATATTAACAAGCTTAAGTCTATTAGTCTTAAGCATTGTATTAATGTTATATATACTTTATCATAATAAGTACATTGTAATAACCTTTATATGGCAGTTGATAAGTTAGCAGCAGGAATTCATCAGTTCAGTGCCTTTATGAAGTTCCCATAGGGTTATTACAATCATCACAGTTCAAATCACTAATTATTAAAATCCAAAGTATTATATATTCCCACCTCCTTTGCCGTCAGATTCTACAAGCAAAAGAGCATGAGTCAGGATAAGGAAAAATATGTAATTTTTAGAGTAAAATTGATATTTTATACTTATCCTGACTCATGAGGTAAGCCCTCCCATCCTCCCCACATAACACTTTGGATTTCCCTGTAAATTCAAATGTTGGGCTCAGTATATGAGGAGAGAGTGAGGCACATGGGTGGAGGTGGCGCCCTCGTTCCCGAGCTTGTGGGAGGGAGGTAACTCGTGGTGAGTACTAATTAGTGATTTTACATTGAAGGGAGCTTCAATTAGGGAGATACAAGTGTTCCACTATGTTCGCAAGAAGATGAAGACAAGCAAAAAGAGCATGAGTCAGGATAAGTATAAAATATCAATTTTACTCTAAAAATTACATATTTTTCCTTATCCTGACTCATGCTCTTTTGCTTGTCTTCTTCTTCTTGCGAACATAGTGGAAACACTTGTATCTCCCTAATTGAAGCTCCCTTCAATGTATAATCACTAATTAATACTCACCATGACTTGCCTCCCTTGGCCCACGCGCGGGAAAGGTGGCGCCACCCTCTGGCCACATGCTTCACTCTCTCCTTCGCCCAGTGAGCAGGATGTGAGAGCGCCTGTGTCTCCCTGCACACTATATCCTTTGATTATTCTTAGTTTATTACCTCTTATTCCTTACTAAAGAGGTGTAGCTAGTATCCTTTAACAATATGTATTGATTATTACTCGTAATTCTACTGTTTATTCACGGTTTTCCGAGATTGTTCAGGTAAGTTTACGTGGATGAAAATCTGTACTGTTTGTAGATTACGTTTTTCTGCTGCTGATCTGCATTTAATATGTCCTAGCTGTACTACGCCTTGTGCGTTTACTTCACGTTGCAGTTATTGTATTAATTTATCCATTTCTGCATTTAACAAATATCGTTTTTGCGTCTTGAGACGTGCAGCAGATAGATCACGTAAACAAGCCTTAGGCATGGCCGATACATCGGACCCTCTAGCCAGTCAACTGCTGTCAGACGACCCCCTCCCGTCTGGTGTTCCGCTAGAGATTCCTTCGGAGGAGGGGCGTGGGATGCAGTCCGCCGTCTCCAAGAAGCGTCCTGCTTCCCTAGACATCCCGTCTTCGCAGCAGAAGTCTAAGAGGGCATCGACTTCGTCTAGCGTAAACTCCGCACCCCAGGGCAGCGTCGACCTCCAAGGGAAAAGCTAAGAAGCCAGCTAGAACGTTCTCAGACGAGATTCTTCCCGCCGCTGAACTGGGCCTGTATGGCGACCAGCCGATCATCATACCCGATCTCATACAAGAAGCGACCGGTGTCAGCTACAGTAGCGTCAGCAGAGATCGCCAGGCAGCCTGATGTCTCTACACTGATGTCCGGCGATCATTCTGAGGGGCCCGCCGCTAACATCGCAGAGAGGGCATCGGCGACATCGCCGCCAGACCATCCCAGAGGCGACATGATACAGAAGATCATGCAGATGATGGAGGACCGTTATAGACTGCAACCAGCCCAGAAGGACCTTCACGAAGGCACCAACGCAGACGTCTGCCCAGAGGGACACTCCGTCAACGTAGCGGCCACGACCAAGCCACCTTCACGAAGGAAGTCACTGTCTACCTCCAGGAAGGACCCAGATGAACAGCCTGCACGAAGGGTTAGAAGATCATCACCTTCCCCGGACTCGGAGGATCATCACTCTTATAAAGATTCCAGAAGGAAGACTACGTCGTCCTTGGACTCAGACTCGGACACCCCGACTTCACGAAAGCCCCGCGAAGGTCAAGCCGTCACTCCCCAGAACCGGACACAGTTAAGGCTTCACGAAGGGCTTCACGAAGGACACCAGTAGCAGGTTCTAAATCATCTTCGTCCAGACGATCATCTGCAGATTCCTCAAAGGGCTTCGCGAAGCTATCAGCATTCACCTCACAGGTCTCCGCGAAAGTCAAGACGCAGCTCATCAGGCCGATCACCAAGATCATATCGTTCGCCTCGCCGTTCACCTCGCCGATCACCTCGCCGATCACCTCATAGATCACCACATCGATCTCCACACAGATCTCCACACAGGTCTTCACAGAAGTCCCAAGGCAGGTCTCCTTTATCGTCACCATGTACAGCGATAGAACCATATATACCACCATCACAAGAGCATCAACCTCTTATCGACGATCCCATTACAGAAGACGATGGAGGCATCATCTTCTCAGACGCTGAGATACGATACTGGATGGTAAACAACCTAGACCTTTCTTCACCTTCCAAGAGTAACAACTCGGCGCAGACTTATTTGATGAAGGAGGACGATGCTGATGCCATCACCTTACCACCGATCGACCCGATTGCTGCGGTACCGAAGAATTTGGACTCAGCCTTCCACAAAGCCACTAAAGTCCAAACAGCACATTTACCACAGTTCCATTGCTAACAAGTTTTCAACCCACAACATGGAACCGTTCCGGAGGGCACAAGACATAGACGACAACTACAAGTTGATCAATGATGTCAAGAACAAGAACTACAAGATTGACGATCGCAAGTTGGTTCAGTTAGAAACCATGACTAGGCGAATGTTCTTTGGCCTTAATAGATCTAGAACGATCAATGAGACTCTTATCACCAGATTTCGTGACACGACATCTGAAGATGATAGAATGATTTACTCGGCCCTACTTATGCAGAAGAAGGACCAGCAGTTCCTTACGGATCATCTCACATCAGTCTCAGCAGCCTTAACCTTAGCCCGTCGTCAAGGCCTCCTCGCTTCCTGCAACTGGGGTGAACAGTTTACAGCTCCACTCTATACAGCCCCGTGGTCTGCTCCATCAATCTTCGATGGAGGAATAGAGAAAGTCTCCAAGGAAGTCACTAAGGATTGTAGAGAAGTCCTTATGATTAAGTCAATGGATACGCTAGCCAGCGTCATCAGACAGACTTCACAAAGATATTCAGGGAAATCTAAATTCACTGGATTACAGAGAGCACGGGATAAAAAGATAGCCAGTTCCAGGGGAAGAGATTCTTTTCGTCGCCCATTTGGCAACTATAGAGGAGGATCAAGAAGAGGCAGGGCACCCAGAGGTTCCCGCAACTATAAACGCTGAAAGTCAGGTTCGGAACGACTGGAGTCTTCAACCCCCAGCCGTTCCAGTACAACCGTCACAAGTGGGTGGACGCCTTCAACTATACTGGGAGAGCTGGGGAATGTTACAAGACCCATATGTCTCCAACATTCTTCATCACGGATATCGTATCCAACTAAAGGCCACGCCTCCGCTGACAGTCAACCCTTACAAGTTCGACTTCCAGACACAACAACTACCAAAGTTAAGAGAGGCTTTTACTTCCCTCCTGAACAAGCAGGCCATAGAAGTACTAGATCAAGTAAACATTGAACCAGGTTTCTACTCCCCAGTTTTCCTAGTACCCAAGAAAAACTCCAAGGAGAAATACAGACTCATCTACAACATGAGCACGTTCAACAGAGATTATCTACGCAAACCACCAAAGTTTCGCATGATACATCTACCCCAGTTATGGCACTTAATCCGTCCCATGGATTACATGGCCAGTATAGACCTACAAGATGCGTATCTACACATCCCGATACATCCCGAATCCAATAAATACCTACGATTTACACTGGACGGGCTGCATTACCAATGGAAAGTACTCCCATTCGGAATATCATCAGCCCCATGGTTATTTACAAGAGTAACGAAACCCATCGTCACTTACCTACATCGTCAAGGGCTACGCAGTGCGTTCTACCTCGACGACGGGATACAAGTAGATCAAGATCCACAGCGTCTCAAACTACAGTTAAACTACATCATCAAGCTACTAACACAGCTGGGATGGTTAGTAAATCTACTCAAGTCGGACCTAGTACCTTCGCAAGATCTGCAGTTTCTAGGCATTAGATTTATCACGACGCTCAACCGTATCGTCGTTCCAGAAGACTGCTGGCTCAAGATCCAACAGACCATTCCACCAGCGCTACTCTCTCCGTTACCACTACGACAATGGCAGAGTCTATTGGGTCTCCTCACGTCAGCCCAAGATTTGACACTAAGAGGCAGGCTACAGTTACGCCCATTACAGGTCTTCATCAACGCTCATCTCGACGATCTACAACCATTCAGTCTACCGGTACACCTCAGACCTCATCTACTATGGTGGACCAGGAGGTCGAATGTCTGCGAAGGCATCTATTTAACAGAGCCGGAATTCCAAACCCATCTTTATGTAAACGCGTCGCTCCAAGGTTGGGGAGCTCATCTCGCCAACCGGACGACATCAGGCATATGGAATCAGCAAGAAAGCAAGCTCCATATAAACATGTTAGAGATGAAAGCGGTAATCAACGCCATACGTCATTGGAGTACCATTCTACGACAGGCACATCTGATGATTTATACCGACAACTCAACAGTGGCGTATTATGTGAACAAACAAGGCTTAACGAGATCATCAAGCCTATTGACTGTATGCTTTCAACTGTTCGATCTAATCAACGATCTCAACCTACATGTCAGAGCATGTCACATTCCCGGAGCCAAGAATGTATTAGCAGACGCACTCTCTCGGCCACACCTACCGGCACCGACAGAATGGATGCTCCATACAGAAATCTTCGCACAGATTATCAAACAATTAGGAGCGCCGCTAGTAGACCTATTCGCCACTCGATTCAACAATCAGCTAACGACATTCATATCACCTGTCCCGGATCCACAAGCATGGGCAACGGACGCTCTAAGCATATCCTGGGAAGGCCTCAACGCGTACGCGTTTCTGCCGCCAGTGCTAATCCCTCAAGTGTTACAGAAAATCAGACAAACACAGAGGCTACAACTAACTTTGGTCGCGCCCTACTGGCCAGCCAGAACGTGGTTTCCCATTCTAATTCAAGAAATCGGACAACCAACACTAAAGCTACCAAAGCGCTCGAATCTGCTAGTACATCCTCACACCAAACAAGCGCACGGAAACCCAGAAGTGTACCAACTTCACGTATGGACTGTATTAAAGTGTGTTTGAACAAGAGAGGATATTCTACAAGAGCGGCAAAAGCAGTCACGCTTGCTTTACGCTATTCTACTCGTAACTTGTACGACGACAAGTGGCAAAGTTTCGAAAACTACGCAGCAAAAAATGGATTTAAAGCGAGAGATGCTACACATACACAAGTGCCTGATTATCTCTGTTACCTACGTCAAAAGAAACATTTGAAGGGCTCGACATTGTCAACATATCTTGCCGCGCTTAGTTCGGTCGGTACCATGAGAACGGGTGTCAAGTTAACGAAGACGCCAGAGTTACTCGCCTTGCTACGCTCTTTTCGTTTGGAAGATCAGAAAGTGAAATTCCGCGCGCCAGCGTGGGATCTAAATATAGTGCTTCAACACCTCACAAGTGAAAATTATGAACCGTTAGATTCAACGAACTTTGAACTTCTCACACAGAAAACGGTTTTCCTGTTATCGCTAGCTACTGCAGCCAGGATGTCTGAAATTCACGCACTAGATTACGAGAGGATACAGTTTGATGACAATCACAACACAGTGCACATGGGTTTGCGATGGGACTTTATCGCTAAGAATCAATTGCCAGGTCAACCAGACAGATTATTCCATATCCCTGCACTATCCTCGATTCTCGGATCTCAAGATACGTTGGACTTATCTCTATGCCCAGTCAGAGCTCTCAAAATCTATCTACGACGTTCCAAACCAAGACGCCGACATCTCAAGCGATTATTCATCCCTTTAGCGGCGACAAGTCAGACCGAGGTCTCTCGTACCACCATATCTATATGGATTAGAACTGTCATACTGCGCGCCTACAAGGCGGCTGGACTGGACCCTCCAAGAGCAGCAAATCCTCACGAAATCAGAGCCTTAGCTTCCACGCTCGCGCTACACGGTAACTGCTCACTAAATACCATCATGGAAGGATGTTTTTGGAAATCCGACATGGTGTTTGCTAATCACTATCTGAGAGATATCACCACCGAGGACATCTCAGGTATTCACCATTTCTGTCCTATGGTCCTCGCACAGCAGTTGACAGTCCCTCGTAGACGATAAGACATAGTCTTACGAGATTAATATGTATTTTTATACATGTATTATCTAGCTTAAAACTCTACGGAGTTGTTAGGGCTATTGATATACCTAGCTTAAGTCTAACCTTAAGCCCAGTACTGATATTGATGTACATTTTTGGATAACTTCTCCATGTTGGAGTAGTTTATATACTTATTGCTATGTTCATAGTATGTTTTTGTATAGTAATACCCCGTTTTGTCTATGGCAGTGTATAAACTTATAGTTTATAATAGCTGAAAGGATTACAATTCAGTGCCATTATAAGTTCCCGTCAGGGGGTTATTACAGATATATATATATAAATCACTAATTAATCTGGTAAATCCAAAGTCTCTACTCTTTCCCATATCCGATTCCGTCGGATACTACAAGCAAAAGAGCATGAGTCAGGATAAGGAAAAATATGTAATTTTTAGAGTAAAATTGATATTTTATACTTATCCTGACTCATGAGGTAAGCCCTCCCATCCTCCCCACATAACACTTTGGATTTCCCCGTAAATTCAAGTGTTGGGCTCGAAAAATAAGGAGAGAGTGAAGCATGTGGCCAGAGGGTGGCGCCACCTTTCCCGCGCTTGGGCCAAGGGAGGCAAGTCATGGTGAGTATTAATTAGTGATTATACATTGAAGGGAGCTTCAATTAGGGAGATACAAGTGTTTCCACTATGTTCGCAAGAAGAAGAAGACAAGCAAAAGAGCATGAGTCAGGATAAGTATAAAATATCAATTTTACTCTAAAAATTACATTATTACAAATAGGACCTTGCTATGTTGGTTGGTTTACTCCTCACTCAGCAATATTCCAGCCACGGTGGTTCTGTAAATAGTCTAGTCTGGACCAGACTAGCCAGTGATTGACATCATGACCATTGATCCTCACAACTGGGATCTGATGAAGTGCATCACTTGAATCTGGGAGTCTGACCCTCAGATGCTGTTAGTTGCCTCTTTTGAGTGAGTGAGTGAGTATGGTTTTACGCTGCTTGTAGCAATATTCCAGCAATATCACGGCGGGGCACACCAGAAATGGGCGTCACACATTGTGCCCATGTGGGGATTCGAACCCGGACCTTCGGCGTGACGTGCGGACGCTTTAACCACTAGGCTACCCCACTGCCCGCCTCTTTTGACAAGTATAGGATGCCGAAGACCAAGTTTAATCTGGTTTTGCTCTTTGTAGTTTTGTAACTTAATTTTACCAAATTGATAATAAGGGATTGTGATTTTCTACTCTTTATTCAGTTTAGATCTTCATTACCGAACATTGACAGACCACTATTTTCACCTCAAACCCTGATTTTACCTTACATATTGTTCACAGACACTGTTTTTACCTTACATATTGTTCACAGATACTGTTTTTACCTTACATATTGTTCACAGACACTGTTTTTACCTTACATATTGTTCACAGACACTGTTTTTACCTTACATATTGTTCACAGACACTGTTTTTATATCAAACATTCTTCACAGACATTGTTTTTACCTTACATGTTGTTCACAGACACTGTTTTTACCTTACATATTGTTCACAGACACTGTTTTTACTTTACATGTTCACAGAGACTGTTTACCTTACATGTTGTTCACAGAGACTGTTTACCTTACATGTTGTTCACAGACACTGTTTTTACCTTACATATTGTTCACAGATACTGTTTTTACCTTACATGTTGTTCACAGACACTGTTTTTACCTTACATGTTGTTCACAGACACTGTTTTTACCTTACATGTTGTTCACAAACACTGTTTTTACCTTACATTTTGTTCACAGACACTGTTTTTACCTTACATGTTGTTCACAGACACTGTTTTTACCTTGCATGTTGTTCACAGACACTGTTTTTACCTTACATGTTGTTCACAGACACTGTTTTACCTTGCATGTTGTTCACAGACACTGTTTTTACCTTGCATGTTGTTCACAGACACTGTTTTTACCTTACATGTTGTTCACAGACACTGTTTTACCTTACATGTTGTTCACAGACACTGTTTTTACCTTACATGTTGTTCACAGACACTGTTTTTACCTTACATGTTGTTCACAGACAGTTTTTACCTTACATGTTGTTCACAGACACTGTTTTTACCTTACATGTTGTTCACAGACACTGTTTTTACCTTACATATTGTTCACAGACACTGTTTTTACCTTACATGTTGTTCACAGACACTGTTTTTACCTTACATGTTGTTCACAGACACTGTTTTTACCTTACATGTTGTTCACAGACACTGTTTTTACCTTACATATTGTTCACAGACACTGTTTTTACCTTACATGTTGTACACAGACACTGTTTTTACCTTACATATTGTTCACAGACACTGTTTTTACCTTGCATGTTGTTCACAGACACTGTTTTTACCTTGCATGTTGTTCACAGACACTGTTTTTACCTTGCATGTTGTTCACAGACACTGTGTTTACCTTGCATGTTGTTCACAGACACTGTTTTTACCTTGCATGTTGTTCACAGACACTGTTTTTACCTTGCATGTTGTTCACAGACACTGTTTTTACCTTACATGTTGTTCACAGACACTGTTTTACCTTACATGTTGTTCACAGACAGTTTTTACCTTACATGTTGTTCACAGACACTGTTTTTACCTTACATGTTGTTCACAGACACTGTTTTTACCTTACATGTTGTTCACAGACACTGATTTTACCTTACATGTTGTTCACAGACTATTTCCATGTAGTTCTTTAGGGTTTGTTTTGGAAACTGCACAAAATGTATTTGCAAATTTCACATGTTAAAAGCATGACTAGTATGTTAGGAACACAAATTTCCTGTAGTCTTCAAGATAAATTCAGTCATGAAATGGATTATGAGAAAACATGATGATTGCTTGGTCGTTTAAGCACTGCGACCGATCTTCGATTACTACAATTAATGACACCACCACTACTGTGAGGTTTATATTTTTCTATATATATTTTGTGCATTAACAAACAAAACGTAGAAAATTTGATTAATGACACTAACCAACTATTTTCGATGATTGATCGGTTGTAATGAACCAATCATCGATTCTGAGATTTTAGCCAATTCCCAACACTAGTTCACAGACCCTTTACCTCAAATATTGTCTGTCCTCAAACAACACGTATTACCTCAAACATTGCTTGAGGAACATGTCAGTGCATACATACTTTGAGGTAACAGAAATATGTTCCATCAGCATATATGCTGTCCTTCAACATATAGTCCTTGAACATATTTCTGTGACCTTAAAGTATACACTGACGGTGTTGGAGTGGTGGGGTAGCCTAGTGGTTAAAGCGTTCACTCTTCACGCTGAAGACCTGGGTTCTATTCCCCAGATGGGTACAATGCGTGAAGCCCATTTCTGGTGTCCACCACCATGAGTTAGCTCTTTGAAAACATTGAAGGTATTTTTGAAGCTTCTTTTTCTTTAGTAATCAGCATTTTGTTGTAGTTCAAGAGATGAAGTCTAAGATCCTTCAGAGAGTCGAGTCTGTTACGTCAGATGGAGTCACCTCAGGGGATGAAGTTACAAGGTAGGTTGATTAGCAGCTTCCTTACAGATTTCAGAATGAACACAGTTGGTCCAGTCATCAAACGTTATTCAGGCACCATAATTAACATACAGAGTTACATCCCCTGTGTGCACCAGCATCCTATGATCAGAATTGGCCCAAAGCCTGTTTCAATGTTTGTTGGTTTGTAAGATCAACATCACCCGTCACCACATTATGGCTCTAAATGTTGCGGAAATGTAAGATAGTTGACTTCTTGAAATTCTTAGCTCATAAAACCACAACTATCATTTGAATCAAATTTGGAGACATTTTTATTATGGCTTCAATTTGTAGTTGATAACATTGTTGCAGTTTAACACTTCCCTCTGTTCTGTCTATCAGAAAGAGCAAGTTGAAGCGGGAGACGTCAGTAGTGGCTGATGCAAGCAAGAAGTTGGCGGCACCGGACAAGGCTGCAGATGCTGGTACAGGAGAGAAGCTTATCCAGGAGGAGAAGGCTGAGACTGGCAGGGTGAGACACTTGAACACTTTGTCAGGGCGTAGAAGACATTGCCAGGGCCTTCTGGTGGAACAGATTGTCAGGGCCTTCTGGTGGAACAGATTGTCAGGGCTTTCTTGTGGAACACATTGTCAGGGCTTTCTTGTGGAACACATTGTCAGGGCCTTCTGGTGGAACACACTGTCAGGGCCTTCTGGTGGAACACATTTTCGGTACTTCAGAGGACAAAATGTTATGGGACAATTAGGATGCTGATTGGTTAATTATCCCACTTCCCAGATTGCTTAGCTCACTTCCTCAATTGACAACTTCAGTTATATTGCTGATATATCTTGCTGTTTCCTTCAGGTGAAGTTCTCTGTCTTCCTGGACTACGCCAAAGCCATCGGCGGCATCACCACATTCTTCATCTTCCTCATCTTTGCCATGTACCAGGCGGCCACCATGGCCTCCAACATCTGGATCAGTATGTGGACAGATGACACCCTCCTGAAGAACATGAGTCTGGTCAACACTTCGGAATATCAGAATAAGAACACCATGTATCTTGGTGTCTACGGGGCTTTTGGATGTGTGCAGGGTAGGTTCACACACCCGACTATCACAATAAGAACACCGTGTCTCTTGGTGTCTACGGGGCTTTGGATGTGTGCAGGGTAGGTTCACACACCCGACTATCACAATAAGAACACCATGTATCTTGGTGTCTACGGGGCTTTGGATGTGTGCAGGGTAGGTTCACACACCCGACTATCACAATAAGAACACCATGTATCTTGGTGTCTACGGGGCTTTGGATGTGTGCAGGGTAGGTTCACACACCCGACTATCACAATAAGAACACCGTGTATCTTGGTGTCTACGGGGCTTTGGATGTGTGCAGGGTAGGTTCACACACCCGACTATCACAATAAGAACACCGTGTATCTTGGTGTCTACGGGGCTTTTGGATGTGTGCAGGGTAGGTTCACACACCCGACTATCACACCTCGGTGTCTGCTGGTCTTGGTCAGGGTATATTTTTTGTATTTGGCTGCCTTAAGAAGAACACTGTCTGCTTGTGTTACAGGAACATCATGTATCATGGGGTTACCGGAGCATCATGTATCTGGCTGTTACAAGAACATCTTGATGTGTTTTTGTATAGACTATATATGGGTCATTTTCAAAATTGGTAGGATTTTCTGTCCGTTCCGAATAAAAAAAACAACTGTTAGTTTAAAAGGATTATTTTGTTCAAGAAAACATATTTAGATGTTTACTAGTCAGTAAATGTGGTATATCATTAGTCTTGTCATTTTGAAATTAATACTTAACCACATTTTGGGGTCAAAATTGGCAGATTTGCTCCGTCCGGATGTGACGGTCCTAATATCAATGTTCACAAATAATGTAAATATAAATGCAAATAAACAAATTAATTCATATTATGCCAATTAGGATTGATCAAGCATACTCAGACTGCATTTCAATTATTTTTAACTTAAAAAAGTTTTTTTCTACAAATTGTAACATGCTTGTCCTGTGATTTTGTGTCCTGACCGTTACCAGTGTATGAAATTCCTGCAATAATATCTCCCTGGAGCTGGATTGTAATACTACTTCCTGTGTCTGTTTGAGCTAGCCCCTGTGGATGTGACAGCAGATGAAATAAAGAGATTCAATACATTTTGAAGAAAACTGACACTGTCAAATAAGTATAAATGTTAAGTGTCAACCTTAACTGTCCAGACCATTACCAGTGTATTTTGTGTCAAATATGTATCTCTTTTTTAAAAAATTTCAATGGATATGGTGCCCAGAAATGGAAGAGGTGAAAGGCATGTCCTTTGAAATCTTTTAGGGATCATTCATTTTTTTATTTAAGATTTACTTACAAATTGTCTTGACCGTTACTGTCCAAACCGTTACCATTCTGCAAAGTAACGGTTTGGACAGTCCTTGTAACGGTCAGGACAAAATGATTTGCATTTCAAAAAGTTATTCATTAATATTTGAAGTATAACAAATTTATAATTTTTTAAGAGTAAAGATAGTTTAAGCATGGACTTGTACTGTTCAAAGGAAATTTGATGTAGTAGCATAAAAAACAGTCTCTAGTAACGGTTTGGACAAATAATAGTAATAAATTTCAATTTTGAAGAATATGTTCTATGGTGTGATAATAAATTTCTATTTACTTATCTATCTGTTTTTGATAATAAAAACCAAAACGAATTTATCACGTTAAATTTCTATTTTCTATAAGATGTATAGTCTTTATGAATTAAAGGTAACGGTTAGGACAAAATGTAGTAACGGTAAACAACTTAATTGTATTCCAACCTTTAAAGATTGTTTTGATGTAGTCTGTTTTGACTTTGTGAGATATGTAAGACTACCATTTACTTAGAATATTAATAGGTGCTAATGTGTTGGCCTTTGTATTTGATAAATATGTGTTACCATCTCACTATCAACAAAAGCTAAAGGTATCCAAGTGAATGAAAGAAGTATATTTCGTGGAGACTAATATTGCACCATAATATCAACAGCAAAATGATATCTATGCAGTGTCCTGTGTAGCATGACCATGTGTACAGTATCATAGTTGTTGCAGTACCTTTCAGAATTTAATCTTTTGCAACATTTTAGAGGGATAACATTTGTTTGTTACACTGATGTCCTGACCGTTACCAATAATGTCACAACCGTTACTATTCATTCAATTTTTGTTCCCCAATTGCACTCTTCTTTAGATTATAAGTGATTTTCAGTCTAGACAGGTATGTTTTTCTATTCTTTAGAAGCTACAGTTTGTTTTTACTAGAAAGCCTAAATTCATTCACAAGTTTTATATTGATATAACAAATGTCCAAACCGTTACCACAGCATGGAAGAAAACATGTCATATTAGTTACGAGTTTCAATTTCTATTACACATTTCACTGTCTGTCCAAAATAGGGTTAGCAGTTCAAGTAAATGATATCATATTTTTCCTTTCATGTTACCTGTTTCTATGTTGAATTAAACTGTTTAAGGCTTATGTCCAGCCCGTTACCATTCCTGTCCAAACCATTACCACTATTGTCCTAACCGTTACTGGCGTTAATCGACTGCTCTAATTAATTCATGATAATACATGAAACACTCCTCTTTATGCTGGTGTCATCAAAAGATGTTCTGGGCTTAGTAGCTGATGTTTATTTTAGACAATTTTACCTGTTGAAAGCTACATACATAATAATGTTGTAGAAAAATGCTATCATTTTGTGGTAATTGATGAAAGATACAAAATAACACTTTCAAGATTCATGATGATAGTTTTTACCTTCAACTTTGATCAAGTTTGTGTAAAAGCTGTGTCTGCCATCTTTAAAAGATTTTTAGGAATTATATTTCAAAATCCATATTCTGACTAAGAAGTGGTAACGGTCAGGACAGTCCCCCACCCTTTTAATTACATATGTATCAATTAAAAGGTCAATTAGTACATTTCAGTCTGCATGTTTGTATTTTTGAATAATTAAGTGTTTGAGGTTTTATTTGAATAAAAATTAAATCAATTTTGAGGAGTTTGATTTTACTGTAATAAAAAATTGAAAATCCTACCAATTTTGAAAATGACCCATATATGTACCAGTCGAAAGGCTTAGGATCCCTGGACTGTACTGAGGATCCTTGGACTTTGCCAGGGATCCTTGTTCTGTACTGGGAATAATTGGCCTGTACCAAAGATCCCTACACTGTAGCAGAGATACTTGGAGTGTACCAGGGATGCTTGGACTGTAGCAGAGATCCTTGGTCTGTACTCAAGTTCCTTAGACTGTACTGAAGACCCTTGGACTGTACTGAGGATCTTGGGGCTGTACTGAGGATCTTTGCTTTGGACTGTATTGAAGATCCATAGAGTGTACCAGAGATCCTTGGACAGTTCTGAAGATCTTTGGACTGTAGCAGAGATCCTTGGTCTGTACTCAAGTTCCTTAGACAGTACTGAAGACCCTTGGACTGTACTGAGGATCTTGGGGCTGTACTGAGGATCTTTGCTTTGGACTGTATTGAAGATCCATGGAGTGTACCAGAGATCCTTGGACAGTTCTGAAGATCTTTGGACTGTAGCAGAGATCCTTGGACTATACCTAGGATCCTCGGAATGTAGCAGAGATCCTTGGAGTGTACCAAGGATCCTCGGACTGTACTGAAGCTCATAGACTGTACCAAAGGTCCTTGGACTGTTCCAGAGATCCTTCGGCTGTACTTAGGATCCTTAAACTGTACTGACTCAAGATGCTACAGTGACCGACAATTAGCTTGTAACACTCCCCACTCCCTCCGTACTGAAACAATGACACCCTCCATTTCCCTGGTTTCAGCTGTGGTCATCCTGATCTACTCTATCCTGGCGTCGGTGAGGATGGTGCAGGCTGCTGGTAACATCCACGCCAAGATGCTGTACAACATCCTGCGATCTCCGATGTCCTTCTTCGACACCACCCCGATCGGCCGAATCGTGAACCGCTTCTCACGGGACGTGGAAACTGTGGACAACAACTTGCCAGGCGTACTACGAATGTGGATCAACTGTGTGTTCAGTGTCATGGGCACCCTCATCGTCATCAGCTACAGCACCCCCATCTTCCTGTCTGTCATCGTCCCACTTGCAATACTCTACTACCTAGTTCAGGTACAGTACACAAATATTTTTGTTTGATTATTGTTTGGTGAAATGAGGTGAGGTGAAATGGGGTTTAATGTCGTACTTAAGAATATTTCGCTCATATGACGACGTGCATGCGTGTGTATGTGTGGCTGCTTGTACTAACCTAGACTGAAGCTGGTTTTATAGTGCAAGCTCACTGAGATACCATGCCGCAGTTAATCATGAATACCCCACTCAGACACATTATACTGGCTCCGGGCCAACCAGTCCTTGTCGTACCCATTAATGCCGAGCACCAGGCAGGGACCAACAAGTACCAATTTTTTAATGTCTTTTGGTATGACGCAGCCGGGATTGAACCCGCGACCTTCCGTTCTCCGGGCAGACGCTCTAACCACTACACCACAGAAGCGGTCATTGTTTGATAACTAAGCCAAATGTCCCCATTAACGTCGAACGCCAGGCAGGATACCAACATGTACCATTCTTTACATGTTTGATGTATGAAACGCAACAGTCATCAGTGATCTCTTGACTTTGATTAAATTTATGGAACTACGGTGCAACTGTAGTCAACCAGCTAGTCAGGTCAGAATTGGTGCCAGTTGTATAAGATTCCTTAAATTCAGCCCAGTATAATTCCCCCCTCTCTATCTCAATCCTCAGAGGTTCTACATTGCTACATCACGTCAACTGAAGCGACTGGAGTCGACCACAAGGTCTCCTATCTACTCTCATTTTGGAGAGACAATCACTGGCACCTCGTCCATCCGGGCGTACAAGGCCAGCGACAGATTCATCGCGGAATCCACACAAAGAGTGGACAAGAACTTGACCTTCTACTTCGCAGGCCTTGCCTCCAACAGGTGACTTTATGCATGGGCAGGCGTGAAATATTATTTTTTCTTATCCTGACTCATGCTTATTTGCTTGTCTTCTTCTTCTGGCGAACCTAGTGGAACACGTATATCTCCCAATTGAAGTTCCCTTCAATAAAAGAAATCACTCATTAGTACTCACCACGAGTTACCTCCCTTTCCCCAAGCGCGGGAACGAGGGCGCCACCCAAGCCCATGTGCTTCACTCTCTCCTTCTTCGCCCAGTGAGCTGGACGTGAGAGCACCTGTGTCTCCCAACACACTATATCCTTAATTATATTTAGTTAAGTTCCTCTTATACGTTAGTATAGAGGTAGTACTAGTATAATTATTCAATTTGCATTGATTATTAATTGTGTTTCTGCTGTTTTATTCACGATTCGTCGTGTTTGTTCAGTAGGCTACATTAATGAAAATTTGCACAGAATGTAAACTACGTTATTCTGATACCGATCCAGACTGAGGACACGCCATTGATTCTCGTTGTAACTTTTGTATCAATTTACCTATCTCTGCCTTTGACAAATATTTATGTTCCGTTTACAGACGGAAGGCAGATAAATCACGTAAACAGAATTCGAACATGGCTAATAGATCGCATATTAATGTTTCATGTCAACTGTTGACTGAGGACACGCCACCGACTGGGGACATGCCTGAGTTTCCCTCGGCGGATAAGCGTGGGACGCAGTCCGCTATGTCCAAGAAGCGACCTGCATCTCAAGAGCTGCCGTCTTCTCAGTCCAAGTCGAGGAAACCATCCATATCATCTCGTACTTTGCGTACACCAAGATCTACACCTTCATCTAAAGGGAAGTCAACAAAATCTAATAATTTTGCCTCTGATATCTTACCAGTTACAGAATTAGCCTATTATCATTCCAGAAGTTCGTCACAAGAAACGGCCCGTTTCTGCGACTGTCACCTCAGCGCAGATGAACACACAACAGGAGATGCCAACTCTATCACCAGAAATTTTATCTGAGGGTCCCGTCACCTCTGCAGAGAGACATCCCTCTTCAACGCAGACCGCTTCAGACGACTTGATCAACCAGATAATGAGGGTGATGGAAGACCGCTACGGCTTACAGAGGCCTCAGAGCCACGGGCCTCAGAGCCCACCCCATATCAAGTCATACAGGGCCTCAGAGCCCGCCTTGGCTTCGCGTAGGGCCTCTGAGCCCATAGACGCGCCTCCGCAAAGGGCAACCCTGCCCGGAGTGAGCTCTTTGCATAAGGTATCCCAGGCCGCCTCCGTGAAGGAGCTAGAGCCTCACCTTTTGCAAGAGGCTTCGCGGAGAAGGAGCGCGTCGCGGAGAAGGAGCGCTTCGCGGAGAAGGAGCGCTTCGCCGAGCACGCACCTTGTCATGCACGGCGGGCGTCCTTGAAGCAAGCGCCATATGTCGGATCGGACACTGAATCCATACATTCGCGTAGGACGCGAAGGCTAAGTGGTTCTACATCGCCTAGAAGATGTTCGCGTAGCCCTCAACGTTCGAGAAGTCCACAACGCTCTGCGAAGCCATCACCGTTCACGTAGATCACAGTCTCCGCGAAGGATGTCTTCTCCAAGGTCTACATACACTAGCCACTCTTCAGTCCGTTCTCCTCAGTCCTCACATAGATCTTCTTACAGATCTAGGACTCCGACATACAACCATCCATCAGAGGAGGATGATGGTATTGTTTTCTCAGAAGCTGAGATAAGATATTGGATGGTAAACGAATTACAACTGGCCTCTCCCTCTAAGAACGAGGATACAGCCCAAACTTACCTCATGAAAGATGATGATGTAGATCATATCACCGTGCCTCCTATGGATCCTATCGCAGCCGTTCCTGCTAATCTGGATACTACTTACGCCAAATCTACTGAAAACCTACCTACCCATTTACCATTCTTCAATGCCAAGAATTTTTATGGACATAATATGGAGTCCTTTTTCAAGACTCAGGAGATTGATGAGAACTTTCAACTTATCAGTGATTCCAAGTCCAGAACTTATAGGATTGATGATCGCAAGATGGATGAGGAGAGTAGGATGATTTACTCAGCACTACTTATGCAAAAAAAAGATCAACAATTCCTTACAGACCATCTTTCAGCTCTTACTGAAATCACTACCATGACACGTCGGCAAGGGTTACTAGCCTCCTGCTCTTGGAATAAACAATTCACAGAGCCTCTGTACACAGCTCCATGGTCTTCACCGTTACTGTTTGGTGGCAACATTAACAAGGTTTCCAAGGAAGTATCTAAAGATTCTAGAGAAGTTCTCATGATTAAATCTATGGATACGTTAGCCAATGCCTTTAAAAAATCAGCACAGAGGTACTCGGGTAAGTCTCAGTTTTCAGGGCTACAGAGGGCCCGGGATAAGAAATTAGCGGCCGTTAATAATCCCAAGAATTCTTTTCGTCGCCCATACAACAAGTTCAAAGGAGGATCAGCTAGAGGCAGATCATCCAGAGGTGCCTGTGGATTTAAACGATGAAAGTCAGGTTCGGAACGACTGCAGTCTTCCACCCCCAGTCGTCCCAGTACAACCTTCGTCTACAACTCAAGGCCAAGCCACCATTAACAGTCGACCCACCAGGGTTCAACGTTCAGCTGGCACTACTACCGATGTTAAGAGAAACAGTTCAGTCTCTACTAAACAAACAGGCCTTAGAAGTTCTCGAGCAGCAAAACATCACACCAGGCTTCTACTCCCCAGTTTTCCTAGTGCTGAAAAAGAATTCCAAAGAGAAGTATCGCCTCATTTACAACATGAGCACCTTCAACAGAGATTTTCTATGCAAACCACCAACGTTTCGCATGATACATTTACCTCAACTCCGTCAGCTAATTCGTCCACTAGATTACATGGTAAGTATAGATCTGCAGGATGCATACCTACACATTCCGATTCATCCCAGGTCAAGGAAATATCTGAGGTTTATGCTAGACGGCATACACTACCAATGGAAAGTACTTCCCCTTCGGAATCACTTCGGCCCCTTGGGTATTCACAAGAGTAACCAAGCCTATTGTCTCATACCTACATCGTCAAGGCCTGCGGAGTGCATTTTACCTAGACGACGGTATACAGGTGGATCCAGATCCACAGCGTCTCAGACTACAGCTGAAATTTACAATCAAGCTACTAACACAGTTAGGCTGGTTAGTAAATCTACTCAAGTCGGACCTAGAGCCCACGCAAGATCTGCAGTTTCTAGGTATACGATTCCTTACAGCCCAGAATCGTTTGGTAGTCCCGTAGGACAGATGGATCAAAATACAACAACTGATTCCCCAAGCCCTACTCTCTCCGTTACCACTACGACAGTGGCAGAGTCTACTGGGACTACTCACATCAGCTCAAGACTTGACCGGGATCGGGTGGTCAGTTTCGCTGACTTGGTTGACACATGTCATCGGTTCCCAATTGCGCAGATCGATGCTCATGCTGTTGATCACTGGATTGTCTGGTCCAGACTCGATTATTTACAGACCGCCGCCGCCATATAGCTGGAATATTGCTGAGTGCGGCGTAAAACTAAACTCACTCACTCACTCAAGACTTGACACTCAGAGGCAGGCTTCAATTGCGTCCATTACAAGTCCTCATCATTGCTCATCTCGAGGACCCTCTACCATTCAGTCTACCAGATTATGTCAAACCACATCTACTCTGGTGGACCAAGAGATTGAATGTCTGCGTAGGCGTCTCCTTAGTAGAGCCGGAATCGGATATACACCTCTACGTGGACGCGTCACTAATAGGCTGGGGAGCCCACCTTACCGGCAGGACAGCGTCAGGCCTATGGAGCATTCAAGAGAGCTTATGTCACATAAATCTGCTAGAGATGCAAGCAGTCATAAACGCCATAAGTCACTGGAGCAACCTGTTACAGAACGCCCAGTTAATGATTCACACAGACAACTCAACAGTGGCGTTTTATGTGAACAAACAAGGGTCAACAAGATCACTGAATCTACTCACCCGATGTTTCAGACTGTTCGAATTAGTCGACAGTCTAAACATTCATATCAAAGCCTGCCACATTCCAGGAGCAAAAAATGTGTTAGCAGACGCTCTCTCTCGGCCGCACCAGCCGTCGCCGACAGAATGGATGCTCCACACAGAGATATTCAATCAGATAATCATGGAAATAGGATCTCCTCTCATAGACCTATTTGCCACCCGATTCAACAATCAACTGACAACTTTCGTATCGCCAGTGCCAGATCCACTAGCTTGGGCAACGGACGCACTAAGCATATCGTGGGAGGGACTAAACGCGTACGCTTTCCCGCCTCCTGCGTTGATCCCACAAGTCTTGCTAAAAATCAGTCAAACGAAGAGCCTCGATCTGATTTTGGTCTCGCCTTACTAACCAGCGAGAACGTGGTTTCCAGACCTCATACTAAGAATCGGAAAACCAGTACTTCAGCTCCCACTGCGCTCCAATCTACTGATACATCCGCACACCAAACAAGTGCACAAAACACCAGAAGCATACCAACTTCACGTGTGGACTGTATCAAAGCATGTTTGAATAAGAGAGGTTATTCCACCATAGCGGCGAAGGCGGTCACGCTTGCACTACGTAACTCTACTCGTAACTTGTACGATGACAAGTGGCGCAGTTTTGTAAATTATGCTGCTAAGAAAGGATTTTCAGCCAGATTTGCTACACATCCTCAAGTGGCAGAATTCTTGTGTTTCCTACGCCAAACTAAGAATCTGAAAGGATCTACACTATCCACTTATCTTGCAGCCATAAGTTCAGTCATTACTATGAGGACGGGCGTCAAGTTGACTAAAACACCAGAGTTACTCGCCTTATTACGTGCCTTTCGATTGGAAGACCAGAAACGGAAGTTTCAAGCGCCAGCCTGGGATCTGAATGTTGTACTACAACACCTCACAAGTGAGTCATTTGAATCATTGACCCACAAAACCTTATTCCTGCTAGCGTTAGCCACTGCAGCCAGGATGTCTGAAATTCACGCTTTGGATTACGAGAGAACACGGTTTGATGATATTCATAACATCGCTCATCTGGGACTTCGATGGGATTTTATTGCAAAAAATCAACTACCAGGTCAACCAGACAGGTTGTTCCATGTCCCAGCTCTCTCATCCATTCTTGGACCACATGATACGATGGACTTATCACTTTGCCCAGTACGTGCACTGAAAATATATCTCCAAAGATCCAAGCAAAGTAGAGGGAAATTCAAAAGATTGTTTATCTCTATATCTACCGCTTCACAGACAGAAGTGTCGCGCACTACTATTTCTATCTGGATCCGAACTGTCATACTAAGAGCCTACAAGGCAGCTGGACTGGACCCTCCAAGTGCTGCTAATCCCCACGAAATTAGAGCACTAGCTTCTACTTTAGCTTTACATGGAAATTGTTCATTAAATACCATTATGGAGGGATGTTTTTGGAGATCCGATATGGTGTTTGCCAACCATTATCTGAGAGATATCACCACCAAGGACGTCTCAGGTATCCACCATTTCGGTCCCATGGTCCTCGCACAACAGTTGACAGTTCCACAGAGAAGATAAGTCTATCTTGATGATTTTATACTTATCTGATAACAGTACTAATAGCTACGTGCTATCTATATATATTTCCTTAAGTTAAAATTTTATCTTAAGCTCAGTACTATGATTTTATATCATTATACACATATACCCACAACTCTTACGAGTTCTACTATTATATATATGTTCAGCTTAAGTTCTATCTTTAAGCTCAGTCATATGTTCATTTCATAACATGTATTAGTTAACAAACTCTCAGTAGTTGGTTACTATTATACAGCTTAAGTTATCTTTATACCTTAAGCACAATTATGTTATAGCTTATATATATACATATTGTAAGCTTATTACTTTGGTTCTTATAAAAGTATACTTATAAACTATCTACAGTTTATACTTCACATTAATAGCTTTAGCTTTAATTAATGTTCTATATACTTTTATTATATTCAGTAAATTGTAATAACCTTCTTAAGAGGCAGCTGTTAATATACAGCAGGAATTCAGTTCAGTGCGTTCATGAAGTTCCCATAGGGTTATTACAATTATCTCAGTTCAAATCACTAATTAGTAAAATCCAAAGTATATATAATCCCACCACCTATCCGTAGGATTCTACAGCAAATAAGCATGAGTCAGGATAAGAAAAAATATGAAATTTTTAGAGTAAAATTAATATTTTTATACTTATCCTGACTCATGAGGTAAGCCCTCCCGTCCTCCCCACTTAGCACTTTGGATTTCTCGAGAAAAATAAAGTGTTGGGCTCAAAACAAAAAAGGAGAGAGTGGAGCACATGGGCTTGGGTGGCGCCCTCGTTCCCGCGCTTGGGGAAAGGGAGGTAACTCGTGGTGAGTACTAATGAGTGATTTCTTTTATTGAAGGGGAACTTCAATTGGGAGATATACGTGTTCCACTAGGTTCGCCAGAAGAAGAAGACAAGCAAATAAGCATAAGTCAGGATAAGTATAAAAATATTAATTTTACTCTAAAAATTTCATTTTCAAATTTCAGGGAAAGAAACCTTTCATAATTTCCCACTAGACCACAGGACAATAATCAGTGGTCCTGTCTGTACTTCACTGGTCCAAAATAACATGAATAATTTACTTAACTATCAATACAAAATTCACGGGCCACCAGGACCAATGCAAAGTTATAATTTAGTGGTTCTGATGAATTTGTACTAGCCAGGGACCACGGGACCAGCGTAAATTCCACTCTATTTTTTTACATATATATGAGAGGGGCGGTGGGGTAGCCCAATGGTTATAGCGTCACGCCGATGGTTAAAGCGCCACACTGATGGTTATAGCGTCACGCTGATGGTTAAAGCGTCACACTGATGGTTATAGCGTCACGGTGATGGTTAAAGCTTCACGCTGATGGTTATAGCGTCATGCTGATGGTTAAAGCGTCACGGTTATAGCGTCAAGCTGATGGTTAAAGCGTCACGGTTATAGCGTCACGCTGATGGTTAAAGCGTCACGCTGATGGTTAAAGAGTCACGCTGATGATTAAGGCATCACGCTGAAGACCCGGGTTCAATTCCCCACATGGGTACAATGAGTGACGCCCATTTCTGGTGTCCCCCCACCGTGATATTGCTGGAATATTGCTAAAAGTGGCGTAAAGCCAAACTCACTCACTCACTACATATATGAGAGCACAGGACTTCATGCTAGTCCACAGGACAATTCCTGAACATGTGTCAGTCAGTCTCTGTGGCTGAATCTGATGTGTTGTAGAATTAACACTGGAGGACTGCATGGCAGCGAGTTATAGGTTACCATGACAACTGAGGACTACTTTCCTTGTAGTTTTCCAGGCTGTACAGGGCTTGATTTAGTGATTTGTTACTTGTACTGGTGCAACCCAATATTACAAAGTGCATTCTAGTTATTAGTCTACCTTGCACCAGGTGCAAGTAATTTTTGAGAAATATATCAACAATAAATCTAACAACATCAGCATAATTATATCAGTTCATATTTCTTCTATATTTTTAATAGCTATTATGCTGAAACATTGCTATTTATAGACACCTTTTGGCTATGACAGCTCTTATAAACAGGGATCAGCTGTGTGGCTGTGTTGCTATAGTTTCATGGGTACTACGTCATGGAAATATGTTTATGTGCACTGAAACCTCTGACCTTTTAACACTCTATGCGACTAATTTAAGTTATAGCTGACAGATTTATCGCACATGGCTGTGTGAAATGCTAAGCCTTCTGTCAACTTTAATTATCCAAACCGTGAATGAAAATAACAACATTTTTTCTGAAGAAATCAAGTGAAGTAGCTGACAAAAGTGGTAAACAAATCTCGGAAACTGAGAAATGTGCCGATACCAACATAAGTGATTCCATTAACGCTGTATCAGTAATCGTCGCGCGTAAACCGTGTGGCAGTTTGAGGCCGGGTGATAAATCTACAGATGATGGATTGAAACATAAATTAGACACAGACATAATTCCATCCGCAAGCAATGCTAAAAAAATTAAGACTTACAAATTTAAAGTGGAATGTTAAAAAACAGGGATTAGTTGCATTATGATGAGATTGAAAATGGCACGTCTTGTGCCACATGTCAAAAGTATGATAAAAGTGGAAGAAGTAATTCTTTTAGGAGTGGGTGCGAGTCTACAAGATTAAGTGTGATAGAAATCCATTAAACTAGTGTGGCTCACCTCAGATCTGAGGCCCATGAACCATCACAACTGTGCAAAAATATGTCAGTTTTGCCGTTGGAAAAGACAGATCTTAAATTGCAAGAAAATCAAGTTGACACCATGAACATTTTATTCATTATAGCATACTGGATAGCAAAAATGAAAAAACATTTACAGAAAGAGAACACAGACAGAGCAGGCATGGATCAGTTATGAATCTGATAAATGATATGTCTGTAACAATCTGAATAAATTATACGAATAAATCAATGGCATAGGCTTGTTTCAGGCAACAATAGATGTTTTTTCCTGCACCATATCCTGATCATTAAACGTCTGTGTTGACTCGTGTCAGCGACCGGAATATCTCCAGCAACATGTCCTCCTCCGTGAAAATACGTAATATTTCCGTGGAAACGCTTTATGTGACGCAGAAACGCTTTGTTTGAATATAACAGTTACACTGGTTCATCACTTCTTTGAACAACATCAGGATGTTAGCATAAGGAAACAGGACAGACCAAATCGGGGCATTAATGAACAAGGATGTTGGAGAGATAAGTAGCTGTGTGATGAATTCAGGTCAAAATATATAGTGTAATACATCAGTGTCCTTCACACTAAGACATCCGTGAAGATCCCGGTTAGAATTGGTCTTCACCAACCCATGATTTTGGTGAAGGCGACTAACGGGATCGGTTGGTCAGGCTCGCTGATTTGATTGACACATGTCATGGGTTCCAAATTGTGCAGATCGATGCTCATGCTGTTGATGACTGGATTGTCTGGTCCAGACTCGATTATTTACAGACCATCATCATATAGTTGGAATATGCTGGGTGCAGTGTTAAACAAGTGTTATCAGTAATATGTTTCTAGTTAAAAACAAGAAGAACAAATGTACCTCAACAGACAGATCTGAATGAAAATGAAAAATACTGGGTTTGTCAATGGTGTAAAGAGAGAGATTGCGTTTTCTCTTACCTGAAAGTGTTCCAAATAGAATTTCTGTTTTCATTTCAGGTGGCTTGGATTCCGACTAGAGTTTCTTGGCAACACAATAGTTCTGTTTGCGGCTCTGTTCTCTGTCATTACAACAGATCTACCCAGTGGAATTGTGGGTCTGTCAGTCTCGTACGCTTTACAGGTAATGCAGCATACACTGCGCTATAACAACACACCTGCCCAGGGTAATTATAGGGTCTGTCTTGTGTGCTCTACAGGTAATGCAGCATACACTGCGCTATAACAACACACCTGCCCAGGGTAATTATAGGGTCTGTCTTGTGTGTTCTACAGGTAATGCAGCATACACTGCGCTATAACAACACCTGCCCAGGGTAATTATAGGGTCTGTCTTGTGTGTTCTACAGGTAATGCAGCTTACACCGCGCGCTATAACAACACCTGCCCAGGGTAATTATAGGGTCTGTCTTGTGTGTTCTACAGGTAATGCAGCTTACACTGCAGCTATAACAACACACCTGCCCAGGGTAATTATAGGGTCTGTCTTGTGTGTTCTACAGGTAATGCAGCTTACACTGCGCTATAACAACACACCTGCCCAGGGTAATTATAGGGTCTGTCTTGTGTGTTCTACAGGTAATGCAGCATACACTGCGCTATAACAACACACCTGCCCAGGGTAACTATAGGGTCTGTCTTGTGTGTTCTACAGGTAATGCAGCATACACTCGCTATAACAACACTCCTGCCCAGGGTAATTATAGGGTCTGTCTTGTGTGTTCTACAGGTAATGCAGCATACACTCGCTATAACAACACACCTGCCCAGGGTAACTATAGGGTCTGTCTTGTGTGTTCTACAGGTAATGCAGCTTACACTGCGCTATAACAACACCTGCCCAGGGTAATTATAGGGTCTGTCTTGTGTGTTCTACAGGTAATGCAGCTTACACTGTGTTATAACAACACACCTACCCAGGGTAATTATAGGGTCTGTCTTGTGTGTTCTACAGGTAATGCAGCATACACTGTGTTATAACAACACACCTGCCCAGGGTAATTATAGGGTCTGTCTTGTGTGTTCTACAGGTAATGCAGCTTACACTGCGCTATAACAACACCTGCCCAGGGTAATTATAGGGTCTGTCTTGTGTGTTCTACAGGTAATGCAGCATACACTGTGTTATAACAACACCTGCCCAGGGTAATTATAGGGTCTGTCTTGTGTGTTCTACAGGTAATGCAGCATACACTGTGTTATAACAACACACCTGCCCAGGGTAATTATAGGGTCTGTCTTGTGTGTTCTACAGGTAATGCAGCATACACTGTGTTATAACAACACACCTGCCCAGGGTAATTATAGGGTCTGTCTTGTGTGTTCTACAGGTAATGCAGCTTACACTGCGCTATAACAACACCTGCCCAGGGTAATTATAGGGTCTGTCTTGTGTGTTCTACAGGTAATGCAGCTTACACTCGCTATAACAACACCTGCCCAGGGTAATTATAGGGTCTGTCTTGTGTGTTCTACAGGTAATGCAGCTTACACTGCGCTATAACAACACCTGCCCAGGGTAATTATAGGGTCTGTCTTGTGTGTTCTACAGGTAATGCAGCATACATTGCGCTATAACAACACACCTGCCCAGGGTAATTATAGGGTCTGTCTTGTGTGTTCTACAGGTAATGCAGCTTACACTCGCTATAACAACACACCTACCCAGGGTAATTATAGGGTCTGTCTTGTGTGTTCTACAGGTAATGCAGCATACATTGCGCTATAACAACACACCTGCCCAGGGTAATTATAGGGTCTGTCTTGTGTGTTCTACAGGTAATGCAGCATACACTCGCTATAACAACACCTGCCCAGGGTAACTATAGGGTCTGTCTTGTGTGTTCTACAGGTAATGCAGCTTACACTGCGCTATAACAACACCTGCCCAGGGTAATTATAGGGTCTGTCTTGTGTGTTCTACAGGTAATGCAGCTTACACTGCGCTATAACAACACCTGCCCAGGGTAATTATAGGGTCTGTCTTGTGTGTTCTACAGGTAATGCAGCATACACTGTGTTATAACAACACACCTGCCCAGGGTAATTATAGGGTCTGTCTTGTGTGTTCTACAGGTAATGCAGCATACACTCGCTATAACAACACCTGCCCAGGGTAATTATAGGGTCTGTCTTGTGTGCTCTACAGGTAATGCAGCATACATACATTGCTATAACAAACACACCTACCCAGGGTAATTATAGGGCCTGTCTTGTGTGTTCTACAGGTAATGCAGCTTACACTCGCTATAACAACACACCTACCCAGGGTAATTATAGGGTCTGTCTTGTGTGTTCTACAGGTAATGCAGCATACACTGCGCTATAACAACACACCTGCCCAGGGTAATTATAGGGTCTGTCTTGTGTGTTCTACAGGTAATGCAGCTTACACTCGCTATAACAACACACCTACCCAGGGTAATTATAGGGTCTGTCTTGTGTGCTCTACAGGTAATGCAGCACACACTGCGCTATAACAACACACCTGCCCAGGGTAATTATAGGGTCTGTCTTGTGTGTTCTACAGGTAATGCAGCATACACTGCGCTATAACAACACCTGCCCAGGGTAATTATAGGGTCTGTCTTGTGTGTTCTACAGGTAATGCAGCTTACACTGTGTTATAACAACACACCTACCCAGGGTAATTATAGGGTCTGTCTTGTGTGTTCTACAGGTAATGCAGCATACACTGTGTTATAACAACACACCTGCCCAGGGTAATTATAGGGTCTGTCTTGTGTGTTCTACAGGTAATGCAGCTTACACTGCGCTATAACAACACCTGCCCAGGGTAATTATAGGGTCTGTCTTGTGTGTTCTACAGGTAATGCAGCATACACTGTGTTATAACAACACACCTGCCCAGGGTAATTATAGGGTCTGTCTTGTGTGTTCTACAGGTAATGCAGCTTACACTGCGCTATAACAACACCTGCCCAGGGTAATTATAGGGTCTGTCTTGTGTGTTCTACAGGTAATGCAGCTTACACTCGCTATTACAACACCTGCCCAGGGTAATTATAGGGTCTGTCTTGTGTGTTCTACAGGTAATGCAGCTTACACTGCGCTATAACAACACCTGCCCAGGGTAATTATAGGGTCTGTCTTGTGTGTTCTACAGGTAATGCAGCTTACACTGCGCTATAACAACACCTGCCCAGGGTAATTATAGGGTCTGTCTTGTGTGTTCTACAGGTAATGCAGCTTACACTGCGCTATAACAACACCTGCCCAGGGTAATTATAGGGTCTGTCTTGTGTGTTCTACAGGTAATGCAGCATACACTGTGTTATAACAACACACCTGCCCAGGGTAATTATAGGGTCTGTCTTGTGTGTTCTACAGGTAATGCAGCATACACTCGCTATAACAACACCTGCCCAGGGTAATTATAGGGTCTGTCTTGTGTGCTCTACAGGTAATGCAGCATACATTGCGCTATAACAACACACCTACCCAGGGTAATTATAGGGCCTGTCTTGTGTGTTCTACAGGTAATGCAGCTTACACTCGCTATAACAACACACCTACCCAGGGTAATTATAGGGTCTGTCTTGTGTGTTCTACAGGTAATGCAGCATACACTGCGCTATAACAACACACCTGCCCAGGGTAATTATAGGGTCTGTCTTGTGTGTTCTACAGGTAATGCAGCTTACACTCGCTATAACAACACACCTACCCAGGGTAATTATAGGGTCTGTCTTGTGTGCTCTACAGGTTATGCAGCATACACTGCGCTATAACAACACACCTGCCCAGGGTAATTATAGGGTCTGTCTTGTGTGTTCTACAGGTAATGCAGCATACACTGCGCTATAACAACACCTGCCCAGGGTAATTATAGGGTCTGTCTTGTGTGTTCTACAGGTAATGCAGCATACACGCGCCTATAACAACACCTGCCCAGGGTAATTATAGGGTCTGTCTTGTGTGTTCTACAGGTAATGCAGCTTACACCGCGCTATAACAACACACCTGCCCAGGGTAATTATAGGGTCTGTCTTGTGTGTTCTACAGGTAATGCAGCATACACTGCGGCTATAACAACACACCTGCCCAGGGTAACTATAGGGTCTGTCTTGTGTGTTCTACAGGTAATGCAGCATACACTCGCTATAACAACACTCCTGCCCAGGGTAATTATAGGGTCTGTCTTGTGTGTTCTACAGGTAATGCAGCTTACACTGCGCCTATAACAACACCTGCCCAGGGTAATTATAGGGTCTGTCTTGTGTGTTCTACAGGTAATGCAGCATACACTGTGTTATAACAACACACCTGCCCAGGGTAATTATAGGGTCTGTCTTGTGTGTTCTACAGGTAATGCAGCATACACTGTGTTATAACAACACACCTGCCCAGGGTAATTATAGGGTCTGTCTTGTGTGTTCTACAGGTAATGCAGCATACACTCGCTATAACAACACCTGCCCAGGGTAATTATAGGGTCTGTCTTGTGTGTTCTACAGGTAATGCAGCATACATTGCGCTATAACAACACACCTACCCAGGGTAATTATAGGGCCTGTCTTGTGTGTTCTACAGGTAATGCAGCTTACACTGCGCTATAACAACACACCTACCCAGGGTAATTATAGGGCCTGTCTTGTGTGCTCTACAGGTAATGCAGCATACACTGTGTTATAACAACACACCTGCCCAGGGTAATTATAGGGTCTGTCTTGTGTGTTCTACAGGTAATGCAGCTTACACTGCGCTATAACAACACACCTACCCAGGGTAATTATAGGGCCTGTCTTGTGTGCTCTACAGGTAATGCAGCATACATTGCGCTATAACAACACACCTACCCAGGGTAATTATAGGGCCTGTCTTGTGTGTTCTACAGGTAATGCAGCTTACACTCGCTATAACAACACACCTACCCAGGGTAATTATAGGGTCTGTCTTGTGTGTTCTACAGGTAATGCAGCTTACACTGCGCTATAACAACACACCTGCCCAGGGTAACTATAGGGTCTGTCTTGTGTGTTCTACAGGTAATGCAGCATACACTCGCTATAACAACACTCCTGCCCAGGGTAATTATAGGGTCTGTCTTGTGTGTTCTACAGGTAATGCAGCTTACACTGCGCTATAACAACACCTGCCCAGGGTAATTATAGGGTCTGTCTTGTGTGTTCTACAGGTAATGCAGCATACACTGCGCTATAACAACACACCTGCCCAGGGTAACTATAGGGTCTGTCTTGTGTGTTCTACAGGTAATGCAGCATACACTCGCTATAACAACACACCTACCCAGGGTAATTATAGGGTCTGTCTTGTGTGCTCTACAGGTAATGCAGCATACATTGCGCTATAACAACACACCTACCCAGGGTAATTATAGGGCCTGTCTTGTGTGTTCTACAGGTAATGCAGCTTACACTCGCTATAACAACACACCTACCCAGGGTAATTATAGGGTCTGTCTTGTGTGTTCTACAGGTAATGCAGCATACACTGCGCTATAACAACACACCTACCCAGGGTAATTATAGGGTCTGTCTTGTGTGCTCTACAGGTAATGCAGCATACACTGCGCTATAACAACACACCTGCCCAGGGTAACTATAGGGTCTGTCTTGTGTGTTCTACAGGTAATGCAGCATACACTCGCTATAACAACACACCTGCCCAGGGTAACTATAGGGTCTGTCTTGTGTGTTCTACAGGTAATGCAGCATACACTGCGCTATAACAACACACCTGCCCAGGGTAACTATAGGGTCTGTCTTGTGTGTTCTACAGGTAATGCAGCTTACACTGCGCTATAACAACACCTGCCCAGGGTAATTATAGGGTCTGTCTTGTGTGTTCTACAGGTAATGCAGCATACACTGCGCTATAACAACACACCTGCCCAGGGTAATTATAGGGTCTGTCTTGTGTGTTCTACAGGTAATGCAGCATACACTGCGCTATAACAACACACCTGCCCAGGGTAACTATAGGGTCTGTCTTGTGTGTTCTACAGGTAATGCAGCTTACACTCGCTATAACAACACTCCTGCCCAGGGTAATTATAGGGTCTGTCTTGTGTGTTCTACAGGTAATGCAGCTTACACTGCGCTATAACAACACCTGCCCAGGGTAATTATAGGGTCTGTCTTGTGTGTTCTACAGGTAATGCAGCATACACTGTGTTATAACAACACACCTGCCCAGGGTAATTATAGGGTCTGTCTTGTGTGTTCTACAGGTAATGCAGCATACACTGTGTTATAACAACACACCTGCCCAGGGTAATTATAGGGTCTGTCTTGTGTGTTCTACAGGTAATGCAGCATACACTGCGCTATAACAACACCTGCCCAGGGTAATTATAGGGTCTGTCTTGTGTGTTCTACAGGTAATGCAGCATACACTGCGCTATAACAACACCTGCCCAGGGTAATTATAGGGTCTGTCTTGTGTGTTCTACAGGTAATGCAGCATACACTGTGTTATAACAACACACCTGCCCAGGGTAATTATAGGGTCTGTCTTGTGTGTTCTACAGGTAATGCAGCATACACTGCGCTATAACAACACCTGCCCAGGGTAATTATAGGGTCTGTCTTGTGTGTTCTACAGGTAATGCAGCATACACTGCGCTATATAACAACACCTGCCCAGGGTAATTATAGGGTCTGTCTTGTGTGTTCTACAGGTAATGCAGCATACACTGTGTTATAACAACACACCTACCCAGGGTAATTATAGGGTCTGTCTTGTGTGTTCTACAGGTAATGCAGCATACACTGCGCTATAACAACACCTGCCCAGGGTAATTATAGGGTCTGTCTTGTGTGTTCTACAGGTAATGCAGCATACACTGCGCTATAACAACACCTGCCCAGGGTAATTATAGGGTCTGTCTTGTGTGTTCTACAGGTAATGCAGCTTACACTCGCTATAACAACACACCTACCCAGGGTAACTATAGGGTCTGTCTTGTGTGTTCTACAGGTAATGCAGCATACACTGCGCTATAACAACACCTGCCCAGGGTAATTATAGGGTCTGTCTTGTGTGTTCTACAGGTAATGCAGCTTACACTGTGTTATAACAACACACCTGCCCAGGGTAATTATAGGGTCTGTCTTGTGTGTTCTACAGGTAATGCAGCATACACTGCGCTATAACAACACCTGCCCAGGGTAATTATAGGGTCTGTCTTGTGTGTTCTACAGGTAATGCAGCTTACACTGCGCTATAACAACACCTGCCCAGGGTAATTATAGGGTCTGTCTTGTGTGTTCTACAGGTAATGCAGCATACATTGCGCTATAACAACACACCTGCCCAGGGTAATTATAGGGTCTGTCTTGTGTGTTCTACAGGTAATGCAGCTTACACTGCGCTATAACAACACCTGCCCAGGGTAATTATAGGGTCTGTCTTGTGTGTTCTACAGGTAATGCAGCATACACTGTGTTATAACAACACACCTACCCAGGGTAATTATAGGGTCTGTCTTGTGTGTTCTACAGGTAATGCAGCTTACACTCGCTATAACAACACACCTACCCAGGGTAACTATAGGGTCTGTCTTGTGTGTTCTACAGGTAATGCAGCATACACTGTGTTATAACAACACACCTGCCCAGGGTAATTATAGGGTCTGTCTTGTGTGCTCTACAGGTAATGCAGCATACATTGCGCTATAACAACACACCTGCCCAGGGTAACTATAGGGTCTGTCTTGTGTGTTCTACAGGTAATGCAGCTTACACTCGCTATAACAACACACCTACCCAGGGTAACTATAGGGTCTGTCTTGTGTGTTCTACAGGTAATGCAGCATACACTGTGTTATAACAACACACCTGCCCAGGGTAATTATAGGGTCTGTCTTGTGTGCTCTACAGGTAATGCAGCATACATTGAGCTATAACAACACACCTACCCAGGGTAATTATAGGGCCTGTCTTGTGTGTTCTACAGGTAATGCAGCTTACACTCGCTATATAACAACACACCTACCCAGGGTAATTATAGGGTCTGTCTTGTGTGTTCTACAGGTAATGCAGCATACACTGCGCTATAACAACACACCTACCCAGGGTAATTATAGGGTCTGTCTTGTGTGCTCTACAGGTAATGCAGCATACACTGCGCTATAACAACACACCTGCCCAGGGTAGCTATAGGGTCTGTCTTGTGTGTTCTACAGGTAATGCAGCATACACTCGCTATAACAACACACCTGCCCAGGGTAACTATAGGGTCTGTCTTGTGTGTTCTACAGGTAATGCAGCTTACACTAGCTATAACACACCTACCCAGGGTAATTATAGGGTCTGTCTTGTGTGCTCTACAGGTAATGCAGCATACACTCGCTATAACAACACACCTGCCCAGGGTAACTATAGGGTCTGTCTTGTGTGTTCTACAGGTAATGCAGCTTACACTCGCTATAACAACACACCTACCCAGGGTAATTATGGGGTCTGTCTTGTGTGTTCTACAGGTAATGCAGCTTACACTCGCTATAACAACACACCTGCCCAGGGTAATTATAGGGTCTGTCTTGTGTGCTCTACAGGTAATGCAGCATACACTGCGCTATAACAACACACCTGCCCAGGGTAATTATAGGGTCTGTCTTGTGTGTTCTACAGGTAATGCAGCATACACTCGCTATAACAACACACCTACCCAGGGTAATTATAGGGTCTGTCTTGTGTGTTCTACAGGTAATGCAGCATACACTCGCTATAACAACACACCTACCCAGGGTAATTATGGGGTCTGTCTTGTGTGTTCTACAGGTAATGCAGTTTACACTCGCTATAACAACACACCTGCCCAGGGTAATTATAGGGTCTGTCTTGTGTGCTCTACAGGTAATGCAGCATACACTGCGCTATAACAACACACCTGCCCAGGGTAATTATAGGGTCTGTCTTGTGTGTTCTACAGGTAATGCAGCTTACACTGTCTTATAACAACACACCTGCCCAGGGTAATTATAGGGTCTGTCTTGTGTGTTCTACAGGTAATGCAGCATACACTGTGTTATAACAACACACCTACCCAGGGTAATTATAGGGTCTGTCTTGTGTGCTCTTCAGGTTAAGTCTCTTTTGCTTCAAATGTTTATCCCATCCAAAGTAGAGAGAGATAGACATGATTTTGACCGAATCAGTCAAAGTGGCGGCACCCTTATTGTGAATAATCCATGGTAACCTGTCGAGGTTTACTACTTTTCTGACCTGGGCCTAGATTTTCGAAGCTCTCTTAGGGGTGGTGGGGTACCCTAGTGGTTAAAGCATTGGCTCGTCACGCCGAAGACCCGGGTTCGAATCCCCACATGGGTACATTGTGTGAAGCCTATTTCTGGTGTCCTCCGCCGTGATGTTGCTGGAATATTGCTAAAGGCAGCGTAAAACTAAACTCAGTCAGTCAGTCGAAGCTCTCTTAGCGCTAAGATAGTCGCAAGTTAATGTTAATGTGTGGCACTTGCGACTATCTTAGCGCTAAGAAAGCTTAAAAATGTAGGCCCTGGTCATTGACACTGTGATTGGTCGGATTAAAGGTTGTTCTGGCATAACCTCCATAGTTGATGTCCTCGGATCGTTGTTTTGTAGTAGCGAGAAGTAAGGTCTGATTTTGAGATTAAAGTTCTGATAAACAATGTGATAGTTCATGTTCAAATTTATGTATGCTAACAAGTTGTATTTGAATAAGATTGCGTTATAAATCACCTGGCCAGACTTAATATGTCAGCATCAACAGCCTTATTTATGAGTAACAGTACGTAAGTTTTAAACATGCAAAATTGTTACATTAATCAGTATGATTATAACATGAAGTATAATAAATTCTTTTGGTCTCGCATTTGATGAATATGTTTAGTTCCTCAAGTTATCCATAATTGTGAGGAAAAATAGAATTAATGTTTAATCTGTGGCATATTTTACATGTAATTGATAAAGCATTAAAGTAATCTGACATACCCTCAACTCTTAAAACGTATAAACAAATACAGAAATCCAGCAAAATCTGTAATTGTATTCTGAGTTAAAGCATGCTCTTGATGTCCGTTGTCTTACAGATCACCCAGGCCCTCAACTGGATGGTGCGGATGACCTCTGACCTGGAGACCAATATCGTGTCCGTGGAGAGGATGAAGGAGTATTCGGAGACGCCGACAGAGGTGATGTATACTGGGGCACCAGAGTGCATGGACAGCATTACAATGTTCATAGTGCGACAATCAACGAACATTGATCATGTTAACCATCATGTCTGTACTGCAGGTATAAAGCTCTGCAAGCCATTGTCACAATCTTGTAGTTTTACTGGTTCATTGTGTTTAATCCCAGACACAAATTGGAATGAAGCAATCCATTGAACAACGAGGAAACATTGTTTATTTTGGGTTGAAACACAGCAAATTTAACTTTGTCAACTGCACTGAAAGGTTTATTTGTTGTTTAATACACTACTCAGCAATATGTCAGTTATATGATGATGGTCTGTAAATAATCAACACTGGCCAGACAACCCAGTGATTCACAAGCATTGTACCGTGCAACCGACATGCATCAACCAAGTCAGCTAGTCTGACCACCTAATCCTGTCCCTCTTCTCACAAACTCAGTCGTCTCTTANCTTCGACGAACACTTGTTACTGAAAATGTAGCCTAACCCTTATTTTAGCAGAAGATGATGATGGTGATGATGATTATGATGATGATGGTGATGATGATGATGATGATGATGATGACAATGACGTTCCCAGCTCTTGTAACTTGTTCTCTTACAATGAACACTGGTTACCAAAAATGTAGTGTAACCCTTATCTTAGCAGATGATGACGATGATGATGATGGTGTTGACAATGACGTTCTCAGCTCCCTGGGCGTTATGTAACTTGTTCTCTTATGATGAAAATGTAATCGAACCCTTATCTTAGCAGATGATGACGATGATGATGATGGTGTTGACAATGACGTTCTCAGCTCCCTGGGCGTTATGTAACTTGTTCTCTTATGATGAAAATGTAATCAAACCCTTATCTTAGCAGATGATGACGATGATGATGATGGTGTTGACAATGACGTTCTCAGCTCCCTGGGCGTTATGTAACTTGTTCTCTTATGATGACAATGTAATCGAACCCTTATCTTAGCAGATGATGACGATGATGATGATGATGATGGTGTTGACAATGACGTTCTCAGCTCCCTGGGCGTTATGTAACTTGTTCTCTTATGATGAAAATGTAATCGAACCCTTATCTTAGCAGATGATGACGATGATGATGATGGTGTTGACAATGACGTTCTCAGCTCCCTGTGCGTTATGTAACTTGTTCTCTTATGATGAAAATGTAATCGAACCCTTATCATAGCGTATGATGATGATGATTACGAGGACGATGAGTGACATGATGTCTAGTGGCATTCGTGTCACGAATATCAATAACCTGTGTATGATAATGATTTGCTAATGTTCATCATATATTTCAGGCTGAATGGATTGACCCTTATCGCCAGCCCCCAAGGTCATGGCCAGATGAGGGCAAGGTGAAGTTCGAGAACTATATGACCCGATACAGATCTGAACTTGACCTTGTGTTGAAGGGCATTTCCTGTAACATCAGCGGAGGCGAGAAGGTACTGGAGAAGTTATAAACAAACATTATGGACATTGGTCATACTTAACTGTTAGAATAGAATTATTTGGTCAACAATATGGTCACGTGTTGATTCCCAAGATAAACAACAAGTTAACTCTGTCCATTTAATCGGCTTGATGCTGGGGTCCATTGTTATCCTGGAATCCCTATTCAGGATTTTCTTTGTCCGATGATGAAAACATTTTCACTCAGTCACTTACTCTTTTCACCAGTAAAATCTGATTCAGGTGTCACCATAGTTGCCAAAATAAATACCCCTTCTACTCCGCTGTTTCTGTCCAATTAGTTTTGGGCGTTTATAAGTATATTACTTTCTGATTGGTGTATGTGTTGGTCAGTGAGGGCATATTAGAGCATGTGTTTCATTCGGTGAATACTGTACTGGTATTAGATGTTGCCATGATGAACATACTGTTCAGAAAATGAAATGAAATTGGGAATCACTCCCTTAAGACTTGTAAAAACGTAACAAAGGCAGATAATTCAAGTCATATACTCTGCATACCACTAGCAAATATGAATTCCCCTCTCACTGCAGATCGGTACACTTAAGACTAATGATACAGTTCTAAAGCCTTACGCTGTGAGTACCATGTACATTCCTCTCTATCTGCAGATCGGCATCGTGGGCAGAACCGGTGCTGGGAAGTCGTCTCTCACTGTGGCGCTGTTCCGATTGATTGAAGCTGCTGGTGGTCGGATTGTTGTCGACGGCAGAGCTATTGATGACATGGGTCTGCATGATCTGAGGTCAAAGCTCACTATACTGCCCCAGGTAAAATATCCGTTACTTCCTTGTTTGAAGACATAACATCCGGCGATGACAACCTTTCTGATGTGGAAAATATTTCTTAACTGAAGTTGGAACTTTGATTATATGAACACTGAGGGAAAGTTATAGGGTGATAACTTCTTAATTCCAGGACCCAGTCATCTTCTCTGGTACCCTGAGAATGAACCTTGACCCCTTTGACTCCCACATCGATGAGGATCTGTGGCAGGCGTTGGAGCACGCTCACCTGAAGAAGTTTGTGACGGAGCTCCCTAGTCAGCTGGAGTACGAGTGTGGAGAAGGCGGACAAAACTTAAGGTAGGTAAAATGTGTGAGAGTCTGGTAGGCATTGATCCATCAGCATCAGCTTCTTGTGGGTGAGTGAGTAAGTGGGGTTATCAGTACCCTCACCTGCTTAATAACGGTGTTAGTACCTACACCGAAATGTCGCACTCATTGCAATAAAGAATATAGAACTTGGTTTTCCTTCACCTATACAACTTCTAAAATGCCTCTCAAAGATGTGTTTAGTATTGTTGTTCAGGTGAAGTTGATAGTCACGGACGGGGGTATAATTAAGCCTTGGCTTGTTGCATTTGGAAATGTCACTTTCTGTTTCAGCGTTGGGCAGAGGCAGCTGGTGTGTCTAGCTCGGACGCTGCTCAGGAAAACCAAGATCCTGGTCCTGGACGAAGCTACAGCAGCGGTTGACATGGAAACCGATGATCTGATCCAGAATACCATCAAGACGGAGTTCAGGGACTCGACTGTGATCACCATAGCTCACAGACTCAACACCATTATGGACTACGACAGGTGAGTTATGCATGTGGTCAGCTGTGTTCATTGTAGCTCACAGCCTCAACACCATCATGGACTACGACAGGTGAGTAGTGCATGTTGTCTGCTGTGATCACTGTAGCCCACAGACTCAACACCATCATGGACTACGACAGGTGAGTAGTGCATGTTGTCCGCTGTGATCACTGTAGCCCACAGACTCAACACCATCATGGACTACGACAGGTGAGTAGTGCATGTTGTCCGCTGTGATCACTGTAGCTCACCGACTCAACACCATCATGGACTACGAAAGGTGATTAGTGCATGTTGTCTCCGCTGTGATCACTGTAGCTCACAGACTCAACACCATCATGGACTACGAGAGGTGAGTAGTGCATGTTGTCCGCTGTGATCACTGTAGCTCACCGACTCAACACCATAATGGACTACGACAGGTGAGTAGTGCATGTTGTCCGCTGTGATCACTGTAGCTCACCGACTCAACACCATCATGGACTACGAAAGGTGAGTAGTGCATGTTGTCCGCTGTGATCACCGTAGCTCACAGACTCAACACCATCATGGACTACGACAGGTGAGTAGTGCATGTTGTCCGCTGTGATCACCATAGCTCACGGACTCAGGGACGTCAAGGATGATGAGCATCTGGTTCAGTGTTATCACCGTAGCTACGACAGGTGAGTAGAGCATGTGGTTCAATGTGATCACTGTAGCTCACCAACTTGAACACAATCATGGACTACGACAGGTGAGTAGAGCATGTAGTCCGCTGTGATCACCGTGGCTCACCAACTTGAACACCATCATGGACTACGAGAGGTGAGTAGAGCGTGTGGTCCGCTGTGATCACCGTGGCTCACCAACTCAGGGACGTCAAGGATTATGAGCATGTGGTTCAGTGTTCACCATAGCTACGACAGGTGAGTAGAGCATGTGGTTCAATGTGATCACTGTAGCTCACCAACTTGAACACAATCATGGACTACAACAGGTGAGTAGAGCATGTCTGCTGTAAAGTTAACAAAAGAAAACCAAAAACAAAACGTGGTTACCTGATGGAACCCTTGTGTTGCTGTTTCCAGGATCCTGGTGCTGGACCAAGGTCTCATCAAGGAGTTCGACTCCCCGGCATCCCTCCTGGCAGATAAACACAGCATCTTCTACGGAATGGCCAAGGACGCAAACCTGGTCTAGATGTCACTGTCTGCAGGACATCGGGTGTCGATGTCGTCCATCTTAGAACAATGTTGATTCGTCTATGGACATCATTTGTCATCTTCATGTACTGAATTATTTGGACATTAATGGACAACTTTGATGTATGGACATCTTTCAGCAGTATGAGGACAGTTTTGTCCATGTATGAACATAATGTATATATTTTGTGTTCAAATTTTAGAAGTTTTATGTGTTTGATATATATATGTATTTATAATAGATAATTGGCATGTGTGATAGATCTGTAGTGTGCGCCACTCTTCCTACTGAAACAGCAGGTCAAGGCTGGGTCACAGACCGAGGGTCTGCAGTATACCGACACAGTGTAAATGTTTCTTATTGCAAGAGTGTCTCAGAGACCAAACCCAGAACGTGGAATATATGTATACAGTAGTTCAACACGGAGACCTGCTTTTTACCTCCTTTACTTGAAATTACACACTCCCAATAACAGCCATGAGGTTGTGTTGTCAAATCTACAGCGTTTTTGTAAAACTATTTTGTTTTAACTTTATATTAGGCCAGGAGTTTTACTGCTTGTTAACGTTTTATGAATGTTTTTAAAGATCACTTCAGGATAATGTCCACTGTCTCATCCTTTCACATGACTCAGGGATCCCGTTGTTTTACTGTTATCAGGCTCCTGTCCGAGACACTTAATAGTACTGTCCTTTTCCCCTGTGAATACACTGGGCAGCGTTTCACATTTTTCACTATTGTAAGCTGATCTGACTGAAGGTCCGAGTCAGGAAGCATCGACTGTTTGTCCGCAACTAGCTCACAGAATTCTGATTCAATTGCATCATAACATTTGATATACAGGAAGTATTTAGGGCATATGTTTGTCTCGTACACTGAATGGCGAAAACTGTGTTATCAGTGGTTTGAGTTGCGAAGGGAGCTAACTCTAGATACAGAATGATCTGACTCTGACTTTAACATCACTACATTATTTCTACATAGCCACTTGGCCTTGTGGCTCTAGATTAAGCCAACAAATCCAGCAGCCCGCTTGAACCGGTTATCCTATATTACTTGGTTCAAATGGCAATATACCTCATATCGTACCACTGCACCCAAGTCTGTCTCGGTCTCTGAACCGCATTATTTTCCCCACTGCCTAACTGTCCCCTGCAATGCCTACCTTATATTACCGTAGATAAGCCGACCCCCTAACTTGAAGCAATGAAGCAAGTCTAGATTTACCCAGGTTCAGGGTCTGTTATCATCTGAAAAAAAATGTATGTCCCTTATCAGCGGGTCTCCTTTTCGATTTAAATGGGATTATTGGTTGCTATCAAAATTATATCCAGTGACTAAGCTTTAGTCTACATTGCACACATGATTTTAGTGTAAGGCATTGGTTTGTGTTTCAGTTCTTGAACTGAGTATGGAATATTTGACTTCCATCTGGTAGAAGTAGCACAAATCAGTGTTTGCCCTAGGCATAAAAATTTAGGAGTCATCATGACTCCCTGGTGTCATGTTTTTGGAAGTCAACTTCAGTTTGGAACTTTCATGAAGACATCAACTGTGATTGTTTAATAACGACAAGAAACAAGGTAAGGCAGGTCAGGTATTTAATCAGCACTGAGCTGTCCAAAAACCTGTCATCACACAGAAACCGAAGTTTTGATTATCTGAACTAAGAGCCCAGTAGCATTGCGTCATATATGCAGGTTTTCTGCATCATGGCAAACACTGACAAATGACAATATTTCTCATACCACTTGTGTTATAAGTTTGTGGCAATGTAGCATTATAGCTTCACCAAGGAGTTGTGTATATTTCATCTTCAAGTCCCACATTCAGCTCCCACATGGGAGAATTCTGTAGAAGCCCATTCCTGATGTGTGAGATCATACTCAGTCACTACACCACATCACTGCCTAATTATGTGATGAAGCAACATTCAAATCCATGAAGTATTGATGACTGTTTAAGGTTTTACACTTGATTGTGCTTGTCCTCTTGCTGTCTGCCATTATCTGTGTATACTGCACCAGGGCTGGATCTCAGTATCGTTTTTGATTTTTTGGCAAGTGTCTTTATACATTTTTCAATGATTATATATGTCCCAGATTGTCTCAAAGGGAGGTAATTCAGCTCTCACAATGCATACCACTATATTGTGTAGATCTGTGAGACATTTCACGTATGAAATCTATAGATGTATCAAAGGGAGATAATTTAACTTTCACAAACTATGCATACCACTATGGTGTGTCAGTGGGGTGAAATACATTACCGAATCCTGACTCACGATGTCTTGATCCAAATCAATACAAGTACAATCCATGTAAAGGTGGCATTACAACATCCTGCATATACAATACATATTTTGCTTGATTGTTACAGTAGCCACAAGAAGTGGACTCCAAGGTAGTGAATGTTGGATGTCCAAGCAGTAATTTTCTATGATGATGAAATGTTTGCATCCTAACATAAGTGTCAACGTTTCACATACCAGTTTGGGTATCCTTCTGTGGCCTTCTTTCTCTCATCATTTTTGCCAATTCCAGATTTGCCAATTCCATTTGGCCAAATAGAACACTTGTTGAACCAGAGGAAGTTATTTAAATGTACTTTCACATCCTATAACATTTCAAGCTGCTCCAAATATTATGACTTTTATAATTGCTTGTTTCAATAATGTGTACATTTTAGTTGTATTAACCAAGTAATGTACCGGTAGATAATGTTTGATACAGATAGGTATTGTTTCTCATTGGGAAGATTGACCACTGTGTATTTAATGGGGTACAGCCAACACTCTTTTTCCAAAAGATATATTTTACAACCGCACTCACTCACTCACTTTCGGAGTCAAGACTGATGGCATTATTGAGGATAATGTTCAACCCAAACAAGACAATCACAGAATTACTGTATGTGAAAACCTCCCAAACCGCTGACACAGCATTATCCGTCGCTAGTGGCTAGATCTAGTCCTGTGTCTGGGTAACAGTTACAACAGTGTGGAGTAACGACGGCTCATATTGTTATCTCATGACTGTGATGTTGTCATGAGTTTTACATATATGACAACATTTATAATGTGATAATGAATACAACAATGTATTTGATACATGATTTAACCTCTACCTGATAGATAAATTGTGGTCTCTTTTTAATGTCTAAGTGTCATATGTTGCCGCTGGAGATCATATATATTGTATTACAGCTTGTTATCATATTTTGTGTGTAGCAATTTGTTACCGTATTTTGTGTGTAAGAGGTTGTTTTCATATTTGGTGTATAACTCCTTGTTATCATATTTAGTGTGTAAGAGCTTGTTATCATATTTGGTGTATAACAGCTTGTTATCATATTTAGTGAGTAAGAGCTTGTTATCATATTTGGTGTATAACAGCTTGTTATCATATTTAGTGTGTAAGAGCTTGTTATCATATTTGGTGTATAACAGCTTGTTATCATATTTAGTGTGTAAGAGCTTGTTATCATATTTGGTGTATAACAGCTTGTTATCATATTTTGTGTGTAGCAGCTTGTTATCCTATGGTGTGTGTAACAGTTTGTTGCTTGAGTGCAGAATGTTATCTCAGTTTGGGTTCTATCAGGGAGGACACAATTTGGTTCCTGCTGATTGGCTAGTTTGTGAAATTATTTTCATTGTTGGTGAAGAAGCCAAAAACACATCATATGACCGAATTGTTGCAGATGATTGAATAAGACATCGTACATTCTTCATTATGTCCCAGACAGTTTTATATGACATCACACCAACCAATGACTCTTGTATCTTTTTGTGATAAAGAAACAAATTGTTCTGAAAATCCTTCACTCAATGGATATATTAATTGCACGAGCTAATTGCAGCTCTAGACTGCTGGGTCTCCCCATCACTATCATAAAGAGTGGCCATACAGTTGCAGATTACCTGTCCCAGATGAAGGCTTGAAAGTTTAGATTTCACATAGAATAGATAGTCCTTTTGCCTCCTCCCTTGTTCAGCGTACATCTCGTCCAGTCTAATGAGGTACAATTCATCATTCAATATTACATCCCTTTGGCACACCATTAATCTGTGATCATGGGTTCAAATATCAGTTCACCCGACACGTCATTTTAGATTCCCACATCAAGCTGCTGACAGGCCATGATATAACTGACATACTGCTCACTCACTCACTCACTCACTCACTCACTCACTCACTTGCTGATGGCACTTTGCCTGTGAAATTCCATGTTGATCTAAGATTCAGTAGCAGTGATGGAACTTTTAGAAGTAACAGTTTTAAACTGTTTTTGGAGTATTTTTTAAAGTATATGTGTTCTTGGATTTTAAATATTGTAAATTTATACTTTTGTACAGGTATTACTGACTGAATAGTGAGTCAGAGAAATCAGAGAGATTAAACAAGTGCAGTCATGGATGAACGATCTGAAGCCCCATAACTGATGTATGATTTGTGTTTTAAACAGTTTGTGGTTCACTCACCGTGCTTAAGATCATGTAGCTGTTAATACTTTAAACATTGATTGATATTGGATGAAGTATTGTGTCAGAGATGTTACTTCTTTGTTCTAACTGATGTATGATCTGTGTTGTAAACAGTTCGTGGTTCACTCATCGTGCTTAAGATCATGTAGCTGTTAATACTTTAAACATTGATTGATATCGGATGAAGTATTGTGTCAGAGATGTTACTTCTTTGTTCTAACTGATGTATGATTTGTGTTGTAAACAGTTCGTGGTTCACTCATCGTGCTTAAGATCATGTAGCTGTTAATACTTTAAACATTGATTGATATCGGATGAAGTATTGTGTCAGAGATGTTACTTCTTTGTTCTTTCTTTGCTGTTTTACGTACGTGCTTAAGATCATGTAGCTGTTAATACGTACATTCAGCAATTTCTCAGTAATCGCAGACACGACTGCTATAGAAGGTACTAGAATATGTACTCTACTGAGACAGTGTAAGCGCCAATGTTGCATTTGACCGTTTCCGGAATGGCTTGGTATATATGTTCCCAGTTTGAATGTTGCTGAGGGGTTGTTACACAACAAGCTTACTGTAACCTGAGACTGCATGTTCACATGACTGACTGCATGTTCACATGACTGACTGGTTCACCCTGTTATACATGCACTATAGCAATGTGTTAAATGTAGTTTATCATATCTATGATCATTCAATGTTTTTGTAAGCGATATGGGCATTGAATACGGCACTTGGATATTGAAGCTGTTGCCTGTTGTGCTGTTCTGAGAAACAAGGTTGCTTTTTCTTGAAGTACCGATATGTGTTAGCTCACTGTAAGATATCAGTCATTTGTTGTTTTAATGTTAAATCCAGGGTTTAACACCATGGAGAGAGATGTCACGACTCTTGAAATGCTGCCTGGTCCTGTACCATGCTAGACATGTGAGAATGCCTGCTCCAACACTAAACATCAGGGGCGATGGGGTAGTGTAGTGGTTAAAGCGTTCGTTCGTCACGCCGAAGACCCGGGTTCGATTCCCCACATGGGTACAATATGTGAAGCCCATTCTGGTGTCCCCCGCCGTGATATAGCTGGAATATTGCTAAAAGCGGCGTAAAACTAAACTCACTCACTCACTAAACATCAACTAGTGCAATATCCATTGTGCTAAACTGTGACTGGTGGAAGTGATGGGGTGATGGGACTGGTGCTTAAAAGGGTCTGCTCGTCACGCTGAAGGTCGGGTTTGATTCCTCACATGTATGTCCCCAGCTGTGGTATTGTTGGAATATTACTGAAAGCAGCATGACACCAAACTCCCTCCCACAGTAAGTCATTTGTTCAGTTACAGGCTGTAACACATTAATCAGTCACCTCATGTTTGTGTCATGATTGAGGTTCTGTACAAGTTGTTGAATCAGTGACATCACTGTCAGATTCACCACTGCTCCAGGTAGATGAATCTAACGTAGTCGCACCTAGTAATTCAATAGCTTCATAGTTGATCTGAACGAGAAAATTCCCTCCGATCCATTCCCCAGATATTTTACAGTATTTTGTGATTTTTACTCAATATTTCTACATTATTTTATTATTATTTCATTGTCTGTGTTGTATATTTTCAACTGTGCTGAGTTGTAGATCTGTCAGGACATGCATGGAAGACGTAGCACTACTGTATTGTATTATCCAAGGGAGAATGATCTGTGTGATAACTGTTCTATATTTGTACATTTTAGCGACTGTCATTACTGACTGGTGGATATAGAAGCCATATGTCACAGTGCTCCATTGTTGAGAAAACACATTGTGATGTCATCCATTATTCCTGACATCACAAACTGATCACATTACATCATCTCAACAACAGGCTGTCTTCAGTGAAGTGTATTTGGTTAAAATGACTTGTTTTTTTGTAATTATTTGTCTTAGAAAGTCAGTGAGTAATATATCAAATTACCTCCTCAAAACATGTCATGACAATCTATCTGTCCATAATGGATATACACTGTTTGACCCTTGTTAACTCATGCTTCTATTTGAGATCACCACACCTACATTTTTCTCCATTTAATGTCAGAAATATATGTGTAATACAGAATATACCAACAATAACCAGAGAGAAACAGAGTAAGTGTTTAATTTCCAAGCTGGACGTATCAGTATTACCAATGGTTGTGTTATCTTGGCATTTCAGCTTACCTCAAGATTCTTTCATAATGTATACCTCACGATTCTTTCATAATGTTTACAGCTTTTGTTACTGAACTCCTACACATCTGCAAAGAAGTCCCCTCCAGAATGTTAAGGATCTGACGTGTGCTTGTATACTACACAATATTTGATAGGGATACTTTGAACTGTATACTTACTTTTACTGACCTGCAACTGGACACGTTCCAGTTGCCTGGCAACACAGGGTACCATTTGTGTGATACTGTTTCCAAGCAACGAGTCACTCACATTCAGATCCACAGTTACAACATTCCTGTTAAATGTTGATTAATAAATAATAATACCAAACAGTGTACATGGCTGCACACAAAACATTTATTGTGCCTGTTCCCTTAGTTTTTATCTTCAGTATACATATATGTATAATGAGAATGTCGAATTTGTATTTTAGACACAGGTGGTTAAAGGAAGAGTATATCTGGAGATTGTTTATTTTGCATAATCTAGAATAAAATGTTTTAATGTAATCCTTGTGTTTTTTATTGACAAACCCGGGTTTGATGGTATCACAAAGTGTGTAAGTGAGTGAGTTGGCGTTTTTTGATAATCTGGGAATCTAGAAGACTTCGAACATGGTACCATGTTGGGAGCTGAACCTGGGCGTTTGGCATAATAATTGGACTGAGTTGCCACATGTCTACCCCAACCAACCCAGTTTTCATGAAGAATGCAAGCTGGAAGCTACACTATGTTGTGATATTTACATCTATTTCTGACATGCCAAAACTATCGTGTGAGGTACTCCTTCCTTACCCTAGAGGATGTTTGTTTGTTGTTCAACGCCGCATTCAGCAATATTCCAGCTATATGGTGGTTGTATGTAAATAATGGAGTCTGGACCAGACAATCCAGTGATCACCGGCATCAGCATCAATCCTACAGGACCATGTGTTGCCCTGACATATACGATGCTGTAAAACTCTAATATACATTGCTATGTGCTCTGATTTATGTGTTCTAGCTTTGAGTATCACAACATGGCTTATTAAAGCATAGATTCATGTGGTTCTCTTCACATGAAATGGAAATAATACCATGGATCTGTGGTCACCTGTCGTCACGGTTACCATTGCTATTTAAACGTACTGCATACATACCGGTACAGATCCTTAAAGTATTCCACAATATGAGACAAGTATCTATGCTTTCACAATGATGTCAGCAAAAGGAGCCGTTGCACATAATTTATGCTTATAAACACCTTATAACTTCTTGATGCGACTCTGAAATCGATGTGATGCAATACAATGCTACCCTTGTTTTGAGATTTAGCTGCTCTTAAACAACCAGCCAACCACACCGTTTTCCTTAACCGTGTATTTCCAAGGGAAATGAGCAATTGTGTTAGTGTGTTTTCTTGAATGGGCATCAACCCATTTGAATAAGTGCTTAATTAGCCTCATTGTTGACAGAAATGTATTACATGTGCTACAATGACATGCATTAATCCCCTGCTTACAACGATCACAGGTTGCTGGCGACCTGTTGGGGAGAAGACGTGGCTTCCTTTATCTCGAAATACATTCGCTTTTTCTGCTGGGGCATGCCACAAAAGAAGTTTTTGAGTTCGAATAGGGATGGCAACAGGAAAATCTATTTTCAGCTGAAAACGTAATATTGTGTCATCGAGTTGAGGGTTCCTCAATGGATTTAATTTGAAATAAAATCAGCGGAAATCCGCGGATCAGTGGAAATTGCCATCCCTGCAAAGACACCCTGATGATATAGGCTTCAATGATGATAAGTCTACGTTTTTTCAGCAATATATCCCCACTCCCTTTGGAGTTGCCTTCAACAAGAAGCTGACCATTCATTGTTGGTTGGTTTGTGTTTTGTGCCGCACTCACCAATATTCCAGCTATATGATGGCGATCTGTAAATAATCAAGTCTGGAACAGACAATCTAGTGATCAACAGCATGAGCATCGATCTCCCAATTGGTATACAATGACATGTGTCAACCGAGTCAGCGAGCCTGACCACCCGATCCTATTAGTCACTTCCTATGACAAGCATGGGTTACTGAAGACCAGTTCAAATCTTGATCTTCCCGGGTCTGACCAGTCGTGATGTAAATCATTATTGTTCAAAGCAGCGTTAAACCAACCAAAGACAATTATTCAGTGGACTCATCTGTCGACAAACAACATGACACTGATGTTATTCATTCTTAGTTTATCAAGTATTTTCAAAAAGACATAAAATTTTCATAGATGACAACTTGTTTCTTGTATGTAACAACCTTCCCTGGCTACTTCCTGGTCTTACATCAGGTGAAGACAAGTGGATGTTGTCAACATTACAGGTTCTACACAAAATGGATTCTTGTACACAGATACACAGATATCAAGAGAAAGCTAATGGGATTACCTGGAGGAAAATGTAATACAGTGATGATAGGTCTAGAGATGATGACAAGAACTGGGTAACAATATAACAATCTGGTGTCAATTGTGTTAAAGTACAGGGGAGCACTCAGTGGGAAGGTAGATGCCTCAGATTCTATTAGTGGCTGGCCTCTTTCTTTTGATATTTTGAAATACAGATTGGGATGATTTTGCCTGGCTTAGTTGATGGTTGGGATGGGCATAGTGTTGGGAATTGGTAAAAAATCTCCCAGTTGATGGTGACTGGTTCATTACAATAGATCAATCATCGAAAATAATTGGTTAGTGCCATTTATTAAATTTTCCTGGTTATGTTTCTTAGGGCACAAAAATAAAGTAAAAACATGTAGTTCTTCCGGGGGGTTTTCAAATTGCACAAAATGCATTTACAAATTTCACAACTTTAAAGCATGACCAGTATGTTAGGAACATAAATTTCCTGGAGTCTTTAAGATATATTCAGTCATGACATGGAACGAGCTTGTAGTGCTTATGAAATGTAACAGACATAACCAACCTTGTGAAAAATATTGTTAATGCAAACAAGTGTTCCAAAATTGTGTTCGATTATGAGAAAAAACATGATCGATTGCTTGGTCAATTAGTCACGGTGACCAGTCTTCGATTATTTCAATTAATCGGACCAACACTAGATGGACACTGAGTAGATAATTCAGGATATACAGAAATGGTTCCCTACCCATGGCTGCTTTCCCCCATGTCCAAGGCCCTACCAGTCACAAGATATCTCACAGCCAGTAGAGACATGATCTTCACCCCAAACAACAGACTTGTATATACGAAAGATGCCGTCAAGTCAGCCTGAAGCCCTATGAGTGAGTGAGTGAGTGAGTTTAGTTTTACGCTGCACTCGGCAATATTCCAGCTATAAAAATCATCAAGTCTCCATACCAACATGTTTGTGGGAAAAGCAGAAATTCAAAAAGCTCTAGGAATCCAAAGAAAGAAACCCACCATTAACAAACAAAGGCATCTACCTCCCAAACATGCACCTTACTGAGATATAACCTATCACAAATGCACAGGACAGTATGATTGTAGCATTGCTATTGTTACCCAATTCAGCTCATTACACCATCACTATACCTATATTGTATTCATCTGGCTTCTCCTCCGTTAATCCATCGTCCTCCTCATTACATTGTATTCTGTGTACATTAATCCTGCTTTGTGTACAACATGTGCAACCAGTACTCACCAGATGCAAGACTTAATCCTGAAAATGTTTTTAACAGTTCAATAATGACAAATATATATGGATAACAACTTCTTTTATTTTGTGAGAGCAACAAAAAAATAAGTTGTTATCCATACTTCCTAACTTCTGAAATACCACTCGAAGAAGTAAAGAAGTTGTTGTCCACGGATGGCTGATGTTTGTGTTCCAGTATGGCAAGATTTTTGTGTGGATGACAACTTTTTTCTTCTGTTATGAGCCACGTGTTGGTGTATGTCAGCATACTGATGTCAGGCATTAGAGAAGTTATACACCAACACACAGCTGTAACATTGTAACAGCATCCAGAGACACAATGTATTACTGTTCAGTAATGTCAAATCTTCAGTTGCCATGTTTTACATCTCTTCTAGACTCGAACCAAATATCTTTTGAGAGCATTTTAGACATCATGAAAAATATGAACACAATATATGTATAATTCTATAGGGGTAGTTCATTATGGTATGATTAGTTATACACACCACTATGGGTGTATTTCATTCAATAAGCAGTGTATAACAGCATATACACAACTACTGGTATATGCGACTCTGTAAGCAATATATAACAGCAGATGACATGCTATAACAACATAACAATCTATAGCTCATACTGGTACAGCCAATGAAGACAGACCAGGAATAATAAAATTGACAGATCAAGGTCCTCATGACCGATACAGAGACGAGACTGCATTCTTAAAAATCTGATAAACAAAAATATCAATTCCAACTATCACTTACACAAGACTCTCAGGAAGGGGTGTAATGTGATTGGATGGCAATTTGTATCTGGTGTCTTTTGAATATCCTTCAAAATAGAACTAAATGTCTAAAAATATGTGTAAATGTATTTTGGTGAACAAAGATATTTACAAATATATATATATATATATATATATATCTAATAATCTGACACCGATACCTCAACACATCAGTCTTAGGTTCATCAGATATATGTAACCATGGTGATGTACAATGACTGTATGAATCTACAAACTGCCCTCATGAAATGGATTGACACTACCTGTCTACAGGAAACAATGGCACATGATGTTTGTTGTTTTACGCCGCACTCAAGTTTGGACCAGACAATCCGTTGATCAACAGCATGAACATCGATCTATTCAAATGGGATGCGATGACATGTGTCAACCAAGCCAGCGGGACTGACCACCTGATCCCGTTAGTCGTCTCTTATGACAAGCATGGGTTGCTGAAGACCAATTCTAACCCGTCATGAGTACAATGTCAGATGAGATAATGTGAGCACTATATGCAGATATAACTGGGGGGACACCAGGTGTCTACACAAACACTATATACAGATTTACCTGGGGACACCAGGTGTCTACACAAACACTATATGCAGATTTACCTGGGGACACCAGGTGTCTACACGAACACTATACACAGATATACCTGGGGGACACCAGGTGTCTACACGAACACTATACACAGATATACCTGGGGACACCAGGTGTCTACACGAACACTATACACAGATATACCTGGGGACACCAGGTGTCTACACGAACACTATACACAGATATACCTGGGGACACCAGGTGTCTACACAAACACTATACACAGATATACCTGGGGACACCAGGTGTCTACACGAACACTATACACAGATATACCTGGGGACACCAGGTGTCTACACGAACACTATACACAGATATACCTGGGGACACCAGGTGTCTACACGAACACTATACACAGATATACCTGGGGGACACCAGGTGTCTACATGAGAATGTTAGCAGTATATGGTGATGGAAGAGAGTGTACACTAGTTGCGTACAGTAGACAACATGAGCATCATACAGAGATGTCACTACAGTCGATGTAGGCCCTTCTGTTGTGTTATTGCATTGGATGTTATCATGGTTACTGCTGTGATGGAATGATCCATGTGAATGATCCTAAGTAAATCTTGGCATCATTCCAGAAAGTGATCTTAGCCCTGCCAGTACTGTAAGTCTTCTGGCCTCTGTTTAAGTAAGTGAGCACTAAGTTATCGTAGCCCTGCCAGTTCTGTAGGTCTACAGGCCTCTGTTTAAGTATGGGAGCACCAAGCACCACCATCACTGTGGAACAGGATGCTGCCCTATATGAAACATCTTCCCGAGACAAGAATGTCCACTAGCATAATATCAAAGTCTAGTTCTCACCCCGCCCATTCCATAAAAAGTGACAGACTATTGAACATCAGACAGAAGGACAATCTGAGATTGTTTTTACAAAATCAACATATAGTCTCCGAGAACATGGCTGCTGAGCATTTCGACTGCTATGGTATCTTCGTGAGGTCATCAACAACAACCATATTTTCATCGCAAGGAACACAACTCGTGTTCTACATGGATTATTGCCAGTGACCCACAATCGACCCAAGACAATTTAAGGGGCAAAGGTGGAAACTAGGCTTTGATATCAGTTAGTGGACACTTAGTGGCCTTCACATGTTGAGCACCACCGAGTGGACTGTCAGGCGGTAATTATATCAGTGGCCGTCAGTGTCTGTTCTGATGAAATACTGTCAGCAGTAACTGTAACAGGCATTGATTGTCACAACAGGGGCTTGTAATGCCCAAAACTGGCATTAAGAAATATATTGTCACTGACTGGGTTTTCATAACGGTCTGACCAGTGACAGATTTTGATCCCGTGCTGCCTCACTAACAAATAACCTACTTGACATAATTTCTAGGTTCCCAAGTCTCTGTATATGAAGAAATATTTGTAACTCTTTGAGTAAAAATCTAATAACATTAATGAGTGTAACGTGAAATATTGCGACAGGTGTACTGTGTGGATGTTACTGGGTGACATTGTGTAGAAACTGTACATGTAAATGTCTACAAGTATATACATGTATTGTGAGAGACAGGAAAGAAATACATCAGAAAAGAAGAAAACAATATTGGCTGTCCTTGAAGGTAAACTATTTACATTTCTGACAGTGACTAAAGAAATAATATATCTCCGACAAACCATGCATTATCATTCTACTGCCGTTTTGGAAATCAACTTCATCTTCACGAGGATCACAATAAATATGTACTGTTACTACCGTTGGAACATTTTATAACATTAAAATCCCAGATTTTTGTTCATGAGAAAATTTTGGTCTAAGCTCAGATCTGAAGAATTAGACAGTATCACAGTATGACCATAAGATTTACTTGAATTACTCCAAGTCCCGATGATATCCTAACAATAGCTGCCACTAAGTTTCTGAGACTGAAGCGTATATCTATGCCACATAGATAATCTCCCAGTCACGCACACTGTTCCGACAGATGGGGCATGATTTCCCGATAAAGTGTGGCGCACACTGCGTGCCGCAACACATGTGTCGACACGGACGGAACAGACACTGTGCCTCCTCCTCCAGACACACCTTACATCGGGCGTAGGCAGGGTCGGCGGGGACAACCGGGGCAACAGGAGCAGCAGCATTAACAGCAGCGGCGTTGTTGACTGGTCCATTGTTCTCTATGTTGTTAGCTGCCGAGCAAACAAGTTGGAGTTTAATTCTAGATGCTCTGATTTCATGGCCATGATTCCCAAAACAGTGTTCCCATTACCAGGACAAAGACAGACAATGTTTACCCAAAGAGCTAGCCAATAATGGCAGGAATAGAAAGACAAAATGGTCAGATATTTTTTCAGGTGTAAACAATTTCTTTGGGGCCAGGTGCACAAGCATCAACATCATAAACAAAGATACATTCTGGAGACACAATAGTCATTTTTAAAATCATCTTTCTGAAAAATACTATTATACAAAATCATGATACAACTTATGAATTTAAAAACTATTCAATAAAACTCCAGTTAATGAGGACCGACCACATTCACACTATAGGCTAACAGTACATCAACATCTTGTCACTTTCATGTGGCCTGATCTGGTGATGAATGATCAAGACACAAGTACAATATGCACAGCCATGTTGGTCTTTAGATTAACTTAGAATGTTCCTTTTAAAACATTCACCTACAAAGAAATAGCCCGTGACATAGTATAAACATTTATAACATTTTGCTCAATTTTAAGGGCCATAATTAACTAATTGATAGTCTCCTGTTAATGTACACATATACATATGCTTGGTATAAGGTAAAAAATGTTAAATAAAACGACTCACACCTTACATAAAAAAACATAGGATGAAGAGTGAATAATGTTTCCCTGTACTTTAAACATCCTTGACAACCTACCCTGCAGCAGCTGCCTCATTCTCTCCAGCTCCTCTGCCTGTCTCCTCTTCCTGTCTCCTCATCTCTTCATCCTTCCGCCTGTTCTCCTGGGCCTGTCTCCTCATCTCCACAGCCAGACTGTTCAGCTCCCTCTGTTTCCTGTCCAGCTCCTCTCCCTGGTGTCCCAGCTGGTGGTCCTTGTCCTGCAGCTGGAGGTCCTTGTCCTGCAGCTGGAGGTACTTGTCCTGCACCATCTGCCCCTGTCTCTGGATGACCTGGGCCTGGGCCTGTAGCCTGGCAGTCAGGGCCTGCATATCACACCGTCTCTGCGCCTGCTCCCGACTCAGCTCTGTGTGGTACTCCTCGTGGGTCCGCTCTATCTCCTCCTTGCTCCTCTCCAGCAGCTGGTCCTTCTGCTGGATCTCCTCGGTCTGTCTGATAAGACTCAGGTCCTTGGTGTGGGTCGACTCCATTAGTCTCTGAAGCTGGGTGAAGTTGGCATCAGAGGCTCGCAGTGTGCCGAGGAGCAGCGCCTCATTGGGGTAAAACCCACCTGTCATACAGAGGGTGGAAGTTAGCATGCAGCGAGGATATATGTGTTTTTTTTCTATTTTCAGTTTACAGAATCGACAAGCTAAACCGAAAGCCATGTAGAGAGAAGCAAAAATAGTTTCAATGCACTCTATGACTTTAACCACTTGTCTGAAACCCGATTCTAGGAAGTTCAGTTGATATGTACACAATATGGATCAACAGAAAATTATACAAGACAGGATTTGCATACTCAAAAACATTGACTGTAAAAGTGATATGTATTTGCCTGGCTACTGTGATTAGTTAGAAATACACACAAAAATTAGATCCACAAAGATTCTACAAAATGTATAGCATTAGAATCTCAACTTCACATATGAAAACCGATGAAATCTATACGACCACTGCCATGAAAACATATGTCCACAGATGTACGTGTAACTATGCCACTGTATAAAGATAAACATCCAGAAATACGGATACATGTATATTTCCCCAACTCAATTAAATAACCTTTAAAATCTTGAGAAACAAACACATTTAATCATCTTCTGACAAATCCAAGTTTAGAAAACTTCTGTAACCTGGTAACCATCAAAACAGTGTAGACATAGAAATGAGAATGTAAACTGGTTTGTCAAGACAGTGAACAGGTTTTAGACCAAAATGAAAAATTACCCAAGGGAGATAATTCCCAAATATGAAAAAGGAGATAATCTCAATTTTCTAAAGTTATTGAGAGAATTTAGACGAAAATGAATACAGTTACTCTGCGATATCTCGTAGATTTACACCAGGATGTTCAAGTGACTCCAACATGAGCACAATACACTCACGGGACAAGATAAAGAATTTGAGAACAGCCTGTCGGATTTGTTGTACATCATACTGACATGCCAGGGCTGCCTTGATGGCCGCCATGTCCAGACCGGGGCGGAGTGGGGAGGGTGTGGCCCGGGCTCCCTGGGGTGCCGCACTGGTCTATGAAATACAATACAATTTCATTAAACACGGTAACACAGTACTTCATAAGTTTGTTTAACTGGTATCAATATGACTCTTACTTGTTAAGATGTGATTTGCTTACATATTTTACAAAAATAGAGTGAGTGAGTTTAGTTTTATGACACACTCAGCAATATTCCAGCTATTTGGTGTCGGTCTGTAAATAATCGAGTCTGACCAGACAATCCAGTGATCAACAGTATGACATACTGGGATACGATGACATGTGTCAACCAAGTCAGCGAACCTGACCACCCGATCCCGTTAGTTGCCTCTTATAACAAGCATGGGGTACTGAAGATCAATTCTAACCCGGATCTTCACATGTTAAATTTAGATAAATCATAGACATGTACATTTATAACTGAATTCAGCTCATATTGACTTGGATTTTTGACACACAATGATACCTAAGACATGAAACTAACATACAAGGATTGGTAACTGCAGGTGATAAAGGGTTAACACATTCAATGGAACGTGCGTGTCCTATGTTGTATATGTTGTACATATTATGCATATTTATTTTGTATATGGGCCGATGGCCTTCATGCAATAAACTGATTGATTGATTGACAATGAATATTGCACAGAGTGACAGGAGACCATGTAGTATACCTTAACCTTAATGTTTCACATCAAATATCACAAAACTGTTTGCAAAAATTATCATAGAAAGCCAATAGAAGCCAGTGTGGAGAATGTAACACAATTTTAATAACAGCCCTTTGTCAGCAGAGGCTGTGTATTGTGATATGGACATCATGAGGTAGGGGTTTCTAGATACCCCTTAAATTGGGCATTATAGCTACCCCATATGTAATATTTATGAATACTGCATCAACCAAGTGTGCATGAGCCGATGCTACCATGTGAGGTCAACACGAACTGGTGATAATGGCAACAACCCCTCATCAGGCAGGACGTATTGAACTTGGACAGTTTCACCCTCAAACAATGCAACTAGGCATTACAATATGTATGGCACCAATACCCAAGTATTTTGATATGTATTATATCATGAGGTATTTGACACCACTACAGTTTCTAAATTCTTGCATTATACAGGAGACACTTTCAATCACCCACCTTCAACTGTGTCCTTCTCTGTCAGAGCCTGTGGAAGGAAAAACAGATGTCACATGTCATCATATAATAATATATATGAACTGACTAGGTTACTCATGAATAGTGCATTCTAAAGTGTATACAGTATTTCATTCTTGAGTGATGGGTTATTTATTTGAGATATTTTGACATTTTGTGTTTAACACCAAAACAACAATATTCCAGCTATGGACGCCGGTATGTAAATAATCAATTTTGGACCAGACAATCCAGTGTGGGCTTAGAAATGAGAATGTCTTGAAAACTAGTTTGTCAAAACAGTGAACAGATATTAAATTTGTTGAAGTTTCAATGTACAATGAAAAATTTGAGAGATAATTTCAAAATATGATCATGTTAAAAGGGACATAATCTCATTCCAGTTATTGAGAGAATTTGACAAAATGAATACATGTTTATTGAGATACATTAGATTTACTATAGCTTTCTACAGGATGATCTATTGACTTCGGGGGTGGGGTAGCCTATGGTTAAAGCGCTGGCTGACGAAGAGGTTGAATCCCCACATGTACAATGTGTGAAGCCCATTTGGCTGGATGTTGCTGGAATATTGCTAAAAGCGGTGTAAAACCAAACTCTGTCAGTCTAGTGACTCGAACATGAGCACAATACACTCACGGGACAAGATACAGAATTTTAACACTGATTTGTTGTACATCTTACTGGGTTATTTATTTGGGAGATATTTTGACATTTTGTGTTTAACACCAAACACAGCATATTCCAGCTATAAGACAGCGGTGTGTAAGTAATCGATTCTGGACCAGACAATCCAGTGATTGACAACATGAACAGTGATCTGTACAACTGGGATACGATGACATGTGTCAAACAAGTCAACGAGCCTGACCACCCGATCCCGTTAGTCACACAAAAAGCATGGGTCGTTGAAGACAGATCTTCATGGATTTTTACAGGTGGATGATATATTTTGACAGACATTTCAATCGATATACGTCAATACATGATACAAGGATATATTTCCTGGCTGAGAGATGAAATACAGGTCTTACCTAAAATAACTTATCATTTTGACATCAGTAAGTGGTGATTTGTTCCGTTGCTTAAACTTACATTAAAGCTGAACCTAAATGAAGCTAACTTTCTTAACCATAGTAAGTTGTGCTTTTTCTGTTTAAACTTTAAATATAGGTAGCACCTAAAATGTACATTTGTTAACATTTTGTTTGATATATTAGACACACCATTCCATGCATAATAACGTACCTGCTACACTTACCAAGAACGAGTTACACTACTGGAGTGTGAGACTCCCCATGCGTTTATCTTAAAGGAAGGGTTTGTTTGCTAGTGGTTTGATGCCGCACATTGCAATAGTCCAGCTATATGATGACTGGTTAAAGAAACGTTAAAACTGTGAGTATGGTTTTACGATGCTTTTAGAAATATTGCAGCAATATCACGGCGGGGTACACTCGAAATGGGCTTCACACATTGTACCCACTGGGGTCGAACTCGGATCTTTGGCATGATGAGCAAACGCTTTAACCACTAGGCTACCCCACCACCCCGAAACTTTGAAAGCACATAGGTACGTTGTTGCAGATGAAGTATACATACTGACAAGAAAATGAAAGTTTACTCCTATATTTTATATTGGCCAGAAATGAAACAAACATGAAAAGGTTATTTAAGGGGATTATATGACTTTAAGTTTGCTGTGGTTCAAGGCAGGTCTATCAACTACTGGACACAAGTCAGTACACACCAATCTTTGACGGTGACTGACAAACAAATGAGAAATTCATTTATTCCACAGTGATGTGTTTGATACAGGTATCATGTTTTTCATCTTGAGTATTCCTGTGACTGTCTTAAGCCTGGTAATATTCCTATAATGATCTATACTTTTGTCAGTTCTAATTATCAAATGTATTAGTTCTTAGACTCAACAGTATTTTCTACACACCGAACGTGTTTACAATGTATAGTTAAAACCAAAATGAATTCATTACATGGGTAACATACACCCCAGCACTAGAGACATTAGTTGCAATAAAACAATAAGTGTATCGAAAGAAATATCAGCATGGGTTTATCCAAGATTCCAAGCTAAGTGTCCTTGGCAGGCAGAAAACATTGGGAGTAAAATTCAAATGAAAACTCTGAGGAAGTAAGAAATTAATATTTCAAATTTGGAATTTTTACTTTCACATGGTCATCTGCTGCAAACTTGGGCCGAATATCAGCCTCTGAATAGGTCGATATAAATCCCTTATCATACTGTGTTGTGACATACCTCAGCCTGCTGAGCCTCCAATACAAAGTTATCTCCCTTGTGCTGCTTCACATACACACAGTGACGGGCGTGTCGCGCATGCTGCACCCAGGGGTCGGCCTCGGGCCTCCATCGATGCAGGCTACATCCACAGGCGAAACACACGACCTTGTCTGTATAACCTGGATAGTGAATACAGATATAAGTAAATGTATAACTGTAACATCCCATGTGACCACCACCTGGAGCCACATAAAAGGAACATAGTGTATTATATACAGGGTTTATGATTGTATTGCTTGGACAAAGCAAGAACATAAGCTAAATCCCAGTGATACATAACATAAGACATTTAAAATGAAGTTTCTTTACACGTTTGAAAGCTCCTGGTCACTCAATAACCAAGAAGTCTGTTATCAGGCCCAACTTAAATAAAACTGTGGTTCCGATTACCCAACCAGCCCCACAAAATGCTTCCGATGATTTTCTCACTACAAATGACTTGCTTGTCATTATATTTTGCTCTGCAGTTTTTGTCACTGTTTACCCAGCTGCAGTCAAAACCTAATATCCACACTTATCTGCTATCACCAGAGAACATTTTGATAGCTCCAAGCAGCAGTGCAAGGATTCACAGTTGGTAAATAATACGTCTGTGTGCAGTGCATTGAGTTAATGAACTTCTGACATGTGTTGACAGTTCCACCTTAAATGACAACATTATGCCCAAGTACAATTCCATCTTTTCAGAGATGTAAAATGATATCGATCATCCTACTGAAAGTTGTGATGTAAAACTGATAATGATGACAGTAATGTTAGAACTGATAATGATGACAGTAATGTTGGAACTGATAATGATGACAGTAATGTTGGAACTGATAATGATGACAGTAATGTTGGAACTGATAATGATGACAGTAATGTTGGAACTGATAATGATGACAGTAATGTTGGAACTGATAATAATGACAGTAATGTTGGAACTGATAATGATGACAGTAATGTTGGAACTGATAATGATGACAGTAATGTTGGAACTGATAATGATGACAGTAATGTTGGAACTGATAATGATGACAGTAATGTTGGAACTGATAATGATGACAGTAATGTTGGAACTGATAATGATGACAGTAATGTTGGAACTGTTGGAACTGATAATGATGACAGTAATGTTGAAATGATAATGATGACAGTAATGTTGGAACTGATAATGATGACAGTAATGTTGGAACTGATAATGATGACAGTAATGTTGGAACTGATAATGATGACAGTAATGTTGGAACTGATAATGATGACAGTAATGTTGGAACTGATAATGATGACAGTAATGTTGGAACTGATAATGATGACAGTAATGTTGGAACTGATAATGATGACAGTAATGTTGGAACTGATAATGATGACAGTAATGTTGGAACTGATAATGATGACAGTAATGTTGGAACTGATAATGATGACAGTAATGTTGGAACTGATAATGATGACAGTAATGTTGGAACTGATAATGATGACAGTAATGTTGGAACTGATAATGATGACAGTAATGTTGGAACTGATAATGATGACAGTAATGTTGGAACTGATAATAATGACAGTAATGTTGGAACTGATAATGATGACAGTAATGTTGGAACTGATAATGATGTAATGTGATGACAGTAATGTTGGAACTGATAATGATGACAGTAATGTTGGAACTGATAATGATGACAGTAATGTTGGAACTGATAATGATGACAGTAATGTAATGTTGACAGAATGTTGGAACTGATAATGATGACAGTAATGTTGGAACTGATAATGATGACAGTAATGTTGGAACTGATAATGATGACAGTAATGTTGGAACTGATAATGATGACAGTAATGTTGGAACTGATAATGATGACAGTAATGTTGGAACTGATAATGATGACAGTAATGTTGGAACTGATAATGATGACAGTAATGTTGGAACTGATAATGATGACAGTAATGTTGGAACTGATAATGATGACAGTAATGTTGAACTGATAATGATGACAGTAATGGAACTGATAATGATGTAATGACAGTAATGTTGGAACTGATAATGATGACAGTAATGTTGGAACTGATAATGATGACAGTAATGTTGGAACTGATAATTGACAGTAATGTTGAACTGATAATGATGACAGTAATGTTGAACTGATAATGATGACAGTAATGTTGGAACTGATAATGATGACAGTAATGTTGGAACTGATAATGATGACAGTAATGTTGGAACTGATAATGATGACAGTAATGTTGGAACTGATAATGATGACAGTAATGTTGGAACTGATAATGATGACAGTAATGTTGGAACTGATAATGATGAGTAATGTTGAACTGATAATGATGACAGTAATGTTGGAACTGATAATGATGACAGTAATGTTGGAACTGATAATGATGCAATGTTGGAAGATAATGATGACAACTGATAATGATGACAGTAATGTTGAACTGATAATGATGACAGTAATGTTGGAACTGATAATGATGACAGTAATGTTGAACTGATAATGATGACAGTAATGTTGGAACTGATAATGATGACAGTAATGTTGGAACAGTAATGTTGATAATGATGACAGTAATGTTGGAACTGATAATGATGACAGTAATGTTGGAACTGATAATAATGACAGTAATGTTGGAACTGATAATGATGACAGTAATGTTGGAACTGATAATGATGACAGTAATGTTGGAACTGATAATGATGACAGTAATGTTGGAACTGATAATGATGACAGTAATGTTGGAACTGATAATGATGACAGTAATGTTGAACTGATAATGATGACAGTAATGTTGGAACTGATAATGATGACAGTAATGTTGGAACTGATAATGATGACAGTAATGTTGGAACTGATAATGATGACAGTAATGTTGAACTGATAATGATGACAGTAATGTTGAACTGATAATGATGACAGTAATGTTGAACTGATAATGATGACAGTAATGTTGAACTGATAATGATGACAGTAATGTTGGAACTGATAATGATGACAGTAATGTTGAACTGATAATGATGACAGTAATGTTGGAACTGATAATGATGACAGTAATGTTGAACTGATAATGATGACAGTAATGTTGAACTGATAATGATGACAGTAATGTTGAACTGATAATGATGACAGTAATGTTGAACCGATAATGATGACAGTAATGTTGAACCGATAACGATGACAGTAATGTTGAACTGATAATGATGACAGCAATGTTGGAACTGATAATGATGACAGTAATGTTGAACTGATAATGATGACAGTAACGTTGAACTGATAATGATGACAGTAATGTTGGAACTGATAATGATGACAGTAATGTTGAACTGATAATAATGACAGTAATGTTGAACTGATAATGATGACAGTAATGTTGGAACTGATAATGATGACAGTAACGTTGAACCTGATAATGATGACAGTAATGTTGAACTGATAACGATGACAGTAACGTTGAACCGATAATGAATGTTGAAACTGATAATAAGCAATTGAACTGATAACGATGACAGTAATGTTGAACCGATAATGATGACAGTAACGTTGAACTGATAACGATGACAGTAATGTTGAACTCGATAATGATGACAGTAACGTTGAACCGATAATGATGACAGTAATGTTGAACCGATAACGATGACAGTAATGTTGAACCGATAACGATGACAGTAATGTTGAACCGATAATGATGACAGCAATGTTGAACCGATAATGATGACAGCAATGTTGAACCGATAACGATGACAGCAATGCTGAACCGATAACGATGACAGCAATGTTGAACCGATAACGATGACAGTAATGTTGAACCGATAATAACGACATTAACGTTGAACCGATACGAGATGACTAACGTTGAACCGATAACGATGACAGCAACGTTGAACCGATAACGATGACAGCACGTTGAACTGAACCTGATAACGATGACAGTAATGTTGAACCTGATAATCGATGACATAACGTTGGAACAGATAACAATAATGACCAACAGCAATGCTGAACCTGATAATGATGACAGTAATGTTGAACCGATAACGATGCACGTTGAAATGCTGAACCGATAACGACAGTTAACAGCAACTGTTGAACCGATAACGACGACAGCAATAACGTAATGGAACCGGAACCGATAATGATTACAGTAATGTTGAACCGATAACGACGACAGCAATGTTGAACCGATAACGACGACAGCAATGTTGAACCGATTACCAACGACAGCAACCGGCTGAACCGATAACGACGACAGCACGCTGAACCGATAACGACGACAGCAACGTTGAACCGATAACCACGACGGCTAACGTTGAACCGATTAAACGACGAGATCGTTAACGTTGAACCGATTAACGACGATCAGCAACGTTGAACCGATTGCGATCAACGACGGCAACGCCGAACCGGGATTAACGACTTTACTGGTTAAATCGCTCGAACCGGATAACGACTTTATCGAGCAACGCCGAACCGACAACGACTTTATCGCCAACGCAACCGAACCTGTTTCAACGA